ATATTATAGCTAGGAAACTCTGATACTTTCCTCTGATAATGCATTTATTGTTGCAGAATTTTACCAGCATTTTGTGAGCATAGATTTCGCCACGGATAAGTTACAGAGTGTCTTCTCCTCTTTGGCAACATGCCACTGTTTCTTAAACAAAACCAACCATTTTGTGATTTGTTAAGATATTGTTTGAAGGTTGCAGACTCCCCTATTCACATTTGCATAGCATGTTGCATAAAGCTCCCCTATTCACTTTATAAAGTCTTGCGCTTGGTTCTCAAGCAACCCACCTTTCAAGCACTGCTTGGGTGTGTGTCTGTGCTCTCATCGTTAGCTGTAAAGGTGTGTAGTTCCACACACACACACACACAACCTATTCTGTATCTCTTTTTCACTTCTTTAGTGCCTGAAGCATGTGGGCACATCAACATGTTATGAAGAGTTGCCCCAATTGCTAAACCTAGCAAGGACTTTTAATGCTATATACAAACATAATATACGATGAGGGTGGCGCTGTGGGTTAAACCACAGAGCCTAGGACTTGCCGATCAGAGGGTTGGCGGTTCGAATCCCCGCAACGGGGTGAGATCCCATTGCTCGGTCCCTGCTCCTGCCAACCTAGCAGTACGAAAGCACGTCAAAGTGCCAGTAGATAAATAGGTACCGCTCCAGTGGGAAGGTAAACAGCATTTCCGTGCGCTGCTCTGGTTCGCCATGCTGGCCACATGACCCGGAAGCTGTACGCCGGCTCCCTCAGCCAATAAGGCGAGATGATCGCCGCAACCCCAGAGTCGGCCACGACTGGACCTCATGGTCAGGGGTCCCTTTACCTTTACCTTTACGAACATCATATCCCCCTTTCCCCAAGATGACCCTCTTAAACTTTTTAAATGCCCAGCACTCCCTCCATTAGTAGCTAACTCACCATCGAGGATTACCCTTTACTGCTATCCCGTGATGATTTATTGCATTGCAGGCATTCTCACCTTGCAGACATCACACTTATTGCTCTTACACTGTGACAGTACAGGCACTATAATTGTCACAGAAAGGTATTTTTGTGTGTGCCCTGTGGGGCATAGATGTGGAAATATTGATGAATGGGATGTGTGCAAATGGAGAGCACTGTGGAGATGATTATGTAGATAAACCTGGTGATAAGAAACCATGAGCTAAGGCACCTCAAGGGGATGAGCGGACATTTCAGTTTCAAATTTTCATAATTATTGGTAGGGCATGCACAGTAAAAGCAAGGCACTAGGTTTCTTTCCACACAGCAGGTGCCAAAATCCTGCTTTTATCACTACCTGTTCCTAATGTGGGAGCCAGTAGCTATACTCTGGTGACAGCATTCTTGTCACCAAGGATCAAACACGGTCTCCCCTCTCTGCCTTAAATATCCAGCACTCCTAGGTAGGCAGATATTAATGTTGTTGCCTTTTAATGAAGTGTTTGCTATGTTGTGTTCTAGAAAGAGCTGCATATTAAGAGAGGGTCATTGTAGGTTATGGGACTTTGTGGATTGCATGTTTTTGTTCAGCACAATGAATTTAAAACTCTTCAGTTCATCAAATTATCCAGAATGCTTGGTTGGTGGCAAATCATTTTCTGATCATTCCAAGTTAATGTTATCCACGTTATTGAATTGCCCCGTCTGTGTCATGAGAAGGTTTCCAATACGCAAGTCATCTGCTATCCTGGCACCCTCCAGATGTTTTGGAGTATGACTCCCATCAGTCCCAGCCAGGGCAACCATAGTTGGCATCAGGTTGGTGCAGGCTGATCTAAGTCATCAATAAATATCCTTACGTAAGTCATCAAGAACTTTTACAATATTTATAAATGAGCGACTACTCTGCAGCCTCCTAGTGGCTGCCTTTTTGATGTGTAGAATAAACAGGCAGAAGGTGTTTGTAAGACCAGTGCAGATAAATAATGTTGATTTCACACAAACAATCCTCTGTGTGAAGTGCCTCTTCAAAAGATAGAGAGTTTCACTGGTAAGAATATTGTGAGGTGACGAGATGATCCCTCTGTCTTGCACTACCATTTACATAGTAGACTGTCTCTTCCCCCTCCTCTTCACATGCGACATACTGAAGAAATATGGGTATGTTGCACACTGGCTCCAGAAACAGCAAAAGGCATGTGATCACAAAACTATAGTCAGTTGGGCTTATGCCCCTCAAAAACTGGGCTCACAACTCTAGTCTTAGTGCTTCAGGCAGAAAATCTGCCATGGTGGTAAAAATGTAATAGAATGAAAAACTAAATAATTGACTATTTGTTGCCCCATGGTATTTCAAAATATACCACCTCAGGCCTGGTCCCGTTGACTATTACTTTTAGTCAGGGCTGGTGCAAGAAAGACATGTTTCTGCCTGAACCCAGCCAAGTTATTTTAGCATCTAAGGGTATGTTCACATTACTGCTTTACTCCACAACCAGTGCATTCCCACGGCTAATTTTTGAAGTCGCATTTACATGACGTTAGCCACAATCCACATCAAACTGATGTTTGATTTGTTTTTTCGTCAAATGAGCTTCAATCCAGCTAGAAAACTGTATGTGGAGTAAGCAGCAATTTGAACATGCTGTCACAAACACACAGATGGATGTGCAACTGCTGATGAAAAACTTAACATATAGGAGTTTCAGGGAGGTGCAGGGACAAGGAAACCGAAAAAGGTCAAACGCATTGGGTGAAGACATCCCTGCCTTTCTCCGATGTGAACAGCTCCCTGCAAATGCAACTTTGAAACACAGTGTGTGAGCATGTGTGGAAATGACCTCATTGCATTTCAAGCCACTGATGTGAACATATCCTGAGGCTGAGAATCCCACATGCACTTCTCCTCCCACCCTGGCAGTAAAAACATGACAATAGCAACTTACAACTTGCTGACCTTTTGTGACTCCCAAAATCTGCAGTCTGAGGTGGCTGCATTACCTAACGATAGGACCGGCCCTGCTTTTAATGCATGGGTGAAGTGCAGGAGAAAGACGCGAGTGGGAAAGAGACAACAGGTGAATTTCAATGGCTCTTCTCAGTCTGTCTCTCAATGGATTGTATTTCATAAACCTTAAACTCATCAGAGAATAATAATAATAATACTCACAGTGTGTCTGTGATATTTATGACACACACAAAACCAGCTTTGGGTTTTCACTAGACCTGGAGAGTATTACTCCGTGTTCCTTGCTTGCCATCCACAGGCCGTGACCTTCCAAGCTCCCCTTTTCTCATACACAGCAGCACAGTCTCCTTCCCTTTTTTATTCACTGCCATCTTCCTCCCCATTGAGCTGGTTCTGGAGAGCATCCCCACAGTCGCCTTGCAATTGCAGCTCAACTTTCTGCCAATGGCTACTAGTCATCATCATCATGGTTGTTTGCCACCTTCAAGGTGATAGACAATATGCCTCTGAATACCAGCTGCTGGGAAACAGCAGCAGGAAAAGGACTATGGCCTCATGGCCTCCGTGGGGCCTTCCCAGAGATATCGGGCCACTCATTGTGTGGGAAACAGGAAGTCGGACAAGGCAAGCCTCTGGTCTGGTGAAGCAGGGCTCCTCTTACTTTCCCCCCCTCAGATCTGGTAAAATGGCTAGTGGTCGCTGGGCCTGAGAAAAGCTGTCATCCTCTGCTGACCCACCAAGTCCAGTTCTTAAGGACATCCCTCCCCAGCAGACAATTAACTGCACACTTATTGTGAAAGAAAAGGCCTACAAGTCCCACAATCCTGAACTCCATTAAACTTCCTTCCCATTCAGAAGGCAGCAGTTGTGTTCATATCTCATGATGGGGAACCATGTTCCCATTATAGAGAATGTCATTCACTTAACACGGGAGCAAAGATTTTAAAAAGGGGTTTACATTTCCTTTGTCTTCTTATTTGACTTTTCCAGTTGCCTAACACAAACACATATAGAAGTTAAATCGGTTAAGTCATTAGTCATAGTTAATACCTCCATAATTACCGCTTCATTTGTTTTGTAGTCGTTCCAATACAACAAAAATGGTAACCTCCCCCACCCTAAAAATCCTCACTGAACGAACCCCTCCACCCCATAACTGCTCATGTCTTGTTATTTTGTTCAGGATCATTATATCGCAGCTTATCTTCCACAGGATTCTTGATGGTATGGTAACTTTCCCACTTTTTGCCTATATCAACACATGAGAGACCAAAATGAAGAACTTTGAGGCCCCTAACCCAGATCTGGCAATCTGGGGGATGCTTTCTTGCCCCATAGTTCCCAAAAGCGAAAGCGGTGTGTGGAGAACATAGCTCCTGTGGGAACAGAACTCGCAGGCCAGGTAATCTTAGGGATAGGGGTTGAGGAGCCCACCCAACTCACTTGCTTGCCAAAGTGGCCCTCCAGAAAAACAACAACAACTAGTTAGCCGTCTGAGTGAAGGGCCTAGACAAGGACTGATGCTCTTCTGGGAACAGAAAGAAGCTGGAGGTGGCAGGGGGCTTGTAACCTTTTCCTATGTCTCACGCTGGCTGTGTCATCCAGCAGGTCTTGGTGTTCATCCCTTGCTTTGCTGCATTTCCTTCCCTCCACCATGTGGGTTGATCACGGCTCAAACTTTTAATTCAGATGGTAATTGAAATAATAATACAGGCAGAATCCCTTCTGTCTCTGATGCTGCAGCTGGCTTTGTGGAGCTATGAATAGCTCTGAGTCACGCTCTGAAGATGGTTTCACTTCCAACGGTTTGTTTTGTTTTGGGGGTGGGGTTTTTTGGTCATTTTTTGGTTGTTGTTTTTTTGTATTGCTCCTTGGGCTATGGGGAGGGGGAGAACCCACCACGCCTCTCTCCCTACCCCAAAATGCACCCAATGAGAAACATAAAATTGCTATTTAAGCCTCAGGGGATGAGGTTGCCTAAAGAAATCCATCAGTTAGCAATCATTGGGAGGACAGATGGGGACTGCTGGCATATACTCCTCGGTCTATTTATAATTATTATTTTTTTAAAGCACATTTGATTGCGTTCCCCTCTTCATACCCTTCATATGCCACATGATGGCAGAGCAAAGTGAGACTGGCCTGGTTTTAACTTGCGTGCTTGGCATTTTCTGTTGGTTGGTTTCGTAACTCGCCATCTCCCCCTGAACAATAAAACAGATGAATGAAATCCTGCCCACAGATTATCTGAACTGGTCACAGTCTTTCATGTTATCAGGTTAATCCAGGTTGGAACTACTCAATCACATTCTGTGTGGGGCTTTCCCCCTGAAAAGTGCTTGAAAACTGCCTCAGTAAGTGGTGGGCTCTCCTTTGCTGGAGGTTGTTGAGCGGATGCCAGGATTGTGTGTCTTGTATTTCAGATCCTACACAGAGGACCTCCAAGGTATCTTCCAACTCAATGATTCTAATAAAATGATTATATATATATATATATATATATATGGAAGCCAATTCAGGACAGTGAACTCAGTTGTACTCTCAAAGGACAGTTACAGTGAGAAGTTTCCAAAGTGCAATTCCTTACAAAGTCAGCTTTCTTTCTTTCTCTCTCTCTCTCTCTCTCTCTCTCTCACACACACACACACCCTTAATCTATTTTACACAGTTGTTGTGTGAGGATACACAGAAGCAGTGCTTTTTTTCTATTAAAAAATGTTTAGGGGTACTCTCATTTTGACTCAAGAAAACCACCATTTTATAGCTCAAATCGGGGAAAATAAATACAGTAAATGGACAAAAGTGCAAAGATTCACAAAATGTTTAGGGGTACGAGTACCCCTGCATCTCCCCAGAAAAAAGCACTGCACAGAAGTAAGTCAGAATCCATGTATTCCACCCTGAGTTCTGAACTCAGTGGAGGAAGGGTGGATATAAGCTTGAATAATAACAGTTTTTTAATGTTTGCATTGTGGAATAGATTCTGTATTAGCATATGGAAAACTACGGACAAAGTTAGCAGACAAAGCTTCTCCCTTGCAGCCCTTTGTCCCTCCCATTGCTGCTTAAATGCTAACCAGTGTCATTTCAAAACACCAGCATCATTGAAAACAAAAAAACATATGTGATTAGCGTTATTCACATACTATTGCATGCCAGGCCAATATCCAAGTGGTGCAAGATTCCAGGGGTTCTAGGCTCTTACCCAGGGTTCACGTTTTCCTTTGGAATGAGGCACAGCGGAGGCTGTGGCGTCTTTGTGATATATGGCTTATTTACACATATATACAACCTGAGCCTGTGATGGAAAGGTTCACAGCATTAATACCCTCCAAAGGATATTGTTTCTTTCATAGACACAGACTTGGATTTAAACAGAAATCATTTCTCTCAAACCTCTCTGCCAAAGGAGAGGAGTGCTGCTGGGGTGCTGGTGCTGCAGCTGAGGCGTCTGCTATGCTCAGGTTGGCAGGAGGCCACTACCAACAGAGTTGGGGTAGAGCACTGGAGGACCTACAGAATCCAAAGGTCTGCAGTTCCCACAAGGGACCAGAACTTTGGGTTCCTCAGCTGTGCCAGCCCTGGAGCTAGCACAGCAAAAAAACAAAGACTAGCAAGAGTCTTTAGGGCTTTCAATGCAGCAACAGCTCCACTGCCCCAGTCCTTCTTGGTCCTAGTTAGGATTGCCCATCCATAGTTGGTTTGATCATCTTACTATCTAGTTACTGGCATTAAAACTGGGGCATGGCAGGATAACCTAGGAAGATTCCAGATCAGGGTCAAGTCCTGGCATCAATAGTATATAGTTCAACATCACTGGCTGAAAAAAAGTTGTAAAAGCTGTTCTAGCTATGTGTCTCTCCCAAGCCTGTGAAGTCACAAAATGAAGTACTGTCATCTAGTGACATCATAGATCAAGGCAACTTCTGCTTCCTCCACTATTAAAGAGATGCACACCTACAAGGTAAAGACTCAGATGCTTCAGTAGACCATTAAATTGTGCTGAGGCCAGCAGCACTGGCACTACAGCCGACAGGGCTGGTTAATCCTCTGGAGAAGAAGTGGGACCTGGGCTGGTGCTAATTGGGAAGAATGAAACTTCTATAGAAGCCAATAGGGCCTCCCCCCCAAAACATGCCACGGCCACTTCTGGCGGGCTGCTCACATTCCCGAGGCCTGAAAGAAGAAGAAGAGGAAATCCAGCCCTGTTACCACCACCACATACCACCTGCCCCAGACCACATCAAGGGTCACATCAGCTCTGGAGACAATCAGATGAAAAATTCAAATGACCCACCCACATTTTCTTTGAAAGGGATGGGTAAAAACAAGAACCGTGGTCCGGGAAGACAGCATGAAGTGAAAAATAGAAATTACAGAAAGAAAATGGCGAGGCAGAACCTAGGGCTTGAAGTAGTGTCTTTGTCTCCAGAACCACTGGGCTTGAACTTGGAATTTCAAGAGCCATTATACAAGGAGGCAACAGTTTCTGATCATTTATCAGATGACGATGACGACTGGAGAGAAAGATACCCGCCATCTGCCTATGACAAAGTGCATCTGTCGAGGATTGCCGGCATGGCTCAGTGTGATCCATACAATTACAACACAACTAGTCTTTCGGGGATGGAGGCTTTCTCTTCGTGGGGGTTCAGTGACAACGAGACGTGTATTGGGTGCCCTTCTCATACCAAGACGGATGAAAGCTATGTTGCCCATGAAGAACCCATAGAAAATATGGAATATGTGTCTCCGCAGCTGAGCTACCAAGAGCTTAGGGAGGAAAATTCCATGCTGAGGAGGAAGATCAGAAGGATCCAAAACTTCTCAGAAAGTCAGACCCAAATGGTAAGGAACCTGGAGAGGACATTGCAAGCCACGGTGAATAAAGAGGAGAAAGACGCTCAGGATCTGGAAGCTCTGGTGCAACAGGCAGAACAAAATCTCCAGTGCATGACTCAAAGAGCCCTGAAGGCAGAGAGTGATGTTGAGAAGATGAAGCAGGAGATGTGCTTCCTCCAGGCTGAGCTGACCTGTTACAAAGTGGAGAACGAAAACCTGCGATCAGGCCAAACTAGCAACATGGGAGCAGTGAAACAGCATGTTGAAATTGCCTTGCAGAACCTCCTCAGGGTCACCAACCATGCACACGCTACCATCCACCAGCTCGTCTTTGGAGCTGAGACGTTGGCGCTTGTTGCTGACCTCCTTAAATCTGTAGGCAGGATGTCTGAAGTTGAAGAGGAAGTGATAAAAGAAACTTAGGGAGCTCTCTTGCCTGCAAGTGCAGTGCTCCTGTGGTACCTTTTGAAGCTTAAAGAATTTGCTCTCGTAACGCTGAGGCATTCCATGGCTCCAAATAAGCGACCTCTCTCTTTCCCCCAGAAGTACTTTTATTACATAATGGAAAATTAATTTCATATACTCATGACTTGAATACTCTGTTTCAAAGCTTAACTTATAAGAGGTAACAGTGTTCAGGTCCCATGGACACCTGCAGACCTTAGTTTAGTTTTTTTTAAGACTCAGGCTTTGAGCCAAGCTAATGTGGAACACCGGATTGACGCTTGTGTGCTTGTAGCAGCCACACGGAATGGGGGAGATGATTCAGATTGGAACAGTGGCCTGGTGGGGAGGAGAATTCAGATCCTCCCCACCTCACCAGCCAGGACTGCTATTTGTACACAGCTCTGAGTACATCCTCAATCTTAAGGATGTTTTCAGATGAGATGGGAGCCACTGTCATGTTATTTATGTAAACGTCTAAGCCCTGCTGGTGTAGGGCAATGGGAAAAGAGCCTTTGTAAAGCAGATAAACATGCCGCCTAATGCAAGTTGTGGGATAGCTCAGTTGGTAGAGCATGAGACTCTTAATCTCAGGGTCGTGGGTTCAAGCCACACATTGGGCAAAGTATTCCTGCATTGCAGGGGGCTAAACTAGATGATCCTCATGGGTCTTTCCAGCTCTACAATTGGTCCTTCCAGCTCTACAATGTAGATTCTACGATTCTATGAATCTGCATTTGCATTACAGACAGAATGGTGCAAATGCTGATTTGCACACAAGAAACGCAAAAGCAACAATAGTGGCTGGTCAGTGATTTTGCTCAAAGCCATGTGGCTGAGACTGCTTTCATATGTGAGGCTTCACATTTAGGTAGGGTGGACAGAAGCAAAAGCGGAGGCTCCTGCACTTCCTTAACAGTTGCGGAAAAGGGGGTGGTGTTTCAGCAGGTGTCGCTGCTGGGAAGTCCCTCTGCTACATAGCTATTAACAGGTGTAGGGCCCCTGTCCTCTTTTGCACCTGTTCTTACCTGCCCTGCTAGACATGGGACAACTTGGTTTTTGGCTATTTTACCAATAAATTTGGTTATTGGCTATTTTGAGGCTCAGAGTATACAACCAGAAGCATGTTTTCAGGTGACACCATTGTGGTTTTAAAAAAACAACACCTCATTGGTACTGTGCTTGTCATGTGCTGTTAGCAAGACTTATCCTGAAAGCTACACCTGCTGAAAGTCCCTATACAACATTAAAGGTAGCAAAGGAACAGAGGAAGCTTCTTCATATCAAGCCACACCATCCGTTCATCTAGCTCAGCACTGGGTTTCAGATGGGGGTCGTTCCCATTGCTGCCTGGAGATGCCAGAGTCTAAAACTGTGCATTTTTGCATACAAAGCATATATATTCTGCTGCTGAGGTACAACCCATTTCTTGAAAGGTCAGATGCAGCAGCTGTCTTTTGCATCTGCCTGTGTTGAATTTTAAGGGATCAGGTGTTTTCTAAATGATCTCTGTTGCTTAGAAAAAGAGGAGAGCCACACGTCATGTGAACGAGCATTCTGGGCAATGCTGGATCTACATTCACCCTGCAAGCCCGAGCGCCATTTGCAAAAAAAATCCCAAAACCCAGCTTGAGCTCAGTTGCCTGTTTTTGTGGCATCTATGCAGCATGCACTAGCAGAGGGATGAGATGTGATTGGCCCATATCGCTCATCACTCTCAGCCAACAAGGACCATGCGAATTATGGGTGTTGGACCTCAGCAACATCTAGAAGGCCACCCTGCCCTAACTTTCCACTTTTGATTACATTAGTCCCCAACATCTCACCCATCCTGTTATTCCTATGAGGAAATGAAGTTTACTGTCCCTCTCCCACGGGAGGAGTTGTATCAGTGAGTCAGGAAAACAAGCAGACTGAGCTCAATTTGAATTCAGAGGGACAGAACTTCTCTTCAGCAGTCCTTGGCTTGTAGGGCCCAATCTGCACAGCAGGGAGAGTGAGGGTGGAGAAACAGATCTGCCACCTTTTTTTCTGGCAGTGCTCCTGTACCTTAAGCTGCAGCATGAAAGGCAACAGAAAAAGCTTTTCCAGTTGAAATTTTGCCAGGTCCATGCTTGTTAAGGGCCTTATTAGCCCTTAGCCAGAAAAAAAGTTTCAATCTGAAGGGAGAGCTCTTGTTCACTGTGGTTTGTGTCTTGGTCCCTGGCTTTATTCGTAAAGAGAGGGGCATCTGGTAAAAGACTGTAAGCTACTTGTATGCTTTAGTGCAATCCAGGAAATACATTTTCATTTAATTTATAACAGGCAACCTAGATTGCGACAGCATTCTCAATTGCTAGGAAGGAAATCTAGCGTAACCAGAGAGCAACAAGAAGGCAGTAGGTCACCTGGAGATGCCAGGGATTGAACCTGCAACCTTCTGCACTCAAAGCAGATACTCTGCCACAAAGCTATGGCCCCTTCCCTTGAAGAATAGACCTCAAGCAAGGGATATCAATGGGTAGGCGGTATTGTGCAGGAAGATGGAAAAATGACACTGTGAAGCTGTCCTCCTTTCTCAGGCACAACAAACATGTTTCCAAAAAAGAGCCCAAAATTTATTTATTTTATTTATTTCATAAAATTTATATGCCACTTGATTGTTAAAAAAGAAAACCCTCAAAGTACTTTACAAAGGGAATAAGATAATAAAAAGTATTAGTTAAAAAACCATAAAAACAACTTTAAATAAATTTATTTGGAAGTTCAAGAAAAGCTCCCTCAAATGCAGGCAACTGTGCTGATTCATATAGACAAAGACAGTGCTTTTTTTCGGGCGGGGGGTACACATACCCCTAAACATTTTGTGAATCTTTGTACTTTTGTCCATTTACTGTATTTATTTCCCCCCGATTTGAACTATTTTTCTTGAGTCAAAATGAGAGTATCCCTAAACATTTTTAAAGAAAAAAAGCACTAGACATAGACATACATACACACACACACACACACAGAGAGAGAGAGAGAGAGAGAGAGAGAGAGAGAGAGAGACACACACAGCCCCAAAGAGTTGCAGTACATCACATAATACCCAATTTAGTAGGATCAGCTGTCAGTCATAGAATACATTTATACTGAATAAACTCAACCTGGAACTTTCACAAAGAATCTTCAGCCAGCTGAAATGCAACCTTTAGCTTTTAAGAAGAAAAGCAGACAATTGTACCCTACCTTTAAAAATGCTTGCTGTGAAATAGAAACCCCATCAAAGAAAAGGGGGGGGGGTAAATATCTAGCCTCTACTTTGTTTTTCTGCTTCTCTGACTTCCCTAGAACCATAGGGAAACATGAAAGCCTTCTTATCACCTGCTTTCAGCTGCCAGAGCAAGGTGTGCCTCTCAATTACTCTGGAACTCCAGCAGATGACGCCCTGTTCTGGAAAAAAAGTCCCAGAGTTGTGCCCCCTCTCCCTCCCGTCCTCCTAGTCCATTCTCCTAGCTGATGCTCCTCCCAGGCAGCCTTTACTCTGAAAGCTCTTAGTAGACATTACATTGACCTTTTAAAGTTTATTTCCAGAATCATGAGGGCTGGGAACCACAACTGTATAGGAAATCAATGCAATTGCTTCCGGCCAGATAAATGTGTGCTGAGAGCTGGAGTGGTCTCCCTTGAAAAAAGTTATTATCACTCATGAAAAATTGGAACAGGGTGGAATATACTGGTAGGTTGCACCTTCATGGAAATGTCTTCTGTTTTATTGGTTTTGCTCTTTGGCATCAGACTAGAAATTCAGGAAACGTTCCTTCAGAAAGGGAAAAAACCCAACCTGAAATGAGGCAATTTCTTGCTCATCTCCAGGAATGTTGGTGATGCAGCCTGAACTTCCAGAAAGGGGCAGTTGCCAAATGAGAAGAAGATAACTTCCCTCTCTGCTTTAGTGTGTGTGGTGCAGAAAATACACTCCTTTTTCATTTTTAAGAAGCTGCCTTATGGCATTGACGAATCTCATCTTAAGTCAGGGTTTGTCCACACTTACGTTTTACACTTTCCAGGCACATGTCCATGTTGTAAAGTTCTGGGTCTGAGCACTCTTTCACCCAGATATCTCCTTGCAAAAACCTGCTCTTTAAAGCACAACAAATGGCAATTCCAGACCCTCCAAGTGTCCCTATTTTCCAGGGATGTTCCTGATTTAAAGAAGCTGTCCCAGTTTTTGCTTTGATCCCAGAATGTCCCACTTTTCCTTAGGTAAAGGTAATGGGACCCCTGACCATTAGGTCCAGTCATGGCCGACTCTGGGGTTGCGGCGCTCATCTCGCTTTATTGGCCGAGGGAGCCGGCATACAGCTTCCGGGTCATGTGGCCAGCATGACTAAGCCGCTTCTGGCAAACCAGAGCAGCGCACGGAAACGCCGTTTACCTTACCTATTTATCTACTTGCACTTTGACGTGCTTTAGAACTGCTAGGTTGGCAGGAGCGAGGACCGAGCAACAGGAGCTCACCCCGTTGCGGGGATTCGAACCGCCAACCTTCTGATCAGCAAGTCCTAGGCTCTGTGGTTTAACCCACAGCGCCAACCGCGTCCCCCTTTTCCTTAGGATGTCCCTATTTTCATTGGAGAAATGCTGAAGGGTATGAAGTTATCCTACCCCTGAGCTGTCTGAAGGCAATCCTGTATAGGAATTTTTTTCTTTATGTTTACAATATTTTATTGTGTTTTTATATATGTTGGAAGCTGCCCAGAGTGGCTGGGGCAAACCCAGTAAAAAGTGTGGGGCATAAATAGTAAAATTACCATTATGGAATGGGACGTCCCTATTTTCATCGGAGAAATGTTGGAGAGTATGCAGTTCAGGTTTTCTATGCAGTTGCTGTTTGCTCTGATTCAGCAATTGTTAGCATCTGTCTCGAGACACAGTGGAGCGTGCCCCCAAGGGTGAAGTGAAACTGCTGCATAAGCAGCACCAAAGTGACCTTCTGGGACACAAGCCTGGGCAGCGTGTCTGGAGGTCCTGGACTGCCCAGATTACAAGACCCCATTCTCTGCCTCGCTACTGTGGTCCAAAGGAAAGCAGAGCAATATGTTTCCAATGTATCTACTGTATCATTTAAAGCCTTATGGATTCCAGCCTTCTGTTTCCAGATCCCTCTCACACAAGTTGCACTCCGCTTTCAGAATTTATGGTGGAAGCCTTGGCATCACTCTGAGCCCAATTCTTAGAAGCCATAGAACGCATCATACAATGAGCTTAAATCACCTTTGAGCCTTCCCCCCCCCCTTCCTGTTTGAAAAGTCTGAGCGTTCTTTTTCATGTGAAAGAGAAAGGGGAAGGGAGGCATTTGCAATGTGAATAAGTTTTCAGCCAGCATAAGCTTTGCATTTGCATTGCAAAGGAACTGAAGCAAGCGCTTCTTCAAAATTCAGTTATTTGGATGGCACCTCATCACCAAACATTTAGGAAATAGTATAATTGCATTTCAAAGCAACTGAAGCAGGCAATAATTTTAAGCAACTCTGGTTCTAGGGTTCTGAGGCCCTTGGACACAGTGCCCTTCGTGGGGTGGGGCTAACCTGAAAGATGTGGGGCAAGCGAACTGAGGATTCCCTTGTTGTTGTTTAGTCATTTAGTCATGTCCAACTCTTCATGACCCCATGGACCAGAGCACGCCAGGCACTCCTGTCTTCCACTGCCTCCTGCAGTTTGGCCAAACTCATGCTGGTAGCTTCGAGAACACTGTCTAACCATCTCATCATCTGTCATCCCCTTCTCCTTGTGCCCTGCATCTTTCCCAACATCAGGGTCTTTTCCAGGGAGTCTTATCTTCTCATGAGGTGGCCAAAGTATTGGAGCCTCAGCTTCATGATCTGTCCTTCCAGTGAGCACTCAGGGCTGATTTCCTCCTCAGTAGTATGTAGGACGCCTTCCGACCTGAGGGGCTCATCTTCCAGCGTCATAACTTTTATATGCCTGTTGTCTTTGTCCATGGAGTTTTTTTGGCAGGGGATACTGGAGTGGCTTGCCGGTTCCTGCTCCAGGTGGATCACGTTTGGTCAAAACTCTCCACTATGACCTGTCCATCTTGGGTGGCCCTGCACGGCATAGCTCATAGCTTCTCTGAGTTATTCAAGCCCCTTCACCATGGCAAGGCAGTGATTAGGCTGCCTCCAATCTTCTTGAATACTCTCTGAAAAGTAGTAAGGATAGCACTGTTAGGACAGTGAGTCCATTGCTAGTTTAGGGACCCTGGCAAATGCTCAACCTTCACACCCTCCAGAGCCAACTGTGGTTTTAAGCCTCACTTGTGAAAATCTGTTTAGTTCTAAGGTACAGTCTGAAGATGCAGCAACCTTGCTGAAGCTAAGCAGTCTACTCCTGACCTGTGCCTTGCTAGGAGACAGCCTGAGAACGCAATATACACCTGCTTGAGTTCTGTAATGCAGGAAGATGGGATAGAATACAGACAACAAAAAGCCTATGCTTTCTTTGACTAGGGTATGGACAAAATGGCCACACAGGCCAAGACTGGTCCACATGCTAGAGGTTACCTACTCTGGTCTAGACTATGACTAATCTTTTTAGGTGTTGTGATATTTCTTCCACACTTTTGTCTCTAAAACAGGTATTCACCCCACAGCGACTGCCAAATATGGCTGCCACCGCTGCTACCCACCAGCCCTGAGGTACCACCACCTTGCGTGTACACTTGTGTGTGACACCCACTCCCTCACACAACACCAGAAACCTCTCACCTCTACAACGAGGAGTACCTCATGATAAAGCGAGTCATGGGCAGCATCCGGGTAAACAGGTGAGGGGCTGTTCTGTCCAGTCTTTATTGTTCTGTGTCCATCTGAACTTCCTGTTGGCCACACATATAACCCAACAGCTGCGTATAAAAATCCCTCCCTTTGATACACCCAAGGCACAAACAACACAAGGCATGTACATTGCTACAACCTGATTTGTATACAAGAGCATCTTGCATTTTAGACTTTGATCCACCATCCAAGATGCCTCTTAATATTGTTCCCAGCAGCAATGGTGACATCAGTTCAGGAAGCACGGCAAGAAGTATCCGAAAGAAAGTCCTGTCATGGGGGTTTAGAGCTCTTGCTGCAGCTTAGGATAAGGGTAGGGGTCCTGGCGATCTCACAAGTTAATATGGATTAGCAGTAAACACTTGCAGATGATCATTTTGAACTAGGCTTGCCAGCCAGCAGCAGCAGGAGTAGCTCTCCTCCCGTTACGGCAAAATGGAAATAGAGAGGGTGACATATTTTGAGGGAGAAGGAGACAAAGGCAGGTCGCATATCTTGGAGAGAGGGAGTTTCTTTCAGGGTATCTGCCAACCCTTTGTCTCTTGATCTCTAAATTACACCTTTGGTTTTAGATCCAGGATGCTGGGAGACACGCTTGTTGCTGTAGCAACAGAATTGTCTAAACTGTGGAAGTGTATAAACATTGTCACAGATGCACAATTAGATCAACAAACGAGAACGGAACAGAAAATAGAAGCTTCCGGCCTTATGCAATCCAGAGTTAACATGTAGTTATGAAACCATATTCACGTAGCCCCTTGTCTGCCCTGTCAAATCTAGGAGGTCACTCTAGTTGTCTGTATAGTGAACGCTTGTGTTGGAAGATGTATGCATGCGAGTGCCACTCAGATAAATCTCTGTGCTTTGGGTAGTACTAGCTGAAGGCTGCACTGTTGTGATACATATTCTTCATACCACTGCTTTGTGCAATGACTTGAGTTCTGATCTGCTCAATGAGATCCAGAGGACCTTCTGAATCCCTGTATTGAAGGTACTCTGTGACGCCTGGAACTCTGAGTCTCATATGGGGTTAAGTCATTACACCCTCTACTTTGAAAATGGTTTCAATTGCTTTCCCCCTCTCATTCCCAATATGTACATATACAAAAATATAATATTTTAAAACTGCAAAGAACAGAACATCATTTTAATTGCAGGTATTTTGAAGTCAGAATGATTCACCCTTCTGAATCGCTCTCTCTCTCTCTCTCTCTCTCACTCACACACACACACACACACACACACACACTTCATCTTGGTCACTCAGCACATCTGGTGCAGTGTGCCCACAGACACATATACCAGAAGTCCAGTAAGTCAATGATCCTGCAGTGAGTCAAATGAGGCAATGGACCTCTCTGCATGAGTGTTAGTGGAGAGATTTAAGGCAGGGCTGAGGAACCTATGGACTTCATCTCCCATCAGTCCCAGCCATCATAGGCCTATAGTCAGGAGTGATGGGTATTATAAACCAACAACTTCTAGAGGGCATGCTCCCACACATGCTCCCTCAAAGGTACCTTTCTCCCACTTTTAACTGTGATCTTTCTCCCCTCAAAAGGTACAGTATTGTCTCCACTGAAGAGGATGGACATAAAGTTTCTTCCCTTGGCAGCATTAATGGGCACAGTCGGAATGGAAAAGGCCACGCCCCGCGACGGAAACGCCGCAACCGTTTTGTCAAGAAGAACGGCCAGTGCAATGTCTATTTTGCCAACCTGAGCAACAAATCCCAGCGCTACATGGCTGACATTTTCACAACATGTGTGGACACTCGCTGGAGATACATGCTCATGATCTTCTCGGCAGCCTTCTTGGTCTCCTGGCTGTTTTTTGGCCTTCTCTTCTGGATCATTGCTTTCTTTCACGGTGACTTAGATGCCCCCAGTGCAGGAAGCGGCTCTCCCGCAGCAACAAAATTCTGCATCAAGCACGTCACTGGGTTCTTGGGAGCTTTCCTCTTTTCAGTAGAAACACAGACAACCATCGGTTATGGCTTCCGATACGTGACTGAGGAATGCCCCCTAGCCATCATGGTGGTAGTGGTACAATCCATTGTGGGCTGTGTTATTGACTCTTTCATGATAGGCACTATCATGGCTAAGATGGCACGCCCCAAGAAAAGGGCCCAAACTCTCCTTTTTAGCCATCATGCTGTCATCTCTCTACGGGACGGCAAGCTCTGCCTCATGTGGCGGGTGGGAAACTTGAGGAGGAGCCATATTGTGGAAGCTCACGTTCGGGCCCAGCTTATCAAGCCCTACATGACAGCAGAAGGCGAGTACCTTCCGGTGGACCAGCGAGACCTGAACGTGGGCTATGACATAGGCCTTGACCGCATCTTCTTAGTGTCTCCCATTATTATCGTTCATGAGATCGATGAGGAAAGCCCACTCTATGGGATGGGCAAGGAACAGTTGGAGAGGGAGGACTTCGAGATTGTCGTCATCCTTGAGGGCATGGTGGAAGCTACAGCCATGACCACACAGGCTCGCAGCTCCTACCTGGCCAGCGAGATCCTTTGGGGACACCGTTTTGAGCCTGTTGTCTTTGAGGAGAAGAAACATTACAAAGTGGACTATTCACGCTTCCACAAGACCTACGAGGTGGCTGGAACCCCTTGCTGCTCTGCTCGGGAACTACAGGAGAGCAAGATCACCATCTTGCCTTCGCCTCCACCGCCCCCCAGTGCCTTCTGCTATGAGAATGAGCTGGCTCTTGTCAGCCAGGATGAAGACGAGGAGGAGGATGACTTGGCTGTAGGAGTAGATTTAGGAGTAAGCGCCACGGAAGATGCAGGAGTCATACCTATGATGGAGTTTGGGAGCCACATGGACCTCGATCGGTTGCAGGTCTCCATCCCTCTGGATACCCTCTCATACCGCAGGGAATCTGCCATCTAATCTCCACACTAAACTTTCCATCCCATCCTTATTCTCCACCATTTCCTTCTCCCTTTAGTACCAGTGCTTGGTTGGAAAAGCCCCTCAGTACTGCTTCTTCTACTGACTCTTAAAAACCTGAGAATGTAAAGACTCTCAGGCATCTTGCTATGAGGGTTAGGAAAAACAATGTTTTCAGACATTCTGGATTCAGAACAGAACTGAGATCATTTCCCCACTTCATTTCCACAGTTCAGCTTTTCCGTGTGGCTCAAAACTATGAAAAGACAGCAATAGCTACTATGGCGTAGGGTAATATGGGAGATAGTTTGTTAAGCTGCCAGCTTTGGGACCAGTGATCACTAAAGTGTTTAACGTGATTGCTGTGGGACAAAAAAAAGCTGCAATGTCAACCATGCTGGGATAAACTGGAGAATCTGGTGTTTCGTGGGACAGGGGAAGATACGATGTGGGGGGATATAATCTGCATGTATATTATTTGTTGCATACTTAAAATGTTGCCTCAGGAGAGAATAGCTTTAGCTTCCTCTGCTCTCATGCATTAACGATTCAGCTCTTCTCATCCTGGTTCTTGGTATCCATGATTTCCTAAGTAAGTTAATGAACTTGTCTCTGATCCTTTTGAGATTTTGGTCCCTTCCAATGGAGGCAAGTGAGAGAAATTTGCAAGAGGAAAGATTCCCAACTGGACCAGCATCTAATGACCAGTAACTGGTCTCTTCTAAGCAATGGGATCTATATGCTCAACCCACCTTCACCATCCGACTCATTCCGTGTTCTCACCTGAAAAAAACTGACTTTGTAACTATTTATTTTTTAATAAAATATAATGTTTCAGGGGAAGCCTGACAACAAAGAGAAGGGAGAACCCAGGTTCGGTGCATTATGCAATGATTAGCATTTGCATGGTGACCAATCCCATGTGCAAATCAACTCCACAGACTTAAACTGGTTTAATAGATCCACTCATCCCTAAGGAATTATGAGGAATGGTTTTATAAGGGAGTTTAAACAGAATTCATTGCATCCTCCTTAAACTATAATTTCCTCTCTTCTTTGGTGGTGGTGGGGAGCGATAATGGTTAAACTGATATAAATCCAACAATGGTTAATAGTGTATAGACATGCCTGTACAGCAGGGGTAGCCAACATGATTTTTCCAGATATTTTTGGACTCCAATTCCCATCAGCCTTAGCCAGCACAAGCAAACCAATATGCCAAGCCCCACAAAGCTTACAACCTAGACATGCTGACATATGGGTTTAAATTAGGGTAAAAGAGGGGTAGGAGTATGTTATATACGCATACGTACACCATAGGCCAGGAGTGGATAAAAAGAAAATAACAGGTTATGAAAAGGCCAGATATATGACAAGCATAAGAAATGAAAATGAGAATTGAAGGCAGTTAATGTGATGCATTGGATATTTCCAAGGTAAACTGTGGGCTTCACATCTATGAGGAGAAAGAAGCAACATTTGATGAAGAGCTTTGAGTAACTTGAACACCCTGCATGGACTCAGCAGAAGGTTGGTAAGATGCAGCTGCTTAATTACCTGGCCTTCCTCGCCTCATTAACCAAATGTATCTTTTCCGTTAGCTCACTGGCAGATAAAGGTTATTATGTTCTTATCGGAATTCGTGAGAACCCCGCAGATGAAAGACTTCAGTACGGGTCCACAGAGATAACAAAGGCATTCTTAATTTGTTCGGCACTGGTTAAATACTTCCGTTTTTACTAATAATGACAAAACTCCTGCTCATGAGTTATAAAGTGGTACCTCGGGTTAAGTACTTAATTCGTTCTGGAAGTCCGTTCTTAACCTGAAACTGTTCTTAACCTGAAGCACCACTAATGGGGCTTCCTGCTGCCGCCACACTGCTGGAGCACGATTTCTGTTCTCATCTTGAAGCAAAGCTCTTAACCTGAAGCACTATTTCTGGGTTAGCGGAGTCTGTAACCTGAAGCGTATGTAACCCAAGGTACCACTGTAAAGTACGCGTACTAAACGGGCTGATCTTGCTTTTCTACTCCCTGGCATCCTGTTGCCAACTAGGGAAAGGAAAAGGGGATGGGAGTGATTTGAGCATGGCCAAGGAATATGCAAGGAAGACTAAAGGCTCATCTAGACTTGTCTTTGCCCAATGGGCCAAGGAAACCTAGTCTTTTTTTACCGAATCAGAGAAAACAGCAATCAGGTTTTCTCAAGATTGGGATGTTTACTCCGATTTCTTGCTAAAGAGAGTTTCAAAAATAAAAATTTAATTTTCGTGTTTCACCCAGCGACCCACCAAACGGCTCACCGGGACAAAGAATAGCTAGATAAGAGGCACACAGACGCTTCTGATCTCCAAACCCTCAAAACACAGAAAACCATGGGGCAGCTTGGAAAAGAACACCAACAATATATTTCACACATGAGCACACATGGCCAAGACAGAACAGGGATAGTAAAGGGATATTGAGACAATCCTAATCCTCTGACTCCCTTCATACCTGGCCATTGGCTGCAGCCTACAGGAGGTGGAGCTCAACACCATCTGCAGGGCCACCATCTGACCTAGATGGTCCCCCATACCACATAAACACGTCAGCAACAATCCTCTCACAATTGATTGCGGCTAATTGGCCGTGGAAGCCACACAGGGACTGAATGGTGCTACTACTCTGAATTTCCCGTTGCTTGTCTCACACACAGCCTCACGCGCTGATGCTGCTCCATTTGCGTGCCAGACCCCACCCCACCCCGTCCCTCACAACCTTTTCCTTCCCCTGTGATAATTAATGAAGTCTTTTCTCTTAGGGCATGAGAGAGGGCCAGTATTGACTTGGCTTTTAATATAGCTTTCAGAGGCTGGCACTCGTCTCTGGGGCATTGTACTGGAAAGTTAACTAATGGACTGAGAAGGAAGGGCTCTGTACACGAGGACACGGGAATCCAGGACACATTACTGCTCTCCCCCCCAACGCCCCATCAGACACATATACGCAAACACCCTGACTCAGGAAGGTGGGCATCAGGATAGGAGGCCTGGTGGATTTGCACGTGCATGCGGCATAACAGTGCGCACCAACTGTACCATACAGAGGTAATGTGTTTTGGCTGCACGGTCATGAGATTTGCAGAGGTTCATCATGTGCCAAAGGACTATGCTAACCATCTTCCCATGCCACAAACAGATGGAGGAAGATCTCCCGTGCAAACAAAGGGAAAAGGAGGACAATGCTTCAAGCATGCAGATGTGCAGGCCTTGGGATGGGAGAATAATTCTGGATGTGCAGAAATATACAGGCTATTCAAATGCAGGAGGAGAGCAGTGCAAGGGCTGTCCTGAATGCTGCAGGGTGCAGGAGGCCTATGTGATGCAGGTCACTCCATCTCAGCCTCTTCAAAGCTCTGAGAAACATCCTAGGGAATCCATGATCTCCAGAAAGATCTGCATCCTCTCTTTCATGGTCCCTTTGGCGTCAGCACCCAAACACTGCCACTGCCCTGCAATTCTATGCTCTCTCCCATACCGGTAGGGCTAACTTGTACATTTCAAGCCTTTCCAGGATGCTTCAAATCTTGCTGGGAGGCGTATAGGGCCTTACAGGGTCAGATCGGAAGAAGGGTGCATCCACATGAAAGCTTATACCCAGAACAAACTTAGTTGGTCTCTAAGGTGCTACTGGACAATTTTTTAAATTTTATTTAGAAGGCCTTACATTGTGTCACTGGAACCAGATGTGGAAGGCCTAGGTGGGGGGCAACGAAGGAAGAGATCTCCACCTGAGTGCAGCTGAATTTGCGTAGTCATGAGGCTGGTATCTCTCACACGCCGATGCATTTTGGTGCTGCCCCTTTCCAAATACACACTTAATTTCTTCATTTATTGTTACATTTGCATCCTGCCTTTCCTCCAAGGAGCTCAAGGTGACACACATGGCTCTCCCCCTCCTCGTTTATTCTCCACAACAACTTTGTGAGTTAGGATAGGCTCAGAGGACGTGACTGGCCCATGGTCAGCTAGTAAGCTTCATGGCTCAGTGGGGATTTGAACCCTGGTCTCCAGGTCCCTAGTCTCTAACCACTACACGACACTGCCTCTCTACCAAGTAGAAAATGTACCTTTTCTGTTGGTTACACAACCAGTTAGAACACAAGGAACCAATCCGGCACAACAGGGGCCAGCAACCTTGAGAGGTTCGGTGCAATTAAAGTGGATTAAAGGACTCTCTGGCCCTAGTGCAACAAACCCACCTTACAAAAAACTTATTTGTTTGTGATTAGGAAGGTGGCTGGAAAATGCATTGGAAAGTGTGGAGTGATTAATGGGAAAACATAAATACCCAGGAGTGGCTGGTGGGGTTGTGTGGGTGCTTTGCTTTCTTCTCTGACTGCATTGTTGCTGCTTAACAAGAGGGAGAGAGGCAAGGCAGTGGAAACTCAGTGTAGTGTGGGCACGGTGGCGGACCGAATCTGCTGCGCCTGCTGCTGCATGCGCACTGTAACAAGCTCCCACTGCCATGCTCCTCCTCTCGGTAAGCGGCAGCAACGCAGCACAAGAGTTCTGTGGTGAAGGGATATGGTGTTCGCAGGCTTCACAAACCTGGCTTGGGGTGTCTCCGTACTGCCACTGTTTTTGCTGGAGTGATTCAAGCGCAGAGTGTGAAATTTAGGTCTGAGCAATTGAAGTGAATTAGAGCATTCTGTCGCCCTTGCACAACAAATCCACTTTTAAAGAAAAGAAACAGGTTTCTCTGTGGTTAGGAAAAGGACAGGGAAATCCACTGAAAAGGGCATATTGAACACAGAACTTAATCAAAAGATGTATGCTTTTCGAGACATTTTGTGCAGTAAGCGATGAACAAATGCAAATAGTCATAAATACTTCACAAGCAAATCAGGGTGAACGCTCACTCTCATATTAAGGCCCTGTAAACAAATCAGAACTAATAAATAAAAATAAAAATAAAAAATTATTTATACCCCAACCTGGCTGGGTTTCTGCAGCCACTCTGGACGGCTCCCGACAGAATATTAAAAACACGATAAAAGATCAAACATTAAAAACTTCCCTAAACAGGGCTGCCTTCAGGTGCCTTCTAAAAGTCAGATAGTTGTTTATTTCCTTGACATCTGATGGGAGGGCCTTCCACACGGTAGGCACCACTACTGAGAAGGCCCTCTGCCTGGTTCTCTGTAACCTCACTTCTCGCAGCGAGGGAACCGCCAGAAGGCCCTCGGCGCTGGACCTCAGTGTCTGGGCAGAACAATGGGGGTGGAGACGCTCCTTCAGGTATACCGGGCCAAGGCAGTTTAGGGCTTTAAAGGTCAGCACCAACACTTTGAAATGTGCACAGAAATGTGCTGGGAGCCAATGAAGGCTCCCAGTGTTTCAGGACCTGTGTTTTATGGTCTCGGTGACCACTCCCAGTCACCAGTCTACCTGCCGCATTCTGGATTAGTTGTAGTTTCCGGGTCACCTTCAAAGGTAGCCCCAAGTAGAGCACATTGCTGTAGTCCAAGCGGGAGATAACTAGTGCATGCACCACTCTGGTGAGACAGTCCATGGGCAGGTAGGGTCTCATCCTGCGTACCAGATGGAGCTGAATAGAGATCAGGTACAGTCTAACCCTCTACATGAACTATGTGCAGCCAAATCAGAATAAACCCTCAATAAACAGGTAATCCGGAGGAGCCCTTAGACTGAAGAGGAGTTCCTGGAAAAATGTAAAAATAGGTCCACAGTGCTCTACATTGAAGCAGAAAAGCACTATTTTTCTGTCATGCAGAAGTCCCACATTCAGTTTCTGGCATCTTGAGCTGAAGGCCTGCACCCGAGACCCTGGAGAGCCACTGCAAGTCAGAGCAACCAATAACGGATGAGAGACGGACTCTGACTCAGTAGATGGCAGGTTCGTTTGTTTAATTTGAGCTGACAGCAGGAAGATTGCTCAGCTTTCCCACCCACCCTTCACTCCCACTCAGGTCAAACACCTGAAGTACCGGGTTGATGAGATGCAAATCATCCTTATAATTGGACATTACTTCCCTGCCTTGCACTCAAGGAACAAAATACTAAGAGTGATGTTTTATGGGTAAGAGGAAAGCAGGCCTGCTTGATTGTCCCAAGTGCACCACCTAGTGGCCAATAGGGGCATTGCACATATAAGTGGAGAATTAACGGCACACACTCCAGATGATGTAATGCAGCCTTTGCCCCCCATAGGTATTGGATTAAGACTCACTTTCAGCTCCAGACAGAATGAGGCTGATGGGAGATGTAGTCCAAAACCTATAGAGGGCACCAGGATGGCAAAGGTTGGTGTCATGTTTGGAACAGGATTATTATTTCCCCCATGGGGGAAAAAAGTGATATGAGAGGGAGAGAGGAATGAGACACACAAATGCTCCTTGTTAGTATTTTGGTATCAGAATAGACTATATATTTTGAAAGTTTTTTGTTCTTTATATCTTAAGAGGTGTCCAAATGCATCAGAGATTAAAGTCTTAACTTACATCTTAAGATAACCAAATTTTCTGTGATGGTTCCTCAGGGAGCATGTTTTCATCTATGTTTAGATGCCATTTTGAATCAAAACTGCACTATTTTTTTTAGTTTTGCTTCTTAGAATTCTCAACCATTGCCATGTATGGGGCTGCTAGAGGCATATATTTTGAAGGGATATGTGAGGAACTGTACTTTTAAAGGTGTTCTGAAATGGAAAGTAATGTTCTGATAGAATGGTTTGGGCAGGATGACCATCACATTAAAAGCAGACACCGAATAAGCAGAAGGGATTTTAGCCCATAATTCTTTATAAAGGATCACTGGCTGCAACCAATGCCAGGGCTCCAGGATGTTTAGTTTTTGGGGGGGGGATGGGGAGAGAATCTCTACAGGCAGAGCATAACTATTAAAGGTACAACAGCCTTGCTCTGTACTGCACCTACACATGCTTTTTGCACAAGATGCCACAAGTCCTGTTGGTTCCAAAAAAACCTTCCTGGGACAGAATTGCTGAGACTGGTTTACTGCAGATTTCTTTAAAAATCAAAATCAAAATCTGTATCTGTATCTCACCTATCAGCACAAAAGCTGCTAAGCTGGCTGTCACAAACGTTTGGGTTTTTAAAATATATTTTTAAGGAAAATTCAAAACAAACTACAAAACAAAAATACAATAAAGAAGGCAATAACTCAGTGCTTGAGCCTTGTGTGCAAAAGGTCCCAGGATCAATTCCTGGCCTCTCCAGCAGGACTCACCACTAACACTTCCCCTCCCCCTCCCATTAAACCAGACTTCCCCAACCTGCTTATTTTTTTTCTTTTCCGCTTTTCATCCAAATGAATCCCAAAGCAGCTTACAACCAAGAAACAACAACACGATAGAACATCACAAATACGGCTCAAATTGTATAGAATAATTAACAAATATTCTGTGGATCGATTACAATATATTTTTTAAAAAAGTAAAGGTAAAGGACCACTGGATGGTTAAGTCCAGTCAAAGGTGACTATGGGGTTGCAGCATGGGAGGTTTTTGTCCACCACCCACTTTCCGAGGTGGTTGGCAGGAGCTGAGACAGAGCAATGGGAGCCCAACCCGTTGCAGAGATTTGAACCGCCGACCTTCTGATCAGCAAGCCCAGTGGTTTAGACCACAGCGCCACCTGCGTCCTTTACCTCTACAATCTATGAAACACTGTTAACAAAGGAACAACAAAAAATAAGCTAAATGTCACAATTAAAGCAGAAGTCATATTATATGATTAACCAATCAATTCAGCATTTATAATCTATAAAACAACACTAACAAAACAGCAACCAAAAAAGTAAACTGAGCACGACTACATTCCTACACACACTCTCCACCCTCCCCATGACTCAGATCACCCTCTGCACAGCCTGGAAACAGATAAGAGGGCTGCAAAACTCAGCAGCCCATGGGGTAAGATAGCCAAACTTCCTTCAGTAGCCCCTGCCTTAAGATTGCAGCCTCAGTATATACGGTAGGTAAAGTAAAGGGACCCCTGACCATTAGGTCCAGTCGTGGCCAACTCTGGGGTGGCGGCGCTCATCTCGCTTTATTGGCTGAGGGAGCTGGCGTACAGCTTCCGGGTCATGTGGCCAGCATGACTAAGCCGCTTCTGGCGAACCAGAGCAGCGCACGGAAACACTGTTTACCTTCCCGCCGGAGCGGTACCTATTTATCTACTTGCACTTTGACGTGCTTTTGAACTGCTAGGTTGGAAGGAGCTGGGACCAAGCAACGGGAGCTCACCCCATCATGGGGATTCAAACCGCCAACGTTCTGATCGGCAAGTCCTAGGCTCTGTGGTTTAACCCACAGCGCCACCCGCGTCCCTCAGTATATAAAAGGGGCTTAATTATGCACAGGATGAAACTGGACCCTTTCTAGGTGTTCTCAGGTTGCAGGTAACGGAAAGGCTCCAAGATCTGTCCTCTTGACCCCAAAGGACAGCATGGGGAGCCTGCATGCAGCTAAATGATTATTTACTTATTTTGGATTGGGCAGGTTGGAGGGGGGGAAATGATCCGTCATAAACCACTTGCAGAAAGCAATTTCCTTCCTTCTCCCATCCCACGTACATCAGCTATTACAGTGAAGAGAGGCCCTTTGTTTAATTGGTGCCTCGCCCCGGCCCGGCCAGTTTGTTTAGCTGGCCAGGACAAGCTGTCCCTTCTGCGGAAACCCCTTGCATAAGAATTAAATCTAAGCTGGGTTGAGAATGATGCTGGGCTAATCCACTGGAGCATGCTGGGAAGGCACACTTCAAAGCCATCCTTTCTCCCTCTCCTCTCGCCTATATGCGTATCACTGCTGCTGCTGCTGCTGCTCTTCCCGCAGAAGAATGTGCGCTTGTCTCCTCGCTGAACTGGCTGGTTTCATAACAGCATGTGCTGCCCCATCCAATCCACATGGGGGCAGCCATGCCCACGGAAGTCCCCCAAAGCTCGGCGCCTGGCCTACTCACCGATGAGAAACAAACAAACAAGCCACCACCCTGAAGCTTTGCGCATCACTGCCCGCCCACGCACAGCACACATGTGCTGCTGCCGCTCGCTAGTCAGTAAATCCGTATTCTCGCACAGATGCTCATTGTTAAAACGTGCATCCCCCCTGCTCACCGCTTCACAAATGTGCTGTGCACGTGAATCACATGTGCATCCCATACTCCTTTCAAAGCTGCAGCGGCTTGCTCTGAATTCAGCACATGGACACATGATGCGCACGGCCCTACCATTAGGCCGAGGTGGATGACAAAGGGTGGCGAGTGGCAGCAAGGAATGAAAAGCGTAGAGCTGTGTGCCACATGGTCTGCCCTGTAGCCCCTAAGTTAGCCTGCTGCCCCAGGAGCAGGGGAATAAGAGATGGAGCTCAGAGGTTGAGCATCTGCACCTCATGCAGAACTCCCTAGGTTCAATCCCCTGCATCTTCAGTAGGGCTGGGAGAGACTCCCTTTCTGAAACCCTGGAGAGCCATTGCCTGCCAGTGCAGATAATAGATAGACCAATGGTCTCACTCGGTATGAGTCAGCTTCCTATGTTCATATGAGGACACTGTCCTCTTCATCAGGCAGTATGACTTAAGAGTCAGTTCCCAATGGAATTAACTTCTGTGTATGGAAAAGAGTGGGAGGCCCCATATCGCCTTTCAACTGAAGCAGTAAAATGTGTCGGGCTTTATGCACAGTCCTCCCAATACGATTTGCTTTAATATTTGTATGCCACTTTTCCGGCAGGAAAAAACAACTACTCTGTGCCCAAATCAGCTTGCAGCAACAAAATCAGCTTGCAGCAGCGGCAGCTACATCGAATAGCATTCCAGTCCAAGTAGCAAAAGCAGTAATGAAACATATCAAAGCCGCAAAGGAAATATTTCAGAAACAGTTGGTAAGAATGTAAGGAGAGCCTGCTGGATGAGGCCAGTGGCCCACCTAGTCCAGCATTCTGTTCTCACAGTGGCCAACCTGTGGGAAGCCTGCTAGCATCGTTTAGTCACATAGTAATAACAGCCACGGCTAACGAATGCCAATGGAATTGCTTTACAATTAGCAATAATATTTACCAGCCTTTTGATCGTGAAAGCTGGGTGTGAACCTCAGGCACATAAAGTGTGACTCACTGGTGTGATTGCAGGATGCTTTATCTGTCAGCTGATTCCCCCAAAGGCTGCTGACACTCTGAGCATTTGGCACACAGCACATGTGCTGTCCATAAAGAAGCACTCCTGGGGTAGGGGGTGAGGAGGTGATGCCCGTACTTAGTCAAATTTCCCCTTCGTTGTTTCTTGCGTTGGTTCCCCAGACTGCTTCTTAAAACTCTTAAACAGCAGCTTGGAGATTGGTTGAAAGGAGCTACTAACGAGAAAGTGCTTATCAAAATAACATCAGAACATAGTGAATCTCATTCTTGGCACATACACAACGCTATCTGTAGAGTGCGGCTGGCCAAGGGGAAGGTATGCCTGAAGGCAGTAAAAATCACACTTAGCAGTTGCATCTTCCTGAAGGGAGAAGCCTCCTTAGCTGGTTACAAGCCTCTCTGCTTTGACTTTCCCCATCACACAGCTGCAATTCCCAGCACCCATAAACTACAGTTCCCTGGATTCCTTGGAAGTAAAGGAGGAAAGCAGGGGTTGGAATAGAATATCCTGGAAGGGGAATAAATCCTTAACAGAAGGACTTTACATGGCACCATTTTGTTGCAAATGCGGCTTGCTAAACAGGAAGCTAAAATATCTGCAATATCCTCTGAAGCCAAAGTATTTTGATTAAGATTAATGGATGTTTAATGCCCTTTTGGTGTAATAAGCATCAATGGCTCGGGGTGGGCGAGGGTTCCTCCGGGATATGGGGGAGGGATGATGAACTGCAGCCCCTCACACCTGGAGAAACTGGGGCCTTCTTGCCGCATCTTTGAGGGGCAAGATTTGATCCTCTCACCCTTATTATGCCCAAAGGGATTTGCCATGTATGCGAAAAACGCTTGAAATCTCCCAGCTCATTGGTACAGCTGGGCTGGTTGCTATTTCTAGTCGGCGCTAACACACACAGCCCGGTGGATCAAGGCTTAAACTGACGGAGTTAGTGCCTTAATCATCTTTGCCCACAGAGGGCAAAGGGAAAGGAGAGGTGGGGGAAGAGGAAGGCCGTGGTGGAAACAATGACAGCCCAGCATGCAAAAGACACTGGTGTCACACTCACACAATACATTTAAATCACTCCTGTTCCACTTTAACAGTCATGGCTTCCCAAAAGAATCATGGGAACTGTAGTTCATTAAAGATAGTGGGCTCGTAGGTACAATTCCTAGCACCCTTAACAGTTTCCAGGATTCCCCACAGCTCTTAAAGTGGTATTGTTGCAGGAATTTATGTATAGGTTGGGGGGGGTTTGCCCCTCCAGCAGATATCATGCACATGCAGCCCACTACCAAAATCAGCACAATCACTTTTGTGACTTTTGTGATTTGTCCCCACAAAACACTTCATCAGTTTCTTCCTATCTATTCAAAGGGCCTTTGCTGCACATACCAAATCTAACAATTCACTTATAAATGTATCTATGTACTGGCTCACTGGAAAAACTTCAGAAATTCATATAGACATGTGAGCTCAGCTACTCAGCAGCCCCTCTGCCTGAGTGATAATTCCTGGCATCCTGATACCTGAGTGCCAGACAGGTAGCCATTCCAGAAATAACAAACCCAGATGAAGACAAAAGGGTGTGATTAACTTGGCTGGGAAACAGGGAAATGTAAATATCTCTTTTCTTACACTTGATGGGTGTTTGGTGGAGGGCAAGGAGAACCATGGGGCACGGTCCAGGATGCTCAGATTACTGCCACCAGACCTCCCCTTTCATGATGTAACCATGATGTATTAGTGATGTAGTTTGGGGGTGTAACATGGGGATTAGCAGCTAATAAAAGTTTGGGGGCTCTTTTGTTCAAGGCTTCCATCTTTTTCCACCTTGTGGCAGGTAGGAGTCCTGTTGCGACAGTCTTCAATAAAGACCAAGCCTACTAGCTGCTGTTTTGCTCTGGTATTCCTGGCTGGTGTCCTTGTTTTTTGTCCAAGGGAGCCCTCAGATTTCTCCGTTAACAGTCTAAGAAACCAATACCATTATATGTCTGGTGTGATGGGACCCCCTCCCGCTTCCCTCCCCCTTGTTATTTCTACTGCCACCCACTAACTTACACAATTTCGGACAAATCACTTAGTTTTTTCCCCTGTATGAGGGGGCTGGTTTGTAACAGCAGCTCTCCCACCCCAAAATTTAAATCCCAAGGGAATTGATAGCGACAGCAGAGTGGGGTAATATCACAGCTTGGCCACATTCAAGCATGAATTCAGCTGCAGCGCTTGAGCAAGGGCTTCGCAGGCCCCTCCCGTCCCCAGGAGGATTTCATGAGGAGACTTGGCGCCAGCCTTGAATCCCCAGAGCAGCACTAAATGGAATTGTTGTCCCCAAGACCCATCAGCGCACTGCTTTTGAACAGCAAAGGTGCACAGACAGGTATTATTGGTGGTTGCGGTCCCAGTGGCACAAGTCTACTTGGCACAGTGCTGCAGGGAGGTAACTTTGGTCCCTGGAATTCATGATTTTACAGGCCCTTACCCCTCTGCTTTGGACAACCCTGTGGATGCACAGTGGTGAATCATCATTCCCTTTTGGCTTGCCAATCAGAAGGTCGGCGGTTCAAATCCCCGTGACGGGGTGAGCTCCCGTTGCTCTATCCCTGCTCCTGTCAACCTAGCAGTTCGAAAGCACGTCAAAGTGCAAGTAGATAAATAGGTACCGCTCCGGTGGGAAGGTAAACAGCGTTTCTGTGTACTGTTCTGGTTCGCCAGAAGCAGCTTAGTCATGCTGGCCACATGACCCGGAGGCTGTACGCCAGCTCCCTTGGCCAATAAAGCGAGATGAGCGCTGCAACCCCAGAGTCAGCCACAACTGGACCTAATGGTCAGGGGTCTCTTTACCCCTTTACCTTTTGATCCCTTCCCACCTCCATTATATTCTTTTGTAACTGGACCATTTCTACATTCCTGATACCTCAGAGTAACAAACAAGAACTATTTGCCAAACCTGACCAAAAAAACAAAACAAAACAAACACTCTCAGCACATATAGTTTTGCACTACTGTCTCACTTAAATCATAACAGCATCGCGACTGTAGGAATAAAATGGGGCTTTCTTCTACTGTCTACACAGTGACATTATGGAACATTCTCCATGTTAACAAAAAAACAAACATATGCTACAATTAGTAGACTTTGCAGATATTTGAAGTCCCTTCCCTAAATTCTCACCTTCCATTATAATTATTTTTAAAAGCAAGTCTTCATTTTGTTTACTTAAGAAGACATGGGAGGAAAACATGCCTGTCTTAATTGGACCCAGCTGCTGAAAAGGCAGTAGAGTCTTCTTCTGGCTTATAACATTCTGGCCATTCTGAAATGTAACATGAGTGACATTCCAAATGTGGCATTATATTTTCATAATGAGAAAATACAAAATTTATATATCCTTATGCATTATTGTTTTGCCAAATGCAATGTTGTAGTTGTTTTGGATTCAGTGGCAGTTACAGTAGTGGAGAGTGTTGGTGCTTTTATTAAGTACCAGGCTTCAGTACAGAATAAAAGGCGGTGAAACCAGAATAACACAGCATAAGGACGATAAAATACTTCCCCATTCTTTTATCAGGAGCTCCAAGGAATGACAATGGAGAAACTCCAGCTAGCACCCAAGAAGTCATGGCCTACACCAAATCTTGAATGTGAGAGACCCCATCAGGGAGAGTTATATACTGTTACCAGCCCATGGGGTGCCAGGCACACACACAGGGTCTGTGTCCCTTTGGAGAACAGAAGACACGGCTGAGACTGTTGTGCTTTAAGAAATATGGTGTATTCACCTATGTACACCTTCATTCTGCATGTAGGAAGTCCAGCTCTTACAGCACGACAACCTTCCCCCTCTAAGATGGATCTCAGCTCTTTCATCCTCCTACTTCTTCCCAGAAACCCTTTCTCAAAAATGCACCCCATCACCTTGGCAACCCTTCAAACCCTTGTCTTCACACCTCAGGGCAGGGGTAAGTTCTCTTCCATTGGCAATGATCCTCAACAGCCTTCTATTGTTCCCTTAATGGTCCTAGCTTGGGCAGGCTGGTTTGCATAAACCAGCCCAGGAATTCCTAGAATTCCCTGTCTGGCACACTTGTGCACTTAAATCCATATCCCAATTAATTAAAACCCTGGCATTTATTAATTTCTAGGGTTTGCCCCCAATCTATAACAAGACATTAGACCCTTAGTGATTACATGCTGGCTGGCCTGATATCCTAAATGCCTCACACCTGTTCCAGAAGCCATTATTGGGATAGTGTGAGGAATGTTACATCACCTGCCAGGTGAAATAGGCCAATAGACAGGAGCCAGCACAGTTAATTAATCCTACAGGTGTACTACTGCTGACAGGCACTCAACCTTCATTCTGCCAGCACTTATCCTTGAAGCCCAGACACAATCAAGACAATAAAGCAAACTGAAAACCCTTCAGAGTCCTAAAGGGTCTAACATTATGGCTGGTGTATACTGTTTCCCCTTCCCATTTTTGTCTAGAAGTGAAGATTCATGAGATGTATCCCCTCCCCCCACAACTTTTTGATATTAGTTGGTAGAAGTGTAAAAATTCACTAGAAGAGTCCCAAGAGTCCCTGTTATGGGATACAGCTCTGAAATTGCCAAGGTGCTTATTTATCAGTGGACGTGATGACCCAGTTACATAATTTTGCGCGCATTTCTTTTAGAGGAAGGATTTAGGAGGATGGCAGAAATTATATTCACATGTTCCTAGGAGCAAGAGCCCTCAAATAATCCAGGGGTGCACGTATGATCGACTGTGAACAAGTGGGGGGACATGGCAGAGGTGTATAAAATTATTCATGGTATGAAGAAAGTTATAGGGATAAGTTTTTCTCTCTTCCATAATCCTAGAACTTGGGGTCATCCAACCAAGCTGAATGTTGAGAGATTCAGGACAGACGTACTTTTTCACACAATGTATAGTTAAACAATGGAACTCAATTCCACAAGAAGTTGTGACAATCACTACTTACTTGCATGGCTTTATAAGGGCATTAGACAAATTCAGGAGGGATAAGGTGATCAGTGGCTACACTCATGATGACTCAGTAGTGGACTGTGTGCTGGGTCAGTAGCACTTGCCTGACCTTCTGATGGTTGAGTTGCTACTGCTTACCAGGGTGAGGAAGAACAAGGTGGCAGGGAAGATCAGCGCAGTGCAAATGCACCAGCAGGAGCAACAGGTTGGCTCCACCAATGCGTTCACACCATGCCAGCCTCCCCACTGCCTTGTGTTTGTCTTGCCCCTTCCTAGTAAGCAGCAGTGACTCAGCTGTCAGGAGGTCAGGTAAGTGCCATTGCCCCACTATACTGTCTGCTCCTGGGATGATGACTGTATCTCCAGAATCAGAGGCACTATGACTGAGATGCTAGTTGCTGGGGAACAAAGTGTAAGAGAGAGCTAGTGATGTCTCGCTTGCAGGCTTCCCATAGGCATCTAGTTAGAACAGTATACTGGACTAGACAGGCACTGGTCTGATCCAAGAGGGCTCTTCTTATATTCAGAATAGGAGAAGCATTTTCCAAAGGGGTTGCCATGCCAGTTTGTTGCAGCAAAAGCAACAGAGAGCCTTAAGGCACCTTAAAGACTAACCCATTTATTATGGCATATAAGCTTATCTATATGCACACACAGGTTGGTGGGGTGGCATTGTAAATAGCGAGGTCAAAGGGAAATGAAACACAGAAAGTACAGACAATGATAATTGCGCTAAACAATGGCAATTCACAAAACAGTGGCTGGTGATAACATAGACATCCTGGGCAGCTAATTAGCATGTGAATACTGATTTATAAAAACTTTATCTCAGTTCAGCCCTTAAGTGATTGGAACTGAACCTCTTGATGAATTGTAATTCAACAGCTTCAGGTTCCAGGATCCCTCTGTAATTCCTTTGTCCGAGAGGGGCCATTTTGTTTTATTGGACAGCCCTCATAGGAGGCTGTCTTGTACTGAGAAAGATCATTGGCCCACCCAGCTCAGTATTGTGTATGGCAGAGCCGAGGAAACCGTTTGGCTCTTGTGGGTCAGATCCTTAGCAGAACCTAGCCCGAGGGGCCAAATTTGGCATGTGGGTGATTTGACACTTGGTGATTGGCTTGCAAAGAGCTTTGTGCACTGTTTTGAAGGTGATGGGCCCTGGAGCCAACGCCTGCTCCACCTTGCCATTGCACACTTTAAGGTTCCAGATTTTGCACTGTCAGCTGTGCCTCTACCAGCTGTGCCTCTGCCTGTGATTACATCACATATCTGGGGCTAGATGGATATGGTTTGGGGAAGAGAACCTCATGGGCCAAATGTGAGCCCAGTATTGCCCCATGGTCTGGAGGTTCCCCACCTTTGCTCTACGGTTTCAGAGATGCCAAGTACTAAAAGTAGAACTTTCTGCAAACAAACAGAAGCTCTGCCTCTGAATTATAACACACCTCAGCATACTTCTGCTGGTACCCCACGGTCTGATGAAAAGCACTGGGGTACCTACAAACACTTGGTAGAAAGTGCTCACTTTATGACTAGTTCCACTACTGCCGTCTCCATTTTGTTTCAGATCCTAACTTCCTGGTACGTATGTGACCAGAGGCTGAAACTCTTGCTCCCTTAAGAACAAGGGGTCTTCCATAAAGGGACTTCTTCAAGGACTTCTTCAATAAGAAGTTTAAGTGGGATAAAACTGGTGAATTGCTCCTTATTTTCCCAGTCACTGTGGATGCCTCTGAGTCTCCAAGTTGGCCTGACCTGCAATACTCCCTTTTTCTGATGATTCACAGCTGTGCAATGCTGAGACAACATATTCCACATACAGTGGTACCTCTGGTTGCATACTTAATTCATTCCGGAGGTCCGTTCTTAACCTGAAACTGTTCTTAACCTGAAGCACCACTTTAGCTAATGGGGCCTCCTGCCGCTGCCGCACCGCCGCCGCATGATTTCTGTTCTCATCCTGAAGCAAAGTTCTTAACCCGAGGTACTATTTCTGGGTTAGTGGAGTCTGTAACCTGAAGTGTACGTAACCTGAAGTGTATGTAACCCGAGGTACCACTGTACTCAGAAGGAAAGTTTACTAGAGCATTCAGCATATGAAATCGGATGTTATGGAATCAAAAGGTGCATGTCTCTAGATCATATGACCCATCAAAACCCAGCAGGTAGGCCCTGAGGAGAATTGCTAAGATGCTGAAACTGGGATTTCGGTATTATGGGATTTTGATGTGACCAGATCTTAAAGATATTTGAATTCCATGTCAGCTGGAAGGACAATTTATTTGTTGCTCCACTTTGGTAAAGCATTGTTTGGGATGATCCAGGTTATAAACAGTGGTCCACATAGCTGACTGAAGTGCTAGGATTCACCACAGCGACATTTTGGAGGCTAGAACTATAAAACAATTCAGTAAATTTCTCAAGAGGGGGCCTAGGACAAGAGGAAGATGGGGTGGAGGCCAAATCCATTAATTCGCAGACAAACCATGAGGCAAAGATCTATTGACTGTTGCCTAACCTTCATGTCTACAAATTCACCAAGTATGACAGTTGCCATAGGGATTGTGATTGTGACTTGGAGTCTGGAGGGGGGGGGCTGTGAGCTCTATCTCAGGGAGACTCCATGATATGAAAAGTCTGGAATAGACAACTTCGCTCTGACTAAGGAACTAGGGATGTTCCAGTCCCGGCTTGGCCTTTGTTATGATGGAAGAGCTCAGATCTTCAGAAATGAGGCCACCTCACCGATTCCTCACAAATGAAGAGCCATTTTGTCAGGTGAGTGAGGCCTAAGCTACTGATGAAGTAAACTCAGCCTCTATGACACCACTTAATGTTGACTTGGGCAGGTAATGTTGTCCATTGCTGGTTGCTTGACAGCTTGGCTTTCTCCTAGCCTCTGAGGACTACCTAGAGTACACTGAATCCCCAAGCCCTCATTGCAGAAGATAAAAGGCTGGAGAAAGGTATCTAAGAAGCCGGGTTTAAAAATGGAAAGATTATGAGGACAAGAAGTCATTGGTCTTGGGTAGCTGAGATAGTTGAGTCTCACTAAGCTTGGCCATGAGCCAACTGTAGGCGGTGTGGAAAGAGATGGAATGTTAACTTTTATGTTTGGTGGAACTTTTACGTTTATATAAGTTGTAAGCAGCTTTGAGATTTCCCCCCCTTACAAATATAAAGCTGTATAGAGTAACATTGTGGGCATCTGTCTGTCACAAAAGACAAAAGATGTCCCTCAAGGCAGAGGGTAAAAGCAGTATAGAAATGATGATGGTGATATTAATAATAATAATAATAATAATAATAATAATAATAATAATTTCAACTCAGGTAGGATAGTGCACTATTAGTGCAGTCCTCACTGGCCTGGGGTGCTTCCCCACTAGACGTTTACAGCGGAACTCCCACCCACTAGAATTGTGCTCTTCCAGACAACCCGTGTCTTGAGCATTAACCCTTATTTGCTTGCACAAAGTTTCTGTGAATGTCAGATTGTACTTGGTCTTTACTGAGCATTTGTTCCAATATATTTGCAGAGAGGTTATATGACAATGAATAGTCACTCTGATTTGCTTGTGGGGCATTTATTCAATTTGCCCTTCATTATTTGTTCATTCTGCACACTTTTCAGTGCACTGCCATCACTTTCCTAACTACAAATAGTAAATTTTAATTTTTTTAAAGGGGATTTACTGTTCTAGGGGCAACAGAATGATTTAATTCGCTTCAGTTGCACAAATTTACTGGTATACACTTGGATCTCTTCTACAAAATACTGGGTTTGGAGGCATCCTTTGTTCAGTCACTTTTTATGGGGTATCAACATGACATCATAATCACATTGTTGTCCTCTTGTGTGTCCCCTCTCTCCCAATGTTCTTTCTATCTTTTAGATCTTAAAAAAACAGTAGTCCAACATCTCTACAGGTGTAGATCACCTTGATGCTCCTTTTCCATCCTTTTGAAGAAATGTGGTTTTGATGTGCACAATAACAAACTAGATAGATGAGCCAGTTTAGCATCATGTTAATTGTTCCTCTCTAATCTGGCACTAAAACACTTTTTAATTTACCTTTCAGAAAAGGCATTGTATTTTTAGCATTTCTTTGTTAAATTTGTGCCGTAGAATCATAGAATTGTGGTATTAATTATCATTAAGGTCTTCTATGAAACAAATAACTTTATTTAAACAAGCTTTCTTTAACTCCTAACTCTCTCTGAACATCCTGCTCTCTCTTTTTATACTTTCTGTGCTGAATCACTTCCCGGTAGCTGTTCCCTTAACCTGTGCCTTCCCTGTGTGTCTCCAAGTTTCTCTCCCTGACTGCTGTTCTAAGTCTCTTATTCAGTTCCACATTCTGTACATTGATATAATGGTGTCTTTCAAAAAGTGATGTCATTGAATATATTGACACTTAGTACTTTTGAGTAAACATGCCTAGGACTGCAATGTTATTTTTGTTTATAAAAGCACACACACATTAATAAAAACATAATTTTATAGGTGCGTAAGATGCTTCCTTATACCCTTATTCCCTTAATAAATTAGCAGCATCCAGTCTGCCACTCCTGAAGTGCAGGCCACATGTTGGAATTGTGGGGTGGAAATAGATATAGATCACCTGTGTGGGGTAAATAATAAAACAATTGGCTGGATCCGTAGGTCTAAAGCACAAGGCTAAACATACTCTCTATCAAGAGACCGCCCCCAGCAGTTTAAAATCACATAATTACAAACTCCAAAGGCCATATTCATGTGTTATTCCATGCAGCAGCAAGTAAACACAGGCAGAAATATTGGGATACAAAATATAGTGAAATAGCTCTAAGCACGGGGGCTGAGCTTGTAAAGAACAAGTTCACACAAGTCAAGTCAGGCTTACAAAGTGATGTTAGACTGCAATTCTGTTTCAGATTTTAAGGGTGCACCAAAATGCCCTTTTATCACGTTGAATTTCATGTTAATTTTGTCCCTCAAGAATATTTCTTTTCATGCTTCCTTCTCTCATAATTCTGAGCTAGGGCTTGTTATTATGCAGTTTTATACATGTCTACTCAGAAGCAGATTCCCATTTAGCTCAATGAGAGTTACTCCCTGGGAAGTGTACACAACATTGTAGCCTTAGACTGAAAACCTAAACACACTGGGCGAATTATATTCACAGTAGACCCATTAAAATTAATGGCCGCAATTCATTTGGCTCCATGAATTTCAGTGGGTTTACTCTGAACTTAGTTCACTGCAACCCACATACTAGAAAGTGAGCCTCATTGAACATATTGACACTTACGCTTGAGTAAACATGCCTAGGGATGCATAAAGGCATAATTTTATAGCTGCATAAGACAGTGCAGGATTTCAAACAGGGTCTCTCTCAGCCCCACCTGGATATGCTGTGCATTGAAGCTGTGATCTCCTGCATCCAAAGCACAGGCTGAACTACCACTGAGCTAAATCCCATCCTTTTCCCCAGTGTTTTCCCCCACACGTCCCTCAATAAATTGATCCAGTTTTTAAAAAGTAAAAGGCATGGAGCACGAAACCTTAAGACAGGGTGGTGCAGGAGTCAGATTTAGCTTCTTGTGAAAGGAATTTGCAGACAAAAGTAACAGTGTCCAAACTTACCATTAAAAATAAAAGAAAAATATCTGTTTATTCTGGGCCAAGGACAAGACAACAGGCAATTAGAGGGACAGTCCAAGACTGCTAACTTTTGCCTCTTTTGTTCAATGCTTTGCAAGTCTTTGTGTTAAGTATAAGTGGAGCACAGTGACAAATCTTGGGGTACAGTGTGAGTCCCTAAAACTGAATGCATGTACCTGAAAATCACAAGTTTGAAGTAAAATGAAACCATACGGTAAAAAAGAGTGGGGAAATCTATGGGTGGGTGGAAATGCACTTTTCCTTCCCTTCCTGCCAAAATCTTCTAATGCATAGCCTTCTCAGTCTAGTCATGCCAATGGCTAGCGTTTGTCAGCGAACTTGTTGAGGTCTGGTCAATATATCCTAAACTTTGCCTAGAGCAACCCTGACACATTTACACAATTCCGTAGACTCTGCCGGTTAGATGAACGTGTTGCACAAATTAATAACAGATGGGTTTCTGGAGTTTGTGTGAGCTGCTATGCTCCCATGGGCAAAAGGTGCTTAGGAACATTGGGAGGTGACAGAGTAAATTGTTGCAGCATTACTTCCCTGTAGGTGTGGCTGTAATTAATTTTGTCTGAGGCCAGCTTAGCTTGCATACGAGCCAAACCATGAGGGGTTCTGGGTGCTGATAGCAGAGCCTGCTTGTTGATATCTTCAAATTCCTCAAGAATCTTCTTTCTCTGCTTAAAAAGCGTAAAAAAGCTGAGTAAAAGAAATCCAAGTGGATTCTTAGAGCTTTGTCAACACATGACATACTTGTCACCTCAGTTTTCTGTTGCCCAGAAAGCTAATGCAAAGCGCTGTGAAGAAGTCTGGAATTGTTCCAGATATAACAGGGCAACCAAAATATCCCCATATTAGCCACTGGTGGATAGTTGATTTTATGATGTCTTTAACATGAGTTATTTGTTGGATTGTCATGTTATGTCACAAAATGATATGGGTCACATCCACTTCACACATTGAAAGCTCAGAGCTTTCCCAGAGAATCCTGGGACTCTTAGTTTCCTAGAGGTGCTGGGAAATGAAGCTCTGCAAGAGGTTTGACTACAGCTCCCAGGATTCCATGGGGAAAGCGATGTGTCTTGAGTCTCGACTGTGTTTGAAATGTCTGGTGTGAATGTCATCTTAGTATTTTGTTACTGTAATGATATTCTTATCTGCATTTTTGTTGTTCTGTTGTAAGTCACTTTCAGCACATATTTATATGGAAAAGCTGCATACAAATTTAAATATATAGCTTGACTATCAGCCTTGACATATCCTCCATGAATTTGTCAATCCCCTTTAAAGTCATCAAAGCTACTGGCCGTGACCACATCCTTGTGACAGTGACTTCGAGGCATTAATTATGAATTGTGTGTAAAAAAACAACCAACCCCCTTTTTTTTGGCTGCATTCACACCACAGTTTATTCCATTTGCCTGATGTTCCCCTAACTAGTTAATTTTTGTGTTATAGCTGAACTGTCACACCACATAAAAGCCACTACTGGAAATATAGCAGAATATAGTGCACGTTTAATATTTGTGGCCATGTTATTTGCTTCCAGAAAAAAAACCACATATGTAAATAACAAGGAAATGGGTGGGTGCTAAATCTTCTACAGTACTATATTTCTCCAAGTGGTTTTTACACTGCGGGTGAGCTCAAATATACTGTGGAAATTAACAATTTGGGAAACAAAATAAACACTGGGAAACAGTGTGAGTAAAACCTTTGTCTGTCCAGTAGCCACTGTCAATCAGCTAGAATCATAGATTCTAGCCTTTGAAGTTACCTAGCAAGTCCAGCCTCTTGTCTAGTGCAGGATCCGCAACACAGGGCGATGCAGCAGCATCACTGACAGGTGGCTTTACAGCCATTGTGTGAAGCTATTTTCACATGTATAACACATGAAGCGGGTCCTTGACAGAGGAAGAACTTCCCTCTATCCACTTTGAACCTCAAGTGTAGTTTTATAAATTTGCTAACTAATTTCATTTTTGTGTAGCTACAAGGACACCATTGTGGAAGCCTCACTGTGCTAACACACATACACATTAGAGACCCAGGTTGAGTTTTGTCACCAGACAAAATATTAGCCACAGGTAACAGGGCTTGCTGAATCCAGACCAAGCTTTGTGTCTTCACTGGTTGTTGGTTTTTTTGTAGGAATCCTACTCTGGCCATTGATTGATTGCATTTATATCCTACCTTTTTCTCTAGGGAGTGCAAGGTGATGTATATGGCTCCCCTCCCAATCCCAGGTCCTAGTCTGACACTACTCTACCACATTGGCTTCCTCTGGCTACCACAGACTGCAGCCACTCCCAGATGCTTAGGGAAAGGGAACAAGGGATCGGCACCTCAGCTGAATTACATGAGCATACATACGCACTCCTCTTGATTTGGAAGGATGGCCAAGCTAGAATTGGAGTGACCAAGCTGAGAGAGGCTGTGTTCTAGGAAGCTACGCAGCACCTCCAGTTAAGCAAGACAAGGATGTCTTATGGCCCTAACCAGGGCAATTGCTGTATGAGAGCATACAATTGCCGTACTGTGCAATTATTTGATGATAGATGCTACCAACCTTTTTATCTGCTCTACTTTTGTTAATGGAGAGGTCATATCAACACCATACATTTAAAGCACACTTAAAGTACATGTTTTCCCCCAAAGAATCCTGGGGCAACTTGCCCCTCACAGAGCTACAACTCCCAGCACCTTTAACAAACTACAGTTCCCAGGAGTCTTTGGGAAATGTATGGTATGGATGTGACCGTAATCTCCAAGTGGTGTATAGTAAGGTTACAAAAGATACAATAAAGATACTGTAAAATCAGTTAAAGACAACAAAAATCAGAAAACTTAAATTGCTTGCTGAAATTAAGTGCCGGAAGTTCAACAGGGAGAGGGCCTGTCTGATATCACCTGGGTGGGGAATTTCACAGAACTGGATCCACAGTATTCAGGAAGTAGTAGTCATTGCTTGTCTTGTGACCTTTGATCAAACGCATCCAGAGAAATTGAACCATTTCAGAACATTCATATACAGTACAGGTATGTATATGAATGATCCAAAGACTGATGGTTCTAATCAAGTAAATGTTGTTTGATAAAACTATTGGCTGGAAGATATGAGGGAGAGGAACAGCCATTTTACAGGCAATGCAAATGACAGAATGCAGCCTGAAATGTTTATGGTTTGGATTTTGTGTTTGACTTTAAGCTGAGTTTTGAAGACAAGCATACAGCCCATTCCTAAGCGAGTTTCTTGGGATGTTCCACCAAGCACCATGAGGCAGATTGAAGCAACTGCCTCAGGCAGCACATGATGGCTGCACAGACATGTCTGAGAACAAGCACTTGCAAATGGCTCAGGGTCCAATAAGTAAACAAAAGCAAATAAATGTTGTAATGAGTCTAGAGTGTTAAAAATATTTTGGTGTGGAGACTTGAAAGAAACATCTCACATTCTCCAGAATACAGTGGTACCTCAGGTTAAGTACTTAATTCGTTCCGGAGGTCCGTACTTAACCTGAAACTGTTCTTAACCTGAAGCACCACTTTAGCCAATGGGGCCTTCTGCTGCCGCCGCACCGCCAGAGCACGATTTCTGTTCTCATCCTGAAGCAAAGTTCTCAACCTGAAGCACTATTTCTGGGTTAGCGGAGTCTGTAACCTGAATCGTATGTATCCTGAAGCGTATGTAACCTGAGGTACCACTGTACAGGCTGGATGTTATGCAAAGCAAGCCACAATCTTGAGATTTTAGGAAACACAGGAGGCTGCTTTACACTGTGTTAGAGGCCTTTGGTCTTTGCAGCTCAGCACAATGGCCTGTGCTGACAGGCAGCAGTTCTCCAGGGTTTTAGACATGGGTCTCTCTCTCCCAGCCCTACCCCCTGGAGATGCTGAGGGTTGATCCTGGGACCTTCTGCATGGAGTACAGATGCTATCCTACTGAACACTGCCCTTTGTTGTCAGAGGGATACTTCCAGCTGGATCCTGTGCATGTTTGGCTTGGTAGGAAGTCTTAATGGGATTTACAAAAAGAAAACGTGTGGAAGTTTTGGCTGTTAATGCACTAACTACATTGGGCCAGGCTTTAGGACTATAAGCTCCCACATCTCAGCCCTTTGTCCAGAGTGCGCAAAATATAACTTTTCTGATCTTGAGGTGTTTATCTGTCTGTGGATTATGGATTTGCTAAAAAGCTTTGAGCTGTGCAACAGAGCTGGATGCTTTGGACGCCTACCCAGAAAGTTAGGATGAGCTCAGCTTCCCCTCCAGCTTAATATGTGCAGAAGCTTGCAGCCTCTCTTGTCCTGAGCCGAGCAATGGGCGCCTTTTCGTTTACCCAGATGAGAGGCATTTGGCGGCCGTTCTTCTGGATTCCGCGCAACGCGATAGCGATGCACTGCGGTGCAGGTGTGAGCTAGACAGCTGCTAACAACTTTCACAAAATTGCGCCGGTACATATTTTTTTGGGATGGGTAGCGGGTCATTTCAGAACCCCCGTCCCCCGCGCGTTTATTCCCCCCCTCAAAAAAAGCGGTTGCCAGCGTGGGCGACCAGGAAGCCCTCGCAAAGCAAGAAGCAACAAAAACAAGCCGCTGCCCCTTTAAACCTCCGAGGGAGGGCCCAGGGCTTTGTAGGATGACATCAGTGGGTTTGGCCCTGAGACTCAATGGAAACTCAATGAGCGAGAGCCTCGGCTGTACACACACCGAGGGAGGCTGGAGGGGAAGGAGGGAGGCAGCTGAGCAGGCAGAGCGCAGAGAAGGAGGAAGCGGCGGCGGCGGCGGCGGCGGCGCTCAGAGCTGGCTACGGCCGCCTTTCCCAATCCTCCGTCATCCTTCCTTCCCCGGCGCCTTTCCTCCCTGACAGCCCCGGGAGCAGAAGCGGCAGACAGGCTCCTTCCAGGCGGGGTGAATATTGTGGGGATCCGGGCAGGTTTTGGGGTGCAAATCCGGGGGGAAAGGCGGCCCCTCCGTCCCTTTGTTTTTCTGCTGAGAGAGGAGGCTAAGGCGGCGGGGGGGGGGAGGGGGAAGAGGCTCTCGCTCGCTCACACACAGCACACAACGCGCACATACACAACACAACGCACACTTACACAACACGGCGCACACAAGGCTGGGCTGGCATAGGGCTGGGGGCCCCCCCGTGGAATTTGGTGACAGGCGAAGGAGGAAGCTGTAACCGAAACGGGGGGACGACAACAAAAGGCTCGTTTTCTCTCTCTGTGTGTGTTTTAATTTTTGACGGAGACAAAGGATTATGCAGGCATCTTTCTCCCCCCCCCCCCCTTCCCAGCTTCACTTTCGGAAGGACACATTGAGGGGCTCCTGTGTCGCTCCCCCCCCCGTTCCTCCCCCCCCCCCCATTTGCTGTCTACATGCAGAAATGGCTCCACTGACTTTATATATATATTTAAATTTTACTTACTGAGTGTTAGGCTCAACCTAATGTCCAAGTCAGTGTGTGTGTGTTTGTTTGTTTTTGAGAGGAGGGGGTGATTGCTGCTGCTTCTCCCCCCCCCCTTTCTCCCTTTTCGTTTCCTATACTTAACATCTGTGTATGGCTTCACAAACAATTGGTAGTGAGTAACGGGTATCTCTCATTTCTCCTCTCTCCCCCCCTTGGCTCCAACCTTTGGCTGTTTGTGAGGGGTTTTTGTGGGGGGGGGACACTAATAGTAAACACTGTTGAATTTCTAAAAAGGTTATATTTGACAAATAGGGTGGGTATTGTGAGGTGGAGGGGGGGAGGAAGTGGCTGTTATTGTAAATCACTATGTCCTTTTGTGCACTGGGAAGGTTCGGTATTGTAGGGAGGGGGTGAAGAGGGGGGCAAGATCTCACCCACCCCCACATCTTTTCTGAAATGTTGCTTCTTTGTACCAGCTCAGGGATTTGTAATGAGGATTGTATAGTAAATAGAAGTTTTGCTGCTATTTCTGCTGCCTAATTCTCATTCCTCGCTGCATTATTCTCCCCCCTCCCTATTTTATAAGATGCTTCTGGCGCTGGAAGAGGGTGATTTAATTTTAAGTTATACTTGTGGCTGAGTGATGAGATGATCTTATCAGTTTTTATCTCCTTTTAATGCTTGCATTTGTTGTGTGTGGTTGATCTGCCTTCTTTAGCTCCTTTTCTTTTTTGGTAACTGCTCTGAAGGGAAATGGAGAGGAAAGAGAGGAGGAAGCAAATATCTCTGTTGTGGCACATTGCTTTTTAGAAAAGTATTGCTATATTTATGTGCACACTCCTGTCCCCCCAATCCTTTGAAGCTGATATGGAATATCCCCCCCCCCCAATTCTTCATACCCAGAAGCATCCATTATAATATATCTGGTCAGCTCTCGCACAGTGTGGCCTACTGTGGTCCTCGATGCATCCTTGATTTCTAGCAAATCAAGTAAAGCTGGTATGGAAGTCCTCTTGTTTACAATAATTGCTTGGGGGGTTGCCTATGCTGTACTATAAAGTGCTGAATGCCAGATGTGTGGGGCCTGCTGTGTGTTTGCACACATAGTTTTATTATATGATTGCATTTACATAATGTAGAGTAGGTTTGTGTGTGGTGCTGATTCGAATACAGCTTTCTAGAATGTGTGTGTGAGAGAGAGAGAGAAAGGGAGAGAGATAGAAGTGGCTATTAATATAGTATAAGCATCCACTCATGCAGAGTATATGCATTAGAGTGTGTGGGAGTCTTTCTAGTTTCATGAAGAGGGAATTCTTGGCTGGCATCTTGACTGCCTAGGGCTGTTGCTCTAGTTTGAGGAAGGCCATAGAGTTGGCTTAATTCCTTTCTGTCTCTCTGGATGGAGGAGGTGAAGGCCTGAGAGTTTGGAGAGAAACTGATGTGGCAGCAGGGTGGGTGGGTAACTGTTCCCATCCCCAGCACCTGGAAGCAATTCTTAAGGTGACTGGTTGATTTGTTGTTGCCCTTGGCATGAACTGGTCTTGCTGCCTTCTCCGAACCCTCTGTCCAAAGCATTGCTTGCCTTATTAATGTTTCAATCATATGCATGCTTACTAGGAAGCAAGTTTGATAAAACTGGAGGTACTTAGGTGTGTGCTTCATTATTATCTTTATGAAAGGGAAATTGGGAGATCTCATTCTTTGTCTCCGCCCCCCTCCCCCCTTGAACAACATCTGCTTTTTTAGAAAATGAGTTTGAAGGCCAGTCAGCTGTAAAGCTGTGAGGGGTACTTCCGAATTAAGCCCTAATGTTCTTGCAGGAAGTTAAAAGGTCACAACTAACTGCAAACCACAGTGAGCAGCTGGGCCCCTGCTTGCTTGAGCCCAGTGTTGTCCTGAGTGAGATGGGTTACTAGCTGCTGATATGCCGGTCCCTACTTCTGTCTGTCCTCTTGGGTTATGTGTTGAAGAGAGCTGGCAGAGAAACCTAGGAAACTCCTAACCTTTAGGGATCAAGCATCTCCAGAGTAACTTCTGAAAACTACTGGCTCCTTCCGGTTCGTGTGTCACCAGTGTTTATAGGAATAAAAAAAACTTATCTTGTATGGAGAGCAAGTTAGAGTATGAGTCAAATATATATGCAGTTACATTCCTAGTTTAATTGGGGTAGTGGAAGGGATCAATCCTATCTTCTTGCTCGAATATAACCTCTTGATTCCTGTTTGTTCCCCAGGGCTGTACTTGAGCTGTGTATTCTGCTTGAATTTTAAGACGAAGAGAATAACTCTGTAGTCCTTGCAGATTAACAATCCTGCATGCTTGGGTACATGTTTTAGCAGGAGACTCTGCCTTCTGTTGTGCTTTGAGTAATTGGAACTGGGTATTTAGGGTTCATGATGCCCTGTTAAAGCTTACAGTGAAATGTGTGCCTTTAAGCTCCACCACTTCTCTTTTTGCAGTACATGATTAGTTTGGATATGACTAGAACTCCGCTTTACTTTGCTTATTCTGGCATATTGTAGACCTTGGGGTGCAGCAGAAAGGAAGCTGTAGACTCCATCAAGCGAAAGGACCCCCTGTCTGCTTAATCCTTGCCTGTTCTTTCAAGCAGTCTACCCACCCAGGAGAGCAAAGCCTGCATACAGTACATTAATAAATATGCATTACATAAATTAACCATACAGCAGCATCCTTTAAAAAGAGCCACAGTCTTTCAAACAGATCCACGTTACTGGAACAGTGGTGGGGCGGGCAGAAGGAGACAGGAGAAACACAAGATGGTGGTCTTCTGGGAGAGGATGTTGCTGGGAGTCTCCAGAACAACATTTGGCACAGGCCTAAAGGAAGAAGTTGGCATGCATGGCTGAAGTGAAGGTGGTAGTGCTGGGGTTTGGATGGATCTCTCCTGTTCATGAATGTGATGTGTGGAAACATATGGTGTGCCTAGTGTCAAATGTGGCATGCAGATGTGCACCTTGGGCCCAGTAACTGGTTGTGAACCATGCGATTGAGGAATTTGTCCTGTACTACCATGCTACTGCCCAGAAGGAAAGCGAAGCAGAGTAGAAATGTTATGAGCCCCAAATCCCAGTTCATTGGAACGCATGCCAGGTGTAGGGTTCTGGCTTATCCTTGAGAGGGGTTCACTTTCTCCACCATAAAGTTCTTTGCTATACATTTTGTTTTAGCCAGAGACCCACATCCTGGTTCCAAGTGTGTTTTATGTTCAAGTCTGTCTCACTGAGGCTTTTTTCTAGGTAATGTTGCAGCCAAAGTTGGCCTTGCAGTCAAGGTTACTTTAGGTGACTGGTTTGGTTGAACTGTTACTTCACCACATCTTCTGAATGCCCCCCAGCCTGGAAAAAAACCTGTTAAGAAATATCAGACTACTGTTTACTAAATTGAAGGTTTTACTGTGACAGTGAGAGAGTCCCAAGGGTTTAGGCAGCAAAACTGGACCCAAAAACTTTAATTGAAGAAGAAATAAACCAGGGGTAGGAACCTCCTGATGTTGCTGAACTCTCATCACTTATAGCAAGCATAGCCAGTGGCCAGGGTTGATGAAAGTTCCCCACACCAGGCATAAATATTGGGCCCCTCATATGGTAGCTGAATGTGTTGACTTAGGTCAGCTTTCTAATCTTACCCTGTATGTCCTCTGTTTTATTCCCAGAGCAACTGAATCATGGAGCTTCGAGTGGGGAACAAGTATCGGCTGGGAAGAAAAATCGGTAGTGGATCCTTTGGAGATATTTATTTGGGTGAGTTTGTCCTAACTGTAGGAATGCATCTTCTAATAGCTTAGAACATTTTGGAATAGTGAGCTGGTGTGTGTTGGTTCTTATGTGTTTCTTCAGCCTTGTATTCTCTTAACTAAGGAGGCTAAGGGCCAGAGGAAAAACAACTCCTTTAGACAGAGACCGGGGGGGGGGGGGACATACTCTTTTTATCTGACGCCTGGAATTCATACTATTTTAAAAAATTGAGGTGTGGTAAGATTTCTGTACTACTGTAAAGGCAGCAAGCATTTCTCACAGGGCTTCTGTTCCTGGCCTTCATTTGTGTTGGTGGAGCGCATATAAATGTGCCCCCTTTACCCCTCTTCTGGGTCCAAAAGGACCATGCATTGGCGATTGTGACAATTGGACACACCTAAAATAGTCACCGCCTGTATTCATTAACAAAGATGGTGGTAGAAGTTCTCAAGCCTCAATATGTTCAGCACTGTATAACAGTCTGACCCAACCTGGTGCTTTCCAGATGTTGTGGACTTCAACGTTCATCAGTCAGAGTTGTCAATGATCGGGGATAATTGAGGTTGTCCAACAACATCTAGAGGACATCTAGTTGGGGAAAGGTGCTATAAAATCTTGTATCTGTTTTTTGGATTTTGTATATAAAGTACATGTTTGTTATTTTATGAACATTTATAACCAGCTGAATATAAAAGTATTCAAGCAGTGTATAAAACATGATATATAAAAGCAACAATGTTTTCTTTAATCCCCACATTATCATAATAATGGTAAAGTCAAAATAGTTGGTACAGGTTTCAGCTTTCAACAACCTGATGGATTACTTAGATCAGAGTCCTTGCTGGTAGCGCCATGTCTAGCAAAGCTAGGGCAAATGAAATAGGTCTTTAAAAAGATGTCTAAAAGAAAAGAAAAGGCAACGCATATGGCAGAAGGAAGAGTGCCAGGGTAGTGCTGTCGCTACCAAATGATGGTCCATAAGACATGGTGCTACTGGTAAGGAATCCTCAGATAAAGAAATCTAGCAGGTCTGTGTATATGGGCAGGTGGTTTTCAGGTAACCTTGTTTTAAAAACCTTTATATCCACGTAACCTTTCTACTGCAAGGTATTCAGGACAGCTTATAATCCAAAGCAATCGGTTAACAAACACACCACACAACAATGGAAATGGCAGCAGCAAAATAGGCAGGCAAGAAACATCAAGGGCATGTTAGTGGCCGAATAGTTGTGAGAGTATACTGGGACTGGACACCTAAAAAATAGAAGGCCGAGTGTCAAATGTGGGTCTTCCTGCAGAAAATGAGCCCTGCCCTTAGTCTCAGCTCACCTGTCCCCTTTGACGGTGGGGGCACCCAGTTCAGGACTGTAGGTGTTACGCTATGTTGCATACGTTTGTTCCCTAATTGGGAAGCCCTTTTTGCTAGCTTGTGGCAACTAGGCTATGAAGCTGGCTGCTCTTGGGAAAACTGGCTTGTGTGACAAAACGTGCTTTGTCACACTGCTGTGTTGCACATCCCTGGTGTAGAGTATTCTTGCAAGGTTCTGACAAAGGGTCTTAAGGATTCCTCCTCCTATACAGTGGTACCTCGGGTTAAGTACTTAATTCGTTCCGGAGGTCCGTTCTTAAGCCGAAACTGTTCTTAACCTGAACCACCACTTTAGCTAATGGAGCCTCCTGCTGCCGCCGCGCCGCCGGAGCACGATTTCTGTTCTGATCCTGAAGCAAAGTTCTTAACCCGGGGTACTATTTCTGGGTTAGTGGAGTCTGTAACCTGAAGCGCATGTAAACCGAGGTACCACTGTATGTCTCATGTAGTTCTGATCACTGAGGGTGTGCAAGGGCCAGAGAAAAGAATTCAAATGCTCAACTCCTGTATTTCTCTGATTGGGAAGGTGGAGATTCTTTTAGGATACCCATCAGGTTATGGGTTGGGGGGGTTGGGTGCTTGCCTTTTTTCTTTTTTTTTTACTTTTGAGAATGGTGGACTTAATTACGTTTGTCAGTGCTTTGGCTCATTTTTATACTGCCAGGCAGCATGTCTTCCTCTTGACAACCCAGGGATCTCTTCTCATAATCAGTCCAAACTATCTCTTGTTCTGAATGACCCTACCTTTTTGTGTGTGTGTGTAAATATATTTAAAAAATAAAAAAATTGTCCAGTAGCACCGTAAAGGTAAAGGGACCCCTGACCATTAGGTCCAGTTGTGACCGACTCTGGGGTTGCAGTGCTCATCTCACTTTATTGGCCGAGGGAGCTGGCGTACAGCTTCCGGTCATGTGGCCAGCATGACTAAGCCGCTTCTGGCGAACCAGAGCAGCGCACGGAAACGCCGTTTACCTTCCCGCCGGAGCGGTACCTATTTATCTACTTGCACTTTGATGTGCTTTTGAACTGCTAGGTTGGCAGGAGCAGGGGCCGAGTTTTTGTGTGTGTGTGTGTGTGTTCACTTAATGGTGTGCCCAGAGGTAAATAAAAAGTCCTAGGTGCGGCTTCCCTTCCCAGGGCTGCATCCGAAAGGGCTACCCTCTGAGTGATCTGTAAGGTGATGCCTCTGCATGCATAGCTTCTGTGTAGCATGTAGCTGGCTTTCCCAGGTTCTAGCAGGGTGTCACATTGCAACCTCCCATCTCCAGTTTCCACTCTGGCATTGCCACAAGATTTGCCAGCCCCACTGTTTCCCAGATTCCTCCTCTTGAGTGTGGTTGCTTTGGGTTGTTTTCTTCTGAGCTGCCCTGCCTTAGTTTTCCAGTGTAAACCTTCCATTTTCTGCTTATTTTATTGATATATTTATATATATTCAGATTTTTATAAGTTGCTTTTCCACCTAAAAGAGTCCTCAAAGTGGCAGGTGACAATGCAGTTATTAAAGATACAACTAAATTAAAACAATACAAATTAGCCTGTGTTGTCATCCTTCTGGCTGTGTTTTGAGTCCTCCTGTGGGTGGATCATAATACTGGGCCTGTGTTCTTTGCCCACTGGAAAATCCTGTTCCTCTCTGACACCATGGAAATGGACTGTCTGATTTTAAAATTTTATATCCTTTTCATTTTACTCAAAAACAAATCAAAAGTTTAAAAAACAATATTTTTAAAACCCAATTTGTTACAGTATTGGGTGTGGTGGATATGGTGTCATGGCTGCATCCTTCTATGCTTAGGGCTGTTAACTTGTACCCCATCTTGTCACCTTTTCCTTTGACTATTTATTTCCAAGATTCTGGTTTCCACTTGTCAGAAGCCCTCTGCTCCAACTGGATATCTGCCATACCTATTTAGCAACTAAACTTGTATTTCTCTCTCCTTCCAAGGTCTCAGGGTAGTTTTCTCAAGCTGTCCCTTTTTATCCTGTGAAGTAGTCTAGTCTGCAAGTGATTTTGTCTAAGCCCTGGTGAGCTTTGTGGCTCAGGAAGGATTCAGCTTTCTTTGTGTCTGCCCCCTTGGTTTGGACCATACTTGCAGTGGGGTTTTCTGAGCTACTCTTTTAATGAGATTCTGGAAACGGATGTGACATAAAGTGACATGGCTTTTAAAAGCAGGTCCCCCCCACAATAGTAGTATCTAATAATAATAATAATAATACTACCCTATATGTTTGTATGCCTAATAATTGATGCAAATTGCTTTCAGAATACCTTTGAATGAAGCAGGATATGAACATTTAAATTGGGTGTTGAGTCCATCTGTGTTGGGAGAGCCACAGGTTCCTAACTCCCAGTGGTCATGGATGATGTGACTTAAGTTCAACATCTGGAGGGCCACAGGTTCTCCACCACTGGTTTAAATAAACAAACACAACTTTGAACCCAGGTCCCTCTGGTCCAAGCCATAGGTTTTTCCAACTGCATCCAACTAGACTAGCTTTTTCTTAAACCTGAAAGAAGACCCCCACCCACCTAACAGGCTACTTCAGCAAGAGCCGTTGGGCCCTATTCTGCTTGCACCTTGAATGCCTGCTGATTTCCTTCATCTCCTCTGAAATGTTCATCCATCCCTTTTATTCCCAGCCCTGTATTGGTTGTATATTTTTGTTTGCAAGCCCTTGCTACAAAGTACTTCCATGGTCTGTTGTGCATCAGCTAGGAACTTGCTGCTATGGTGTTCAGTAATATGTAATTTGTAGTTATCAATTGATTATGGTAATTTGGTAGCACTTCACTGGCAGCTACATATTTTTTAGCTTTTTCTGCTATTCCAGAACTGGCGCACAGGTGGGGAGCTACAATATTTATTGCCTGTATTTTAAGTTCAGCCTTTGGTACAGGGTTGACAGGCTTCAAGCAAGAGATGGTGGTCACTGACACTGCACATATAGTGCTTGTACTGCAAATGCATGATTGCTTCTAAGATGGGGGTCAGCAAGTATACTTTGGGCACTGCCATGTTGAACGTAGAGATGAAGCAAGGTGCCCTCTAGGAATAAAGATGGCAGAACTGTCCATCCCTTTTTCTTGCAGTTGTGAATGTATGGGCATAGGCAAAGATGGAATATGTCTAGCTTGAAGCTTTTGCAATTTTGCAGTATAAGATAAAGGCTACATATTCTTGATTAGGAGTATTTCATTATAGTTTTTCTGTTAAGTAACAGACTCTTAAGTGATGGCGGCTTGTTTTTTCATTCCTCCTATTTTGAATTTTGTGGCGCTGCTCAAGTGATGGGGGGCACCAGTTCTCTGGCCAACCATGAGTTTTGGAAAGCTTCAAAAATTGATGTCTGATGAGCTGTTGTATTTGATCCTTCCCAAGATCCAGTAGCCATTCTATAGTTTCATCTCAATGTCAACATGAGCGGATTTGAAAACGTCTCAGTCGGCTCAGCCCCCACTGTTCTTTCTCTCCACTTGCATCCTTCCTCTTGGTCTTTCCACCTTTTTTATTCCTCCGTCCAATAAGTGCCAAGTGAAGTGTATTTCATTAAATGCAAGCACTTGTATTTCCTACCCCACCACAAAATAACTGAAAGCGAAGTAGGTAAATCAAAAATTGGCTGGCTGCTTCTGCACATGCCAACCACCGTGTGGATTTATTGAAATTGTTCTCTCAGGATGCCAGCCCAGTTGTGCAAATCAGACTGGAGTGACTTACCCCAGAGGGAGGTTGCTTGTTGCTTGGCAAGCCTGGTATTGGAAAAAAGAGCATTGGAGATCAGGCCGAGAGACTGGGGTGTCCTGGACTAGACACCCTATAAGCCTCTTTTGCATTCTATGATTCTGTAATTCAATGGCTTTTATAAACACACGTCTGGAATGTGGAGACTTTGCTTTCTGTTGTGAAGACTGTTTGGTTTGGGAGGCTCAACTGAGAAACACTGGTGAACCAATGGTGTGTGTGTTGGGGGGGAAGAGGTGGGTGATCCTGAATACAGTAACCGCTTGGGGGAGTGTATTGTCACTGGATCCAGAGGCAGAACTTTTATCTGCAGGAGTTGCTACAGGTTGGAATAGAGATTTTTCTCCCATCAGACACGGAAGGCTGTTTGGCAAAGCAGGGCATGCTGGGTAGCTGGTGGTGTCTGCTTGGACAGTTCCTGATGGCAGGCCCCTCCCTCGGAGGGAGGGGGTGCGTTCCCTTTGTTTCCTAGCTAGTTAACTCTCTCTCTCCCTGCCTGGCTTCACCCATCTGCTCCATTCGCATCCTTTTCTTTTGCCGCTCGGTAACAAAAAATGACAGGGAGGAAAGGTGGTGGCAAAATGTTGTTCTGCTCTTGAATGCCAATGGGTGTGTGTTGAGTATATTTATGTGCCCCAACAAGTCCATGCATCTAAATTTCCCAAAAGGGTCCCTCGTGAAGACTGTCATTTTCACTTAGGCTGGTGGCATCAATCTTTTTGTAAGACCTTCTCCGTCATGCCACCCCCACCCCCCCACATTTGAGCAGTTTGAAACAAATGGATTTTGAAGTATGCGGCCCACACGATTGAATGAGACAGGGGGTGGATGCTGCGTAGGATTGTTGATGATTTCCAGATTTCTCAGATCACTGAAGCATAAGGTCTTGGTAGCATTTGTATCTATATGGAATGAGGCAAAGGAACGGGATTGTTCCTAACTACCCTTTGTTGTCTTGGCTGCTTCATAATCCTATTTGTAATAGCAAAGGCATGATTATGATTGGATATGGTTTCCTGGGGATTTATCTCGTATGGGGACGGTGCCTGGTGTTCACTTGACTCTTCCTTCTGTGTTTGAACAATGAGGCGGGGATTATGGGCTGGGCTGGGGAAAGGCAGGAGAGCAATGGAGGGAGTTGCAGGTAAAATAAGACAGTTGGGGGTTCAGGAAAAGGCTGGCTGAAGAACTGGGGTTTGAGGAGGAACCTAAATGGAAATAAGTTTTATAAATGAGCCTTAGGTATAAGTATGATTAAAGACCTGGATATGAAATGGGGAGAAGTATGCTATTTTCATTTTTAATGTAGTCTTTGTTTTTGAAAGCATTTCTGACTTTTAGCAGGCAAGAGGTTATTTATCATTACATTCATATCCCACCTTTATTGCAAGGAAGATCAAAGTGACACACAAAAGTTTCCCCTTCTTTCCATGTTACCTTATCAACAACCGTGTGGGGCAGAATTACACTGAGAAACTGTAATAGTGAATTTCGTGGCTGGGTTCAGGATTTGAACCCAGATCTCCCAGATTCTTGTCCAACACATTAACCACTACTCCAAATAGGTAGAGTTCTTGTACTCTGAGCTGGATTAAATTCAGTCTTCTTCTTACCTTGTTCTCTGGTGTAGGCAGCAGGGGCTTCTGTCATGCATAGCTGGATGGGACCAGGAAGATTTTGGACTTGGCTATCACAGAAAGTTGGGTCTTTGCACATGCCTGCTGCCTTTTGTATTGTCCACACCTCTGGGCTCCTTGACTGAGCAGTCCAGAGACAAAACCACTCCAAAGAATGAATGCTACGTAGATACGTAGAATGTATGAGTGAGATAATGACACCACCTCCTGTTGTGGATTTGACGTGAGGCTTTTTAAAGAGATTCAACATATTATCCTCCTGTATGCTCTGCTGCCCTAAAAAAAAAAAATTTAATTAGTGAGTCACAGCCTAAAATACAGTTTTTAGGAAAAGGTAGGCAGCTTATGTAGTAGTAGTAAGATGTTGGCGAGGATTGCTAAATAAGCAGTTTGCATACAACTTGTGTTGGGGAAAGGCCCCCATGGCATGAGGACAGAGCACTATGCTTTGTATGTGCAAAGGTACAGTTGCTCACACTGGTATCTCCAGGAGGAAAAAAAGAGGTTTGGGTAGCAGGTGATTGGAAAGATAGCTCAGCCTGAGTCTCTAGAGAGCTTCCTGCCATTTCAGAGTAGACAAAGCTGGGCAAAATGGGCCAATTAGCTGGCCTGGTAGAGCAGCTTTCTACATTCTGCTTACAGACTCTTTCGAGGTAGAGGACTATTCTGAATGGCTGCTTGGAAAAAAACAGGTACCCCCCCCCCTTCAAGATGTGTGTGAGGCCTCCAGCCTAAAGGACAGGCATCTTGATACAACTTCTCACATGGCATTCTCAATACTGCCTTAACACTTGTAGGATTCTAGACCAGCTTACAAAAATACCTTGCGTGTGGCCACTGATGTTATAAATGGATGCCATTTTTCCTGAGTCTGCAGAGGACAGACCTGAAGCTGTGACTCAGATGTCAGCTCCTGTGCGCCCACAGCCTCCCTCCTCCCGGCTAATCTCATTGGGGTTGTAGCTTTAAAGCCTAGTGACAACACTCTTTAAATGTCAGCATTAACTTTGGTTTGCTGATCATTTTAGCAGATGGAGTGAGAATAAAGCCCATGGGAAGGGGGGGGAGAGAGGACTAGGAGTTCCTACAGAGAAGGAAATGCAAGAGAGAGAGAGAGAGAGAGAGAGGCAGACACCGCAGGTTGTATAACTCTGGTCCTAAGGGGGAACGTATCTTCCTAATGAGTAATGCCGGGCATGATGATAAGATAATGGCTGAGAATTTAAAAGCGGAAATATGTGTTATGCAAGTGCCATCCACTATCCTATTCAAGGCAAGAACTGAGTTGGTGGATCACATCCCTGAATTTACACCTTGCCCTCAGGGCTATGACTAAAATGGAGTGCAACTGCATTGCCAAACAAAGTTCACTGACAGGTTGGTGGTGGCAGTACTTTTGTCTCTGTGGATGTTTGCTTCTCTTCTCTCTCCCCCCCCCCCCAAGACCTGTTCAAATGATTGCTTCACACATGTTCCTGTGGGAAATGGAAATCTTCCTTTCTCTGGCTGGTACACCAGAACATACTATATCCCCAGCCTGTTGTGCCTTGTTCTTCATTTCCACTAGAGAGAGAATGTTGCTGATGTATATAGAGCAAGATGGGGGCTGTTGTTGTTTTTTGCTTTGGCCATTTCCCCCACAATTGCAGAACTATGTGCTTGTTGGCTATTCCTGCAGCCTAGATAAGGACAGAAGTCTTTTACTAGGTCACTTGCCAATGGGGTTCAACCCTGTTGGGAAATCCTGCTCCCTATTCCCAGATGCATAGGAGCAGGCTGCCGTTGCACTCTGCACATACACAGAGGTGCTTTTTATTGCTTTACATTGTCAGTACCAACTTCCCAGAACTGTACACAAGTTAAGGGGCTTTCCTTGTTCCAAACTGCTCTGTGCTGCCATACCTGTGCACCTAAGTGTCGTGAGATGACTTTGAGGTGGTTCACACATAATGCCAGACCATGGTTTGTTCCGACATGAAAGAGCACTTAAAGAAGCCTTGGAATCTCATGCTGCTTCTCGTGTGGCACTTCCCATAGCTTGTTTTGCCCACTGGGTACTTAGTGTGTTTTTTCCCTACAACCATGTGTTGCATGACAGAGAGCAATCCACTCATGAGCCCCAGCCGGCATGGCCCGAGGTTCAGGGGTGATGGGAGTTGTAGTCCAGCAGCATCTGGAAGGTCATGGGTTCTATATCCCTGCAATATTGGAATCGGGATCAAATGCTGAATTTCAATCTGATTTGCAAGTTTAGTGAAAACTGTGGTTCTAATGCAAATGATGCTTTGTCTCAAAGTAGAAGGGCAGAGATCAGGCCGGAGAAGAATGGTGGGAACTGCTGCACATACGCAGTGAAGGGAGCCCAAGGCTTACTAAGCTCTACTCCTTTGAGTAGGTCTAGTGGGAGTTTCTGCACCTTAGGGTGAGTGGCTAACTGGCAAAGTGGATCACTCCTGAAGCCCCAAACTAGATTTGTTTTCTCGGAAACTTGCCCCAACATGTCCCTTGCATGATCATGATTCTGCCCATAGAAGGTCACTCAGACTTCGAAAGTTCAAGAAGCAGCGACACTACAATATATAGAATGGCAGCTGACCAGTTTATGGTAAGCCTAAAAACCTCAATTTGTGTTCAGAGCAGTGCACCTCCTCTTACCTTTCTGTTCATGAAGGGAGGTTAAATCAAATATTGCTGCTCTCACTGTTCACTTATCCTGTGGCCTGTTGATTTGCCAAGCCTCTGTTTTGCATGGGTCATTCTTTATTAAGCACTCCAATTTGTATTTGAAAGAAACAGTACCAAGCTTCAACTACATTCAGTATCCTACTTTGGACTGTGAAGTGTAGAGTCTAGGTCACTTTTGAGCTTTTCATAGAAATGTCCCAGATAGCATTCCATGGCCTCAGGCTCCGTTGTTTACAGCATTTTTCTTATACCCATATGTGTATAAAATAAAAAAATGCATAATGTGTAATTTGATAAAAATATAAACAATATATATTTACCCTTTGCAGCCTTCCCTGCTCCTAGCTTTCTTGCCTTTTGCTTGCTACATAGTCTCTAAGCACCTTACAACATTTTAATAGCATAACAACAATACATTGCAATTTTAAAAATCCAAAAACTTGTAGAATAGACCCAGTAAAGCAGCAGCATATAACCTCAGTAGCAAAATATCCTATCAAGCAAAATAATCAGAATCAGACAAATGCCTGGGACAAAAGTTCTTTCCTGGTGCCAAAAAGACATTAATGACTGGGCCAGGCAGACCTTACTGGGGAGACCCCTTGCACAGACAGGAAACCAGAACCAAAGAGGACCTCTTCCTTGTTACCACTCTTCAAATCTCTCTCTGAGGAAGCACCCAGGTAAGGGCCTCTGATACAGATCTAAGAGCCCCTATAGGGTCATGTTGGGACATATCTGAAAAATACTGGGGTCTAGATCTGTATATGGCTTTAAAGATCAAAACCAACTTTTTGAATTGGCCTTGGAATGTAGAGGCAACCAGTGCAGCTGAGCCAATATCAGCTTTATATGATCATTTTGCCTCAAGTCTGTTTGCAATTGGGTAGCTGCATTCTGCACTATCTGCTGTTTCTGAACAGTTTTTCAAAGCAGCCTCATGTAAAGCACAGTTCAGCCAGGTTACCTGTTCAGATAGGGTTGTAGTTGATCAGCAGCCTAAGCTTCTGGAAGGTGGATCTTGACACCACTGAAGCTACCTCTTCAAGTAACAGCAGTGGATCAAAAACTATGAACCTGCTCTTTCAAAGAGAGCTCCCCATATCCAGCATGCTGCACACCACTCAGCTGAACAGGTGAACCACCCACCAGCAGCATCTCAGCCTCATCAGGTTTAAGCTTCACTTTCTTGACACTCATCCAGTCGGTTATTGCAACCAGGCAGCAATTCAGCACGTCACTGCCTCACCTGCAGAAGATGAAAAGGCAAACTAGAAATGAGGCCATTTCTAGAGACAGCATGCTTCAGAGCTCTGTATGAGTCCTGCTTTTGTGTATATGTTAAATAGCATGGAGGCCAGAACCAGCCCTGTTGGACCCCCACACTGGAGACCCCACAGGGGTGTTCTGTATTCTCCAAGCGCCACCACCTGGAGCCAACTATCCAAGTAGAAGTGGAAGCACTGCATCGTTGTGCCTCTGGCCCAGGAAGTCATCGCAGAAGGATACCATAGTTGATAGTATTGAAAGCCGCTGAGAGACTAGAGCATCAAAAGGGTCACACTCCTCCTGTTTCCACCCCCCTCAACACAGGTCATAACCCAGAGCAACTTGAGACGATTTCTGTACCCATACTGGGCCTGAATCCTGATTGAAATGGATGTAGAAAATTAGGCTTCTCCAAAGAGTGCCTGGATCTGCTTGGCAACCATCCTCTTGAGGAACTTTCCCAGAAAGGAACCTCTGCTGCTGTTCTGAAACTATTTTGAACTTCTGAATCCAGGGGTTTCTTTAGGAGTAGTCCACCACCACCTTCTTCAGCTGGCCGAGGCATTAATAACCTCTCTGGCCCAGCCAGCTGCCCCCTCCCAGTCAGGTTTTGTAAGCTGAAAGGGACAAGGGTCCAAAATGCAAGTAGTTGCACAAACCTAACCATGCACCTTCTCCAAGTCCTCAGGCTGCAGGATCTGAAACTCATTTAATGATCTTTTACCAAAAAAAGTGCTCCAGGCCACCCCACCAGAATTGTTTGTTTGTGTGTAATTATCTCTGCTGACTGTTGATAACACTTCATGCATCTAAAGTGGACGCTAATCCATAAAACCTGTTACAGTGGTACCTCGGGTTACATACGCTTCAGGTTACAGACTCCGCTAACCCAGAAATAGTGCTTCAGGTTAAGAACTTTGCTTCAGGATGAGAACAGAAATCGGCGAGGCAGCAGCAGCAGGAGGCCCCATTAGCTAAAATGGTGCTTCAGGTTAAGAACAGTTTCAGGTTAAGTACGGACCTCCGGAATGAATTAAGTACTTAACCCGAGGTACCACTGTATAGTCTTCAAGGTGTCATACAACCTCTTGCTTTGGCAATATCTAAATGTAACTTTTGATTGTAATAGTCAAAGCTGTGCATTCTCAGTGACTATGTCCAACATGGGATTTGGAAATGGAGCAAATTCCAGTATTCTAAGAGTGATTTTTTTAAAAAAAGCTATAGGACACCAGAGGGGTCTAGGAAGCTCTGTGTGCATAATTTCCTATGGCTGAGGGCCTAAGTTTCAGACCTCTGTAGAACTTCTTCCCCTTTCACTTGCCTTATTTGGGGCAGAATAAGATATGCAAAACATGCATAATATATCCAACTTCTAGAATGCTACTTCCTTTGTATAGGCATTCTTTAGCCGCTGAGCGTTGCTAAGTGTAACAAGCCTGACATATTTGTGGCAAGACTATAAAGTTAAGATTTTGCAACCCCGGAAGCCCTAATTGTGTAAGCTTGTTATAAGCAAAATAAGTGGTGCTTCTGATCTTGCAATAACTGATTTCTTTGACATAACACTGTCCTCAGCATTCACAGACAGGCTAACAGCTTAACTGGCACCAAACCGCTCAAGCTAGGTAAACCAATACTGATTACAGAATAAAGCAGGACCAGAAGGGGAGAAGAAACGTGATTTAATTATAATTTTTATAAGTGGTAGGTAGGGGAACTGAGAGTGGAGCCTGCAAAGAGTGAAAATGGTTTCCCGGCCATAAAAAGCGTATTCCAGAGTCTCACTTCCTCTTCCTTCCCTAGCTTCTCTGTAAATCAGGGTTAGATGTTTGTTTATATCTTACAAAAGTGTTTCTATACTACTGTATCATAAAATGTCAGGACAGCGTACACCATTAAAACATAAAACATTTTTAAAACAATGCAGATACTGAGGTTCCCAAGAATGCTGGAATGCATCCCCATCACTTCTGAATGACACATCCTAAAGCAGGATTCCTCACCCTCGGCCCTCCAGATGTTTTTGGTCTACAACTCCCATGATCCCTAGCTAGTGGGACCAGTGGTCAGGGATGCTGGGACTTGTAGTCTCAAAACATCTGGAGGGCCAAGGTTGAGGAAGCCTGTCCTAGAGAAATCTGCTTCTTCGTTTCAATTTTGCATGACCAGTGCTAATTTTAATTACTAATCTTGCTTGTTTAAATACAGATGAACTGAAACTGAGCTAGTTTTGCACAAGGTGACAAATCAATTCCTTTTGGAATCTCTTTCATTGGGGCCTTCTCTCTGTTTGCTCTTCCTGACGAGCACGATGAGCCTGTTGCCAAAATGAATGGGATGATATTCTGCATCATGCTGCAGTGAAATCACTACAGCACAGTGTGGCGAGGTGGGAAGCATCCCTGTTTCCAAAGCAACTGGGGCAATGCTCTGCCTTACTAGTATAGTGCAGTTGCCATGACAACTGGCATGTTCCCTCCCTGTGCTGTGGGCGCAAAGCATTGACTATCTTCTGCCCTCAATGTCACAGAGCCAAGACATGGGTACATAGCGTCATGATGTTATGTTCCCCACATGATTCCTAACTGGTTGGGATTACTCAGAAGAAGAAAGCAGAGCCCTGTACCCCACCCAGCTGCAGTGGCACCACAGCAGAGGAATAAATTGAGAGCTGTGAATTGTTGCCAACAGTACCAAGAAAGATACTATATACATGCATTTCAGTCAGGGACTTAGGTAGGCCCGACCTGCCTTGTTACGTGATGGGGTGGGCTCCCTCCACCCAAATAAGTGGATTGTGAGGGGTCTTGGTACAGTGGTACCTCTGGTTATGAACTTAATTCATTCTGGAGGTCTGTTCTTAACCTGAAACCGTTCTTAACCTGAAGTACCACTTTAGCTAATGGTGCCTCCCGCTGCCGCTGCGCCGCCCCCAGCACGCAATTTCTGTTCTCATCCTGAGGTAAAGTTCTTAACCCGAGGTACTACTTCCATGTTAGCGGAGTCTGTAACCCAAGGTGTTTGTAACCTGAGGTGTTTGTTATCCGAGGTACCACTGTACATGCCAAAAGGATGTCCTGGTCTTAGGGTCTTTGTGTTTAACCTTTTGTTTAAGGGGAGGGGGAAGCTGAAATACTTAGAGAATTAACTTTCATCAATTTATTGTAATCAAAAGATTATATGCACACACCATTACTGCAACAGCTTCCAAAATGCTATAGATGTTTTGTCATATGTATGTTTGATTTGGGCGGCATTCGACTAAGCTTTGCTCAGATTAGACCCATTTAAATTAATGGACTTGATTAATTTCAGTGGGTCTACTCTTGAGTACAGTCTTGTTTAATACCATCCATTATTTCTTAGCTTGGATTTCTTATGCTCAATGATTGCCCACAAGGAAAGACAATTGGAAGTATGTGTTGGCTGGGGATTGCCACTTTATTGGGTTAGATTTCCACCTCTGAATGTTCATAAAATGTTTTTCACCTTCTAAAAGCTCTGCTTTTGCCTCAAACTTTTGGGAATGCAAATTTAGCACGGTCCTAACATTTAATTTTTAAATAGTTGGACATAATTTAGTATATAAACTGAAAATAAATAGCACCAAGAAAAAAGGAGGTCTGCCACCTGGGCAAATTTTGCATTTTGTTGATGGGAAATGGTAAGGAGTTACACAGGAAATCACTGGAACAACTATTTTTAGAGCAGCAGAGAGCCTCGGCCCAGATTCAAGTAAGCCTCAGTTCTGGCCCTCAGCTGCACCTGGCTCCTCACATGAGCACTGCACAGGAGCGCCTAGGAGCCAGGAGAATTGGTTAGAGATCAAGGCAAGAGAGGCTGTAGCCTTCAAAGTTGAAGAGGAGGCAAGACAGGAACTGGGCAAAAGTCAGAGTGGTCAGGCCAGTGTGGGGAAAGGAAGTAGGTGAAAAGGATGGGTAGGCAGGGAGAGAAAAAGAAGCCTCTGGAGGAAAAAGGGCCAGGAAAGCCCGTGAAGGAATTTTGAAAGAGGTACAGTTAATATTTACTATTGTTTAAAATAAAATAAACAGTGCATTGAGAGGTAGGTGATAAGAGAGGAAAGCTGTTGTAGGAGGAAAAAGTGGATGTAAAAAGAGCAGGGAGAAGGAATAGGGTGAAATTAAAATGTGAAAGGCAGAAGAAGTGATGGGAGATGAATTAAAAAAATTTTTTTTGAGAGTTGGAGGGAGAAAGAAATAGAAAATAAAAAGCTTTCTGTGTTTAGAGCATCTAGATCAGCAAATTCCACCAGAAGTATAGAGGGTCGAATGTTACCTTTATTCTAAAACCTGCCATCCAACCAGTTGATTAAAAATGTGCCTCTGCAGCAGTGCTTAAAAACGAAAAGAAAAAAAGAATAAAAAGCCTTCTTAAGAAAAATTGAGGTCTGGCATAGCGCCCTCAAGGCCTGGTCAGAGTGAGTCTGGTAGACCTCATTGGGAAGAAAATTCCATTGGGAAGTCACGACCACTGGTAAGGTTCTGTTCTTTATTGATGACAGCTTAGCCACCTATCCAAATTAGGGCCACAGCAGCAGCAGCTGTGGGAATGTTTGCATGGAAGCAGGTAATTTAGCACACCCTTGGATTTGGTTAAGACTTGGGTAGGCTTCTGAGCAGATTAGGAATAATGAAGATGAAAAATGTTGATGTGCTCTGAGAGGGCTATGTGAGAGTAAGATGGAAGTGGGTTTTGGAGTTGATGGCCTGAGGGTGTTGAAACAAATGCTTGAGTTGGTAGGGTTAGATATTACTGGCCCAAGGTCTCTCTTGAACAGGGGAGACAGCCACTTGCTTGCCTAATTTGTGAATTAACACTGCCCAGAATGGCTACATGTGATTGGGAGGTGACAGGACACAGAGACATGGGTGAGCTTGAAATGGTGTAGCAAAACTTCTCCAAGGATATGAGGCTACTGTATTCAGGTATTCTGTGGAGCCTCATACAATGAGGCCCAGCAACACTCACTCTCTCGTTTTTGTTAGCTTCTGACCTACAGAATCGGAGCGTCCTGAAATAAAAGCCATCTCTTAACGACATATATGACAAGTCTGAGATTGGGAAGGAGATTGTGGCGTAATCGTTGCAGGCAGGCTGAGTGCAAATCGTGCTGTTGTAATTTTTGGCTGGTGGAACCTCTCTGTTCCCATAAGGGGGGGAAATGGCATGCTCCACCCTCTTCTCTCGCAACCAAAAGAACAAAACAAAAATGATTTATTTAAAAAATAAAATAGGGTTGTGTGCAGCACTTAAGCAATTTCTTGTTTTGGTGGCAGCTAAATTTAGCTCCACCCGTGTCAACATTTAATTAAATGAGAAATATAATGGTACCCTGTGTGTCGTAGTCCCTGTGTGGTTTAATTTGCTAGTGAATCTTTTTTCTTCATTCAGAGTGTATGACTTAATTGATAAACCAAACGGGATTTAAAAAAATCTTTCCAAAAGTATAATTGCATGCTTCGTTGAAGAGGAGGGCACCTGAAGAGAGGGAGCAGGTGGGACTGATTGTGGGACTTAACAAAAAGAAGCCAGTTGATTGATTGTTTGCTTGCTTGTAAATGGTTTCACTGCAGAAATAATAATATGCACATTGTTTTGATGGCAGTGGCAAGAGTCCTAGGATACAAGGTGTGTGAACAAGAGCTACTCCGCCAGAAGGATACCTCGGTGCTAGGAGAATTCTGGTGTTTACAGTGCTTGCAAAGCTACTGTGCTTTTGCTGCCAGTGGGGAAAAATGGAGTGTTCCATTCATTTCTGGGGTACATCAGCATGGTGTGTCTGCAGTCTTGTCAGTCATTGATCCATGATGTTGCTGGCTCGCTCTTTTATGTATGTTGTCCTCGGCCCTTATTGCTGCCCATTCTGATCCACACTCCTGATGTGAAAACACTTGCCCTCTTTTTGGTGTGTGCTCTCATCCCTGAAGGCCATTTTGCGCATTGCACAACGGCAAGTGTAGCTTTGCCCTCAATAAGACACTCAGCAGTAAGGTGTGCAACCAGTTGCATCTTCCTGAGAAGTGTCCCGGCATGATGAATGTGTCTCTTTCACACTTATAAAATGCAATGTGTGAAGTTCCAGGGTTTTTTTACCCTGTGTAGCTAGGGTTAGATAATTTCCTTGCCCAGTGCCGGCCTAAGATTTCCTGGCTAAATTGAGATTGTAATCTAGTTATTTAGGTTCATGCATTATTTGCTTGACCAAATTTAGCACCTTGTGCTGTGGTTTTTTTAGTAATTGTGAGCAAATTGGTGAGCCACTTACATGTATTCACAGAATCATAGAATCATAGAGTTGGAAGAGACCACAAGGGCCATCGAGTCCAACCCCCTGCCAAGCAGGAAACACCGTCAGAGAACTCCTGACATATGGTTGTCTCTGCTTGTGGCCTCTGATGCATCCTTTTAGGAATGGCTTCTTTACATGGATGGTATCCCAACACTTTAAATGTCTCTTATGGCTGTGGTATATTTATTGCAGCTGATACATGGCTTATGATGAATGTGCTAAAGCCTTCACTGCATCAGACAGCCTCTGTGCTTTCCATGCCATTTGAGGCTGAAAAGTGCAAACAAACATTTAGCTAATAAAAGCCAACTGTTTGTTTATACTTTTCACATTCGGAAGGCTCCATCCGGTGAGTAGTTCATCACCTGAGGTTTTGAATGTGTTTTTTAATCAAATGCTTGCTTTGCCTTAGAGTCTTAATCTCTTCCTAACTTGACTAATTATAAAACAAAAAGATTTGCCTCAAATTCTTAAGGTGGATCTGCTACCCAATGTTAAAAAGGCTAGCACCATAAACTTTTTTTGTGAAAGTAAGAGTGTTTCACCCAGGTCATGTGAAATAGAGATCCAGTGTGGAGTGAGATTAAGAAGTGTGTCAATAGGACCAAGGAGACATGGAATTCAAATTGCTTCCCAGCCATAGCTTGATGGGTGACGTTGGGCCAGTCATGTAGCACCCACTCAATCTACCTCACAGGGCTGTTGTGTGCATAAAACAGGGGAGGGGAAAGAACTGCCCTAAGCTCCTTGGATGATAATGATGATGGTGATGATATTTATACCCCACCCATTTGGCGCTATTTCCCCAGGATGGATGAGATAGAAATGTAATAAATAAATAATCATCCCCTCCCCTCTTTGTTTTCGTGCAGGTGCCAATATTGCCACTGGGGAAGAGGTAGCCATTAAGTTGGAATGTGTGAAAACCAAGCACCCGCAGCTCCACATCGAAAGCAAATTTTACAAGATGATGCAGGGAGGAGGTAAATTCAGCGAATAATGAAATACAAGTTGCTATAAGGTACAGTGGGGTTTGGATATTAAACCTTGGTGCCTGCTTCTTGGTGTCTCATAAGGGGTGTGTGTGTTTCGCTTCCCTCTTAGTGGGCATCCCTTCCATTAAGTGGTGTGGAGCAGAGGGCGACTATAATGTGATGGTGATGGAACTTCTGGGACCCAGCCTGGAGGACCTCTTCAACTTCTGCTCTCGCAAGTTCAGCCTCAAGACTGTTCTGCTCTTGGCAGATCAGATGGTGAGTTCTTATAATCTGTTCTTTATGCTCACGTGTGCCTTTCTTCTCAGTTCCCTTCTTTGTAGCAGTAGTTCAAGATTTAATTATCCTAAATTATTACGCTTGAGTGGGGAATGGAGAAAATGTACACAAAGGGTGTCTTGTTCTGCAAGAGCTGGAGAAGCATAAATCCTCATGTAGGGAGAGATGGGGTTTGTGTAGCGTATGTGCTATTGGCCAGTGCGGAAGATGCTGAGGGCAATGGGGTGTGTTGCTAGAGTTGGTAGTTTGTGATGCACTTAGACCTGAGTGCTCTGAGTACCATGTTTCCACACCCTCTTTGGCGGCAGCTGCAGCAAAAAATTCCTGCTTCTGGCTCCAAAGTAAATGCATTTGAAATGTTCCTTTTGAAAACCTATTAAGCTCCAGAGGTCCTGTGATTAGGCCCACGTTTTCACTTTCCTGCTACCGAAGGACAGAAAGTTGGGGTTAAAAGAAAGCTTGAGGTTCCCTGATTTCTCTTTGAGAAACATTGCAAGTTAGAGGAGACTTCAGGTTAACCCTCTTGTGTGTATGTGGTTTGCTGTGTAGCTTGCAGTGCTATTAGTGGCCTTGGTTTCACCAGTTTCTGTGTATATTCTCCTTCCTGGCACCATTTCCCAACCCATTTTCAGATCAGCCGTATCGAATACATTCATTCCAAGAATTTCATCCACCGAGATGTGAAGCCAGATAACTTTCTCATGGGGCTTGGCAAGAAGGGCAACCTTGTGTACATCATCGACTTCGGCCTGGCCAAGAAGTACCGAGATGCCCGCACTCACCAACACATCCCCTATCGGGAAAACAAAAACCTGACTGGCACAGCCCGCTATGCCTCTATAAATACTCACCTTGGAATTGGTAAGCTTGTCTTACACTCCTGTGTTACTATGGAGAACATGGTTAGGTGGAGAAAAGTTGTTGTGGCCTTCTATATGTTGCTGGGCTCCCATCAGCCTCCATAGCCAGTGGGCAGGCATAATGAGAACCTTGAATCCACATGGTCTCCACCTTTGTGTTAAACAGTAATCCATTTCATAGTGGTTATAATTTTGCAAACTTGTGTAATAACTGCAGGGTTCCACTCAACACTAAGCTGAGCTTTCTCAGTCTGCAATTGTGTGCTTTTTCGAAGTTCTGACATGGCACAGACCAGGGGTCATTTAACCGGCCCACAAGCTGCCCCCAAACCAAGCCGCCCGCTCGGCGAGTCTCCGCGCACTGCGCTAAACCAGCACAGCGCAGGGACTCGCTTCCATGGCGCCGGAAATCACATCTGCACAGACACTGGAAATCGCGGGCCCACGGGGGGGGGGGATCTCCGCTGGAGTGAACCGGCCCAGGTGAGGTAAACCTTGCCAACCCCTGCGCCAGAAACATGAAGCCACCTTTTTTTGTACAGCAGGCCGAGGGCATTCTCTTACTTCGCTCCTTGCAGACTCCTTTGTGATGCTACTGGCAACCTAATAACTAATAACACTTAGCAATGGAAGCCCATGGCATTAGTATCCAGTATGAGGTCTGTGTTTGAAACTTCAAATGGTGTAAACCATTCAGCTTTTCAAGCAATTGATTACTCAAATTTTACACAGTGAAAAGAATTCTAATGCGCTTTTTTGATACGTCATGTGAGGCAGTCTTTTCTGAAATGCCAAATAACTATTTTGAATGCCTTCCTGCGTTTGGACAGAGCCAGGGAAAGAATGTCATTTTTCTCCCTCCCCCTCCCCCTCCCCAAAAAAGTGGCACAGGGGAAATGGACTAGCAGATCTCTGTACTCTATGTAGGCTGGTCCTTCAAGAGTTCTAGAGGTCTTACTAGCCACACCCAGTTATTCAGGGAAAATATTTAAACTAATGTTTTAGTTGATTGTGCTCATTAATCTATACTGGTTACCCTGTCTCAAAAAAGGAATTAAGAGAGCTGGGGAAGGCTTAAGGAGAGCACAACTGAAATGACCAGGGACTTGGAGTATTGGAGAACTTTTTCACCTTTAGTTTAGGGGGAAAGGATGGCTAAGGGGACATAAGGGAGGATATAAAATCATGAATCATTTCGAAAGAATCTGATAATTTATATCTTTCAGAGTACTGATAATTTATATCTTTCAGGTCCTTCAGGTTGCTAAAAATCCACCTAAGGTTAATTATGTTCATGCAATGCATAATTAACTTTGGATTAATTGCTCAGATGGCTTTTTTTAGGGGGGAGGATGGTTAGACAAACGTGTGGAGTCTTTGAATGGCAATCGGCTATGAAAGCTAAAAATGGAATGGTATTTCCTACCAACAAGGTATAACTGTTAACATCATGCTCTGCTTGGAAGCTTACAAGGGGCAGCCTGCTGGACATTGGATCTGTAGCGTGGCTCAGAAAGGCAAGTTGTTGTGGGAAATTCCCATCCTCTGCTAGCCTTTAACTGTGCTGCTGAAGAAGAAAGGAATGCATAGCAGAACTGAAGTAACAGTAGAACATGTTTTTTGGGCCCTTTGGCAGCTTAAGCTTCTGGACAATTGGCCAGTGACCTAGTCAGCGCATAATTTAATGTCAAATGTTAAACAGTCTTAAAATTTATCTGCCACGATGACTTCCTTTTGCTGCCTTGCCAAAAGAGAGAGAGAGAAAGACTTGCTGTTGCCCGTCTGCCGGAGCAGAAAATGCATCCTCTCTCCTCGACAGCTCGGAGAGAATCACACAGTGAAAAACCAGGAAACCAGTGTACGTCACATCCAGTCTCCCTTTCCCGTGAGAAACTCCAACAGTACAGACTGTGGAATGTAAACACCTGTCTCGTGACAAGCAGAGCTGCACAGTGAACGAAAGCAGAAACCAACATCATCCCCTTTCTGTGAACATCACTGGGCAGCGTGTTTGCACAATATCAGTACAAACCCAACTTCTGCACATAGGTACAGTGTTGATCCCTCGATACAATCTTGGACAATACATCAGCAGGAATTTTATTACCTGGCATATAGGACACCGTTACGAGTCCCTTCTGAATACATTCCATAGCATGCTGCAACTTTAATTGCAAGTGCTTTGTGCTTTGCTTACAACCTTCAGACTTCAGCAAAGCCAAACATGCTTTGTTGTCCTGGTAAACCTGGATTGGACATTTGACAGGAATTTTCATATCTTTGCACAATTGTACTAACCATTCACAATCCTTAAGTGAATAAGACAGTGCATTCAGTTCGGCTTCACAAGTACTTAAGCTAACTGTTGTTTGCTTCTTGCATGACCAATCAAACAGACTCTGATTGTACATGTAGCAAACTCCAGACGTACTTTTCCTGTCTGTAGCGTCACTTCCAAAACTTGCATCTGCAAATATCTCAAGACCACCAGACTTCTGATTGTTAAATCTCAGTCTGTAATGCATAGTGCCTTTCAAATACCGCGCTATGCGTTTCAGAGCTTTCCAATCCTTGACACTAGGATTGTTGACTTGTCTGCTTAGCAAATTACAGCTAACAGCAATGTCTGGTCTTGAACATCTGGCAATGAAGTTTAGCTTGCCTAGCACACTCCTGTACAGTGTAGTGTCAGAAAATGCTTCTTCAGTGTCATCTACCTGATAACCTGTTGTCATCGGTGTGTCTACAGGGTTAGCATCCATCAGATTTAGTTTGCTTAACACATCAGCAATTTTCCGTGACTGGTGTACTAGAATGTTACCATCTTGATCTCTCTCTATTTCCAGAGATAGGTAGTTGTTTACCTCACCAAGATCTTTCATGTCAAAGTGCTCTTTCAGTTGAGCTAGGGCGCTATTGTACATTGCAACATCTTTCCAAAAGAATAATAAATCATCAACATAAAACAAACAGTACAGTTTCTTTTGCCCCTCCTCTTGACAAATACACATGGATCAGCTTTCCTTGCTGAAAACCTAGAGAAAACAATACTTCAGTGAGTTTTGTGTGCCAACACCGTGCACTTTGTTTGAGACCATAAAGGGATTTCTTCAGAGCACAAACAAATCCCTGTTTTACCTGTACGCCATCAGGTGGAAGCATATAAAGTGATTCATCTAGAGATCCGTACAGAAAAGCTGTATTAATATCATGGTGACTAATGTGTAGATTTTCCTCTGCAGCTAGCTTAAGCATAAGCCTAATGCTTTCATATCTCACTGTAGGTGAATAGGTCTCGTGATAGTCTTCACCTGGTACCTGTGCAAAACCTCTGGCTACCAATCTGGCTTTGTGTCTGACTATCTTGCCATTTTGATCTGTCTTCGCTTTGAAGACCCATTTGCTTCCAAGCAGTTTCATTCCTGGAACTACTGGAACTAGCTCCCATGTTTTGTTCCTTTCTAAGGAATCAAGCTCAGCCTTCATGGCATTTAACCATGGCTCAGCTTCCTTGAATCCAAACCCTGGATTTCTTGGAAACTTGAAGGTTCAAATACCTTCTTGGAGCTTTTAACAGCTGTTACTGCTATCGTAGCAAACTCATCAGCAAATCTCTTTGGAGGTTTGCCTTTGTGGCTCTCTGTGACCTACGAATTAGCCTTAAGTCTTCAACACTCTCCTCTTCCTTCTTAGGAGAAAAACGACCTATTGTGAACAATGGTTCCTCCAATTCTTGATCAGAGCTTTCAGAGGGTCGCATAGAGGCTTTCGCACTCTCGAAATCCTCTGAATCACCCGATTCAGTTTCAGATTCAGACTCAGAACCTTCATCAGTGGGTGTGGGTTGTTGTGGTTGCTTTTGACTATCCTCAGTCTCATCACCGTCATCAGGATAACATTGGAAAATTCCCACATTCCCCCCCACTTTGCATTGTACTCAACACTTCTCGTGAGCTTAATTGTCTTAGAGTCAGTCATCATTATTCTGTAAGACCCTTTCTGATAACCTAGAAAGATACCATGCAATCCACGCTTGTCTAACTTGGAGTTTTGTGGTGAGCGAACCCACATGTCAGAACCAAAATCTTCATGTGTTTGATGTATGGCTTCTGCCAAACATCTTCTCATAGGGGTACAACCAATCGCTGAAGATAACCTGCGATTGTAACTGTAAACAAAACACGAGAGAGATTCGGCCCAATAACTCTCTGGAAGATTGGCATCATGCAGCAAGGTTTTTAACCCTTGAAGCAATGTCTGATTTGCCCGCTCCGCAAGTCCATTCTGCCATGGCGAGCGAGGACTAGACAAATCGTGTTGAATTCCTTTCTCAGTCAGAAAAGCTTCAAACTGCTGAGAAGTGAATTCTCCCCCGCGATCACTGAAAAGAGTCTTTATCTTCTTACCATGCACATTTTCCAACCAAGCACAGAATTCCTTGAACCTAGGAAAAGCCTCCGATTTCTGCTTGAGATTGTACACAAAAATATATCTAGAAAATGCATCAATGAGAACCATGAAGTATCTATTTCCACCCAAAGAGGGCGCTAGTGGTCCAACCAAATCAGCATGAACAACCTGGTATGGTTCTGTAGCTTTCCTACTAGACACCTTACCTTTCGCAGCCATTTTCACTTTGTTTGCTGCGCATGCTTTGCACTTCATGTGGTACCTGCAGGGTTTAATAGTCATACCTTCAACCAAGGCAGGCATTTTAGATACTGCCTCAAAATGCAAATGACCAAATTTTCGATGAAAATCGTGAATACATTCTGCATGCAAACTTTTGTTAGAACCTGCAATGCAACAAGTGTCATCCTGCACCACATCATCATAATACAAAACAAACAAACGATCAACATATTCTGCATGCAATACATAATCATTTTTCTTTGTGATGATGCACTTCTTGTTCTTGAAGGAAACGTCAATGTTCCGCTCATTCAGCTGTCCAACGCTGAGCAGATTATGTTTGGCGTCTGGCACGTAAAGCACATTCTGTATCGATAAGTCCAAACTGTGAAGAACAACAGTTCCGTAGCCTTTACTGGGAATAGTGTGGTCATCCGCCTGGTGAATCGCACCTTCCTGCGGTGTAAAAGACACAAACAGTCTCTTATCGTTGCACATGTGGTGGGTGGCCGCTGAATCAACAACGAAGAAAGATCTAGACGTCTTCTGGACCTCTGCAACCTTTGGAGTGAAGCGTGAAACCATAGCCTTGTGCTGCGTTGTCCTAGACACCGGACCTTTGCCTTTGCCTCGGCCTTTTCCGCGCGATGAGCTTCGCTGCGCTGCTCTGTCTTGGCCCTGGGATGTCTGCATTTCCTCTTCATATGGCCTAGACGTCCACACGAGTAGCATTTCACTGCCTTCAAAGCTTTGGCGCCATCTGGTGGTTCCACTGCACTATGGGATGACGTCTGTGAAGACTCCCTTGCCCATGCAGCTAGCACCCCGGCGATCTGCTTCATTTAAAATCACGGCAGTAACAAAGTCCACTGTCAGCTGAGCAGTTGGTTGCACAGCAATCTGGGTTGCAACAGACTCCCAACCTGAACCCAAAGATTGTAGTATCATGAAAGAATACACAGCCTCTGGAAAGTTGAGTCCTCTCTGTTGCAGCTCATGTCTCAGATTTTGCATCTCCATCAGATGTAAACGCACATCTCCACCTTCAGCAAGAGCCATATTATGCAGCTTGTTAAAGTAAAACATAGTGGATCCAGCTTCTGTCCTTAAGTGAGCCTCTCTCAAAGCGTCCCAAATTTCTCTGGCTGAGGTCTTATCACGCAATAGACAGAGCTCTTCTGGGGATACTATCAATGTAAGAGTTCCCTTGCTTTGGAATCCTTAGCTTCCCATGCATCTGTAACTGGAACTGGGGGTTCCTGTAATCACCTCAAACAAACCCTCTTTCCGCAGAATTGCCTCTGCATACAGAACCCAGTCGGCTATAATTTTTCTTGTTGAGCTTAGGAATCCCACAAGCATCCTGAAGGGCCATCATGACTCTGGCATTAGCCTTCAGCGTCATATATATGCTGCTTTAAATCCGCCCCCGTGAACTTGGAACGTGCAATTAATTTTTAGGCATGCAAATAATTTTTTATAGCTGCAGGAAAGCCGTTGACCTGCAGAATATCTTCCTCCCCATTGTGTTGAAAACAACAAAGCAGTAGTGTTGCTGCGTGGAAGATTGGAGGATCCCAGTACTGTAAATATGTTCTGCATCACATTGAGATCAATAAGAGGGAAATGTTTCACGTGCTTTGTGTTTTGAGATACATTTACTGTATTTTTCGCCCTATAGGACGCACTTTTTCCCCTCCAAAAATGAAGGGGAAATGTGTGTGCATCCTATGGGGCGAATGCAGGCTTTCGCTGAAGCCTGGAGAGCGAGAGAGGTCAGTGCGCACCGACCCCTCTTGCTCTCCAGGCTTCAGGAAGCTCTGCGCAGCCATCCCTAGCCCGGCACGAAGTTGCGCCGGGCTCCCAACGGCTGCGTGGAGCTGCCTGCGTTCCAAAGCTTGGGACGCACTGAAGAGCGCGCCCGGGCTTCACGCACCTCACCGCAAGCCTGGGGAGACCAGCGCGAGTTCGCGCCGGGCTCCCTAGGCTTGCGGATAGCAGGCTGTTCTGGGGGCTGGGGTCGGGGGAAGCTCGGGCTTCCCCCGCGCCAGCCCCGTGCCTGGGGGGGAAATAAATTTTTTTTCTTTATTTCCCCCCCAAAAAACCTAGGTGTGTCCTATGGGGCGGTGCGCCCTATGGGGCGAAAAATACGGTACTTGCATTTCCTTTAGTGAGTCTGTTTTTGGTGATTGAAAGCGTGGGGAGTGGGCTTCACTCTTTCTTCCTTGAATAAGTGGTTGTTGTTGTTTATAGTGTTTGTTAACATATTTACCAGCTGAGCAAAACTGACCCAATTCTGGACAGGATGTGTCTAGTACCAGTGTCCACTGGTAATGGGGGACAATCCGTTCTTCAGCTTTAAATAATCCTAATAAGCTCCTAGGGAACAATGGGGTTCCCAGGAATAGAGCTTTAAAATAATATTATCATCCCCATCACTGGTCCCTTAAGAGAAATATTAGTTTTGGCTCATGGAGACTTAAAACGTGGAATCTCATAACTAGGTATTTGCTTTTGTCATCATGGCAAATTGTCTTCGTGTCATTTGGTTGGTTGCTGTGTTCTTTTGATAAAGATGCATCTGTAAGAATCGTGCAGTGATGAGCTTCATCAGTGGTAGCCAACATGGTGCCCTCATATGTTGCTGGACTTTAACTTGCATCATCACTGACCGTTGGCTGTACTGGCTGGGGCTGATGGGAGTTGTAGTCCAGCAACATCTGAAGGGCACCATGTTGGCTACCGCCGTGTACATGCTCTGTAAAGGCTGATATTTCAGACAGCTTGGTCTTTTTTAGATAGCAGTACAGTATGAAACAAAAAGCAAATTATTATTTTTTAAATGGTATGGCGAGTCTTACACAACTATATTGTGAGGACTAGTGCTTATTACTGATTCAAACAGGAATCTGATAAAGAACTTTCCTAATAAATTAGTCATCCAATCAGTTGCATGAATGTGAGAGACTAGTTGGTAGATTAGTATTGTTTGGGATGCTGTATATGCTTGTAAAAAAGCATTGAGGGGTATTGGTAGAATATGGTTGCTATTTGTATATATTTCTCTCTTATTTATTGTGTAGATGTTCTGTGCTTTGCACATTGGAATTTTCCCTTCTCATTGTAAGCCATTTTGGGTACCTTCTGTAGAAAAGCAGAATACAAATAATAATCTTGAGTTGTGGTCTCTGGTAGTTTATGAAAAGAGCTGACAGACCACGGTTTGTGATCAGTCAGCAAACTAGAATCTGAAACCGTGGTTTGAAATTGTGGCTCATGCTGTTTTTTGGCATGCTGTGTCCCCCTTGGCCAACCGTAGTTAAGGTCTCTGATCTGCCTCCAGAGGTCCTTATGCCTGCAAATGGGGATGCTGAATAGACGGAAAATGAAATCAGATAAGCAGCCCAAACCATAGTTGTGAACCACCCTGAGATCTGCGGATGAAGGGCACCCACACCCACCCACAAAACTATGGTTAGTGCAAAGCAAGATTTGCCTGTTTTAAGTTGTCTGGATTGATAAAATGTGTGTTGATATTTATCTGTGCCTGTTGTGCAGGCCATGTGTACATGCAGCAAGATTAAGAAGTTTACAATTGTCATGCAGGTTGTGTACAACTTCCTGCGTGGTGTTTTTCGTGTAAGAATTTTTTCATGGCTGAGGGGTTCCTTAGTCAAGGTCCTTTCAGCAACGCTAACTGCTAGACTGTGTATGTAGTAGCCATGCATAAATCAGTCCCAGCTGCTGTTTGCATGAATGGATCTTTTGGACTTGGCAAATAAGCAGCTAAAGTGTGTGTTTGCATGTTGATTGGAGGGACCTTAAGACTCAGCAGTCTGACTTGCGTATTGTAATGAATGTTTTGACATTCCTCTTAGAAAGGCAAACAACCATACTATATAAACCTGACTGATCTAGATATTTCAACCTTAAATAGTAACCTGCTGGAAATTCTGCTTTTTTGTTTTTCATTTAAATGAGTGGCTTGTCTAATTCTTGCAAGGCTAAGTAATCAGAAGCTCTAAATTAAAAAAAAATCTGCGGTGGGGGAAATCAAACTCAGGAAGCTGTAAATCCGTAAGCTACATTGAGAATGCAGATTTTGGAAATGTATCTTTTATTTTTTATTATCTTTTATGTTTGGATATTGTGGTACTGGAAGGCAGGGTGTAAAACACCTTCACTATTGCCACTTTACTATGCAGGAATTGTGTTTTATTTTAAATGCACAATTACAGTCAGAGTTCTTCATTTAAAGAAAAACAAGTTTAGTGACCAGAATGTCATGTTAGATTATGACACAGTATTATGTGCAGTACTATGTACTGTGATCTATTTTGAGGCAGGCCTACCAACTTGGAAGCCCCTAGACCAAATGCAGCATGCCAGTCATAGATTGCTGGCGGTCTGAGGCTGAATAGTCGCGCCCCCAGGCTGACCCTCCGTGTTAACATAAACTCTGCACTACTGAAACCTCGTAAATAAAATGGGCTTCAGGCACTTGTACGCAAGGCCTAGTGGATTGTCTGAAGTCTTGTGAGGAGTCTAGGCAGGAGCTATAATTGGAGCCGGCAAAGCTTTTAAATGGACGTTTGACAAGTTTGCCATTATTCAGAGTCTAGAATTTTGTGCTTTAAAAATACCACCTTCTGAATTGGCAAATGTGGCTGGTTGACTTCATTTTGGCTGCCCAGCTTTAGCAGCGATTTTAATGAATGAACCTAGTACATTCTTATTCTGTAGTATACTTGTGTTTGACTTTTTAGGAAGGAGGGGGGAAATGCATTCTGTTGAACTTAATTTGGCTACAGTATTCTAAATTTGAATGTGCAGTGCAGTGATTACAGTGTCCAGAGGACATGCTGGGTGTGTATCTATTCAAACACTGAGTCGAGCGCTTCACCTGGACCTTGCAGGAAATAGTACCAGGAGGAACAATTCGGGAAAGGCAGCTCTCTAGTCAGCATGGAGTCAAGCATTCCAGTCAACTTTCACATGCTCAAAATATGTCTTCCAGCATATCCTGCACCCTTTAGATCTCGAGATATATGAAACAGACACCCAGAAGTGCCCAGGGCAATGGCCTGTAACAGACCTTGTCTAAATAGCTGGAGGAGAAGGGCATAAATATCCGAATGGTGATTCCTCCCCTCTCCTTGCTCCAGCTGGGCCCCAGAGCCTTCCTGCCGATCCTCCCTTCTAGCATCTATAGTTGATTTCATGCCAAAGTGTAAAGCATTATCCACACACTCCAGGTCAGGGAATCAAAATTTACTGATTTCTCTGATTTTTAATGCCAGTCAGCAGCAGGCAGGACCAAGCCCCAAATTGGCGAGATGTTGCCTGATGCTGCCGCTGCTTCTCCAGTGGGGTGTGGGTGGCGCAGGTGGCTGTGGCAGGGCAGGGCGCCACTTCCTGTTAATGCCCCAAGTGGCAAAATGGTTAATCATGAGCCCGGGCCCCAAGCACCCCAAAGCTCCATTCTGATTTATGATTCAAAATGGCTTCTGGTGTTGCGGGAAGCAGTGAAAAAGTAGATGCATGCCTGCTTCTCACGGTTTTTCTGCTGCCATGGTGAAACCACCTACAGTGTCTGAGGCCAAGTCAATGTGAATAAACATAAAACTTTCAGAAGTTACATTAAAAACAAAAACAAAGCCCTGCTCCTCCCTGTTAATGTGTTAATTTAACATTGTTCTCACAGAGAGGATTCCACAGACAGTTGAACGCGTCTGTTCAGCTGAAGGAGCTGTATGACTTGAGTTGTGCCACAACAAATTTATTAGCATCCTTTAATGTGCCTCAGGACTTTGGTCCTCTGCTGTAGCAAAAACAAACCAAAGGAGGCAAGCTTGTGTTTAGAATACAGGATAACACAAAGTCTCCACCCAGGAGCCCAAAGGGTGCGCAGGTGCTGAAACTTCCCCTCGAGGCACCTCCCTGAAGTCTGTTGCTTTTCTCTGAGGAGAGCTCTGGTGCTAGTCGTGAGCTCAGCTGGAAGAAAAGCGCTGGGGTGAGTGGGGGAGAGGCTGTGGCAGGCACAGGCTCAGGGTGCCCCTGCCAAATGAAGACGGACCTTTTTTGGGGGAATAGCATCCTGGCAAGGGGACAACATTCCCAGGCACTATCCTGCTAGTCTCCTTTTGCAAAAAGTAAAGGCCTTTGTGTTCACCCAAGCCCTTTAAAAAAGTCTTATGAAACCTGGACTATGTGTTTACCTCTTGGGGTGTGGTTTAAATGTTTGTTGCATTTTTCTTTATATTATGTGTACACAGAGAGAGAGAGAGAAAGAGAGAGAGTAAACTGTCCAGGTAACATTATGTTATGTTAGAAGGTGTATAGAAGATGTATATGCATATAGATAGGTAGAAACACACAAACATACCTCTGCTTTATATATGACTGGGGCAACCCCGCTTTTCAAGATTCACATTTCTGTTCCCTTTGCACCTAACAACTTTTTCACTTCTTTGTTTACAATTTTTTTATTCTGCCTCTCCACCAAATAGTGCTTAAGGCAGCTAACAGTGATAAACTTGTTTGTTAGCTTGTTCATTTCGTTTGTGAATTGCTTCTCATGAAGCATCCCAAAGCACTTCAGCAATAAAAACAAATATAAGAAGAAGTTTCAAGTCCATTGGATTTTTAAAAATACCCAGTAGTTGGGGAGAAAGGTCTTTGGTGGGTACTGAAAGGGTGATAGAGAAGACATGCCTGCCTTATATGAAACGCAAATGAGTTCCAAAAGATGTAAAATGCAAAATATGGGTACTTCTCTGGGGTTTGTGTGGTCTGTTTTTTTAAAAAGAAAAAGCTGCAAGCTGCTTTTCTCCTACTGTATTTCCCCCTGTATCTGTAAAACTTTAGTAGTTTAATTTGTGGTGGCTTATAGCATTTTGTATGGTAGCGTTTGTTTTAGAATATTGGGTTTTGATTACTTATTTGTAACCTGCCTTTCTTTTAGGAAGCTCAGGGGAGTGCACACAATTCCCCTCCCTGTGTATTTTGTCCTCACAGTAACCCTGTGAGGTAGGATTGGCTGATAGTGTCTGGTCCAAAATCACCCAGTGAGCTTTGTGACTATGGGTGGATTAGAACCAGAATGGCTGTACAGTACTTCACTTTGAGACAATGAAATCCTTTCTCAGTGATTAAAAATTCACTCGGGTCGTTGCTGCTACTTAGCCGCAGCACGGGTGCTGAGGATAAAATTGGATCAAGATGCATTGGAACCTGCCTTGAACCCTTGTAAGCTAGCTGAGTTGTTATTAGGGAATGCTGGAGAAATTAGTACAATAGGAAAACAGCAAAAGGGAATACTGTATCATTTTTCATACTGACAGTGCGATGAATATTGCTCAGTCTGTATACTAAATAGATCTTTTGGACAGAAAGCTATTTTCTATACGGACAAATCTTTCAGAGACGGAGCTTCTTCTGTAGTAACACCCCCCCCCCTTCCTGATACGATCCAAACAAGGAAATGGCACAGATACAGGGAACAGAAATCCAGCCACAGTAGAAAGATATTTCGGCCAAATGCACGCTAGAGGCCAAGTAATAAAGGTCAGGGCCACAGTCCATCACAGTTAAGCATGCTTAAGCCCATTTGATATCAATGAGCTTAAGAGTGCTTACCTCTGTACTAGATTTTATTTTTCTTCTCCTCAGCTGCACACTGAAATATGAAAGGTTTCTGTTCTGTTCTTGTTTTTTACATTACTAGTGCTCTCTGAGAATTTTTCAGCTATTCTGGCATACGGTAGGGTAAAAAGGCAGGGTCAGCTGAAACTTTAGGTAGCAGGAAACATGAAAAAGCAGAAGGATAGACACCTGGTGCCACAAGGATCCACAAGAGGCAAAACATACATTTTGGTCATGTGTGTTTCTCTCTCTCTCTATATATTTATATTTATATAAAAAATAGGGCAGACAGAAGTTATCCCTTTATCAACACACTGTGGTCTTGATGAAAATCACTTCCTTGAAGATGCTATTTGCATCAGGAGGGAGTTTGCATTTAGACAGCGGCTGCTATTTCAAAAAGACAGGCCAAACCCACATGCGTTAACATAACACACAGTTTCCGCCGCCCTGAAACCAGTGCTAAATGTGGGAGTGCCATCCTTCTTAGCATCTGAGGAAGGACAAATCATATACAAAAGATAAGTTGAATTCTAAAAAGCATCTAGAATTGTATCATCAGTTAGTACAGAGCCTTGTAAATAAGCCCAGAAAAGTTACAAGCCTTCTACAAACACACACACACACACACACACACACACACACACACACACACACACACACACACACACACACACACACACACACACACACACACACACACACACACACACACACACATGGGCCTGTTAAGGCTAGCAGAGGAGAGATGACTCTGTCCCCCTCCTCCAGCAGGCTGTTGCCTTGCTTTGATGGGAGTTGAGATGGGTTTCTTCTTCTGGCCGCCTGTTTGTTTTCTGCTGGGCACCACCAACTTGATCCGTTGTCTGCATGCTATTCCTTGTCACCCATGGCTACTAGGCAAGTGCTTAAATACAAGCCTGATTATACATTTACTTTGGGTTATTAACTTTGGCTTCTTTTGGTCATGGGGAAAGGTAACCATCGAAGCCTTGATTATAAGAAATCTTGTTTCCTCAGAATCTCTTCTTTGCAGTCTTGAGTGCCTACTTTTTCAAAAGAAAAAAGAAAGATAGCTGAAACTCCAAAGATATTGAATTGTGTACCAGTTTCAGTACCTCTTTTCCCTTCCATGGTTTTGTGCAACACATAGCCCTGCCTGGATCTCAGTCTTGCCACATACTTGCAGGACTCCGTCAGAGGGGATGAGCGTGGGCCTGCTTTTTAAAATATAAATATAAACAATTCTTCATTTCTTGGCAGGATAAGCCAAATTCTCTGTTCTGTAGCTTGTCTATATCATCACCTTGACTTTTCTGACGTAATGCAAGCTATTGCTGGAATAGCTCTGCTTCATGTATGTGTGTGCATCTGTTTCCAGAACAAAGTCGCCGTGATGACTTGGAGAGCTTGGGCTATGTGCTGATGTACTTCAACCTTGGCTCACTGCCTTGGCAAGGCCTGAAGGCTGCTACAAAGCGCCAGAAATATGAGCGCATCAGTGAGAAGAAGATGTCGACGCCCATCGAGGTGCTCTGCAAAGGCTACCCTTGTAAGTTCTTCCTTTGCATGCACAAGTTGCACGTGCCCTTGCACCTCCTACACTCAGAGATTCGTGCCTCCATAAACATACTCAAATTTGTCTAGTTGCCATGTTTGCATGTGCTCTGTGACCTTGCTACCTATTTAGGATCGAGATGAACGTTGTTCCTCTGATTGCAAAATATTTGGGTGAACAATCTGAGTCTTTCAACGAGTTCTGCCCCCAGTAGTCTAATAACTGTAGCTACAGGGGCTGCCTCGAGGTAAGGGACAAGCCTGGGAAAGGGTCATAGCTGAGTGGTACAGTATCAGTTTTGCATACAGAAGGTCCCAGGTTCAATCCCCAGTTAAGATTAGAAGAGAGCTGTCTGAAACTTTGAAGAGCTGCTGCCAGTCAGTGTAGACTCTACTGAGCTAGATGGCTCAGCAGTCTGACTTGGTATGAGGTGGCGGCTTATGTTCCTAAAGCCTTGCTTGTACCTGAAGCAGTCTGCTGGGTATATGTTGGGCAAGCTCATTTCAGAGTCTCCAAATATAGGCCTCTGGGGCTTATGCAGAGCAGGATTAAGTCCATATGCTATCCCCTTTATAGAGGGAATTGAAAGCCTTAAATGTGTGTATTCAAGTATGTTAAGTCGCAGAATGTGATGGACAAATGTCACTGCCTATGAACAGATGCACAGCAGTCTGTCTTTCCTGCTTAAAGCATGGCCTCTCCCTGTACAGCACCAATACCAGAGGTGCATGCCCTCCCATTATACAAGTCCTGAGTCTCGATGGGCGGACCTGCATTTGTGAGAGGAAGGACTGAAAATCTGGAAGGAAAGTGGGAGGGGTGGCATGCAAGCCTGCCCGTAGGTTATTTCTCTCTGGTTTTGGGAAAAGGGGGGTGAATTTGGGGGCATGTATTTGGCAGGTTTCTGTGGGAGTAAACTGGAGTAAAAGGGATAGGAATAGTCATGTACCTGTTACCTCTGCAAATGGACGAAATAAAAAGGGCTTTTGCACCAGGTGGGCTTTAGGCTTGATGACAGAAGAAGCACCACAGCTGAAAAGGTCTTTTCTTGGGTCCATAATATGACCCCAAGAGGATAGACAAAGAAAATCTTAAGTGCTAACTAGGCTTGTTTTCCTTTCCCTACATTGCTGCCTAAAGTTGGTGTGAGAAATAGCCAAAATATGAAATGAACACAACCATATAACATGTTCATGCTGCTCTGGCTCTTTGAAGTTGGAGAATTTCTCATTGTTTATTTAAATACTTAAAAAAATTAAAACGTACATAAAATAGAAAGACAAACAGGAAAACTAAAACATAATAACAAACTAATAGAGTAATATTAACAGCAGATAATGTATCTAAAGATTTAAAATACATTAAAAGATATTAAGGCTGGTGAAATTTCTGGGGGAAACAAAAAAGGCTTCACCTGGTGCTAAAAGTTGACAACTTAGTGCCGGGTGAGTGTCTCAAGGGAAGGCATTCCACAACTGCAGTGGCACCTCTGAAAAGGCCCCTCTAGTAATCTATAACATGAAGACTTTAGGAAGGCAAAGAAGAGAACAGCAGAGCCTCATTGGGGGGACTGCTGTGCTTGATGGCAACTAATAATCTCTCCCTGCTTTTCTCCCAGCTGAGTTCTCAACATACCTCAACTTCTGCCGTTCGCTGCGGTTCGATGACAAACCAGATTACTCTTACTTGAGGCAGCTGTTCCGCAACCTCTTCCACCGCCAGGGTTTCTCCTATGACTACGTGTTCGACTGGAACATGCTCAAGTTTGTGAGTAATTCCAGTTCTGAGCCTTTTTGTTGTGACCTGGAGTCTGCGTGTGCTTGTGAGCTGCAAGTGGAGGCAAGTGGGGTGAATGGTAGGGATGGCCATGCTTGAGGGTCTCTTTTTTATTGAGGGATTCTTGTGTTCACACATTATACTAGTAATTCTTCTTAGTAGCAGAGTTCTGTGTCCTGACCTCAACTGCTGTTGTTTGTTTTTCAAATAAAAAGCAAGTTAAAAAACCCTGCATGGCTGTAGAAATAAGCTTGGAAGCAAGTGCATAAAGATCACACCCACACGATTCATTTAAATAATATTTAAAGTGCGTAGCTTCTTCCAGCAAATCCTGGGAACTGTAGCTTGCCCCTCACAAAGCTACAATTCCCAGTACCTTTAATAAACTACATTTCCCAGGATTCTTTGGGGGAAGCCATGTGTTTTAAACATATGATCTGGATGTGACCACAGTCTCAGAAGACACACGATGGGGCTTCTTGTTCTGCACTGTTCCTTGTTGGACCATAGCCAAATCTTGTTGTGATGGGGCCTAAAGATATGCTGAGGTGGCACTGTAAATTGATGGAAAAACTTAAATATTTAGTTGCTGTGTTCTTAATTTTGGCTAACCATGAGAGGGAGCATGGGCTGGTGGGTGGTGTACCCTCTCGCTCCCCTTCCCTGAACGTTCAGCCTTCTTTTTTCTTAAGTGAAATGAGTCTCTGTCCTCAAACCTAAGTTGATTAGATATTAGATAACAGTATAAGAACAAACCAAGCCCCTGATCTAGCAGGTTGGAGGGGGCAGTTGTATACCTGCGCCTGGCCTTGCCTGGCCCCCTCCTGCAAAGGAAGCTTCACCCATCAGCAGGAAAGCCCTTCTGCTGAGGAGCAACTTCATGCATCTGCCCAAACAGCCTGGGAGCTGGCACAGCGAACGGACATTTACCACCACCTTCTGTCCTCCCCGGCATGATCAGCAGGACTGTGGATGCAGCGCTGGCTGCGTCACTCCACTAAGCCGCACCACTGCCCCCCATGAGTTATGGTTGCGGCATAAATTCCAAGCATTTGTCTCTCATCTAAGCTCCTTTGCACTCTTATGTCCAGAACACTGGAAGACAGGACAAGTTACCATTTACTGAGCAGCAGCAGTAGAACATTGCCTAAACTTTTAATTCTTTTCAGCGTGAAAAGGGTAGAGACTCATTCCACTTTTTAAAAAAAGAAAGAAAAGGAAAACTGAACATTCAAGGAAGGAGCCTAAGGGGGTTCACCGTCCACCCGCCCACACTCCCTGTCATGGTTAGAAGAAATAAAGAAAGCAAAATAAACCAGCATATGGAAGCTGTCCTGTATGATTCAGCATGACGGTTTTCCTTCCCTCCCTCCCCTGAACTCTTATCTCGTTGCATGTGCAGCTAATTCTGCATATGAATAAAGTGATTTGTACCCACCCCCCCTTTTGTAACTAAAATCTGGATGTGTTCTGCGGTGTTTGATATTCCAGGGAGCAGCCCGGAATCCTGAGGACATGGATCGGGAGAGGCGAGAACACGAGCGAGAGGAGCGGATGGGGCAGCTCCGGGGTTCAGCTACGCGGGCACTGCCCCCTGGACCTCCTGCCGGAGCCACAGCTAACCGCCTCCGCAATGTCGCTGAGCCCATGGCCTCCACACCCACCTCCCGCATCCAGCAATCTGGTGAGTAGAGGGAAGGTCACATGCAAACCTGTTCTCTGCATAGCAATGAATTGCACAGCCATGGGCTCGTTCCTAAGTAAAGTAAAGCCTCCGTATGTGTAACTACAGCTGCTCACCTTCTTCACTGCTGCTTGCTCTTGCCTTTCCCTTTCCTTTCCTTTCCCATCCCTCCCCCCTCTAGCGGCGGCAGTAGTGGTGGTTGTGGGACTCTTGCCCCGTCTCTGCCCTGCCTTTATCCTGTTCAAAATTTAGAGTTTGAGCTCCAAGCGGAACAAACTCTTCCTCACCCCTCTTTTTCTTACATTGCTCTGCAAAAAGCATCAATTTTACAAGTTAGTAATTTGCCCCTTGCCAGGAAACACGTCCCCCAGGGCAATTTCACGGGTGGACAGGGAGCGGAAGGTCAGCATGAGGTTACACCGAGGAGCCCCTGCAAACATCTCCTCATCCGACCTCACAGGGCGGCAAGAGGTGTCACGGATTTCAGCGTCACAGGTGGGTTCCTGCCAGCGGCCAAGTGGGGCCAGAACTGCTTCCATCTGCTTGTGGGCTGTGGCTAGAATTAAGAAAATAGTAGAGTTAAGAGTATCACCAGGTCATGTTAATCTGGTAGCTACCCAGTTGGTGCAAATCCTTATTCTGCTTCTTTGTGGGACTGCGTTAAAAATGGCCTCCTCCTCTGAAAACGATGGCAATTACATCCTTGTGTGAAAGGGGAGAAATTACCAACCTTCCAGCTGTTGAGAATTTAAACATTCTGGCAGCCCAGCGTGAGAAGCAGAACAGCTAAGCTAGCTGTGTTGCAGGGCTTGTCATACGCTGAAGTGAAAAAAAGAATCTTTAGTCTGAATTCTTGTGTGAAGTGCTATCAGAATAGTCATGAGCCACCAAATATGTACAGCAAAAATACATTACGGCTGCTAATCTGCTTTTCTCCCGCCAAGATACATATGGCTCAGACCCATGGGGTATTTTGTAGATTAATAATAGTACATTGAATTATGCTTGGGAGTCAGTGTTGCAGTGCAGCCTATGTGCATTCTTGTCTGCTGATGTCAATAGGAGGCAGGCTCTTGCGTTCCATACTAGTTGAACTTCCCGATTCTTTTCAAAGACACAGCCCCATTGCAGTGATTTATTCAAGTCAACAACAAATATGGATTATTTTAACCAGGGAAAAAAGGACAAAATTCTTGGACTAGCTGGAACTGGTAGAAAAGCGCTCATGGCTGCAGCCCTGCCTGCTTCCCCAAACTGGGAACAGGATCAGCCAAAGGATATGTATCATGGCTGTCAACTTTTTCCTTTTCTTGCGAGGAATCCTATTTGGAATAAGGGAATTTCCCTTGAAAAAAGGGAAACGTTGACAGCTATAATATGTATGTGTGACACTGTCTCCTTGGAATCTAGGAACCATCAGTAGTCATCATTGCCTCCTTTTTTGTGGATTTAGTTTTAGCTTTATTAACTAATCATCAGTTAAATGATTCTTGAATCTGCTGAAAAAGAAGTCAGCTGGGAAATAAGGTTGAAGTGCATTCAGTGGCAAGCCATCTACCAGTACTTTGATGAAAATTATCCTGTGTTTGTAGGTTGTTGAATGTATTCCTTGGAAGGAGGGGGTGGGGTCTTGTTGCAACAAGGGTGGAAGAAAGAACTTGGATGACATCTCTTTACCCACCCTTGCTAAAGTCCTCTTCTGCAGCCTGCTCACTTCTCTATTTGTTTGTAGACAAGTGTGCCATTTGATCACCTGGGGAAGTGAAGAGAGGATTCCACCGGACCAGTGTTTGCTTAGGTGAGTCTCTGCCTAACCCCTTCTCTTTTGTCTACATGGTTAGTGGATCTTCATGGGTTAATAGGCTTCCTTTCTGCATGTAACCCCAGCATAATGCCCCATGGTTATAGAAAGGGCACAGTCTGTGAACAAGTGGGATGTTTTAACAGCCCCAGCTGTTTAGAACCTATGACAGAGAGATCTAAACATTCATTCTCTCTGTGTCTCTTGGTTGGTAAATGTTCCAGGCCTACCCAGTATCACAAGGCCATTTTTGAACATTAAAGGGCATGGCTAAACTTTGGCTAACATGCCACGATTAGCAAACCGTATAGTTTATTGCTGTGGAAACATGTAACCCTAGGCATATATTAAGATACTGTTGAGGAATGCATTCACCCTACCAGCTCAACTGCTAGGAGCTACTACCTAACAGTTGTAGACCTCACCCTTGAGTCTCACTCACATGGGACTCTTGAAAGATGCAATGTGCACAATTCTTTAGCACACCATAGCTTGCTTTCTTGTCCCCTTTGGTGAAATCAGTTGGTTAGACTGCCTTTTCCAAAAACAGCTTTCTCTGTACTTCTTTACTTGGTTGGAAAGGAATATGAGGCAGGTTGCTACTTGCCTTTATTGCAGAGGGTGAAGGAAGGCAACAGATTAAGGGGGAAGAGCAGTGACTTGAGTCCTCTTCCCAAAAGCATGCAGATGTTGATGTAGGAATAAGCCACTGCTGATTTTAAAAGCAGGCCTTTATGTAGCTTACTGGACTTGGTCCTAACACTCTAGTGCCGAGAGTGCCGATATGTTCCCTGGCCTCACCTCCCCACCCCCCAAAAATACATCATTGTAGCTTTTCCCATCACTCCCCTCCACATCTTAGGGGCTGAAATTCTGAATCAGGAAGCCTGCCCTGCTTCTGTAGGCTCGCTCTGCGATTACGAACCCTGATCTGAAGAAGTGTGCATGCACACGAAAGCTCATACCAATGACAAACTTAGTTGGTCGCTAAGGTGCTACTGGAAGGAATTTTTTAAAATTTTGTTTCAACTATGGCAGATGAACACGGCTACCTACCTGTAACTAGAACCCTGATCTATCAGGGTTCTCAGTTGTGCCAGGAGCCTCTTGTGGAGCAGAGCAGCCTGCCGATTGCAAAAGTTCAGCCCCCAACCTGTGCAAAGCTGCAGGAGTGTTGATGGTGTCGTGATCGAAGGAGAGGGGCCGTGGAGGGTGCCCTTGGAATTGCAACACCCTTCTGATTTAACTGGCCTTTCTTGCTGTGTAGAATTTTGACTTTTCTTTGGGAGGTGGGAAGAGGCTAACTATCCTTGTCTGATGCTTCCAGCATTAACTAAGGCGAGCATCTTTTCAATTTTGGGGCTGCTTCCAGGATAAAGCAGTGCACGCCCACGTTGCAGATACGTTGTGAAGCTGAGGGAAGGAACAGGAAGCACCATGTATACTGTTTCACAAATGTCCTTTCCAAAGAGGGTCAGTGGCACAATCGGCTGACACATTTTCACAAGAGTTGCTGCTGTGTGTAGTACTAGTAGTAGTTATTAGTCAGATTTGTCGTAGGGTCTCCACTGTTGGATGGGGGGAAACGTTTTTAACAATGCTCTCTTCTTTTTCCCCCCTTTCCTTTTCTAGTGTCTTCACTGTATTTTTCTTTTAAAAAACAAAATAACAAAAACAAATTTAAAAAAAGAAAAAAAAGAAAAAAACCCCAATTTTTCCCCCCTGCCAGCAACAAGGAGAGGAGCTGCCCTATGCTGGCGTCCGTGTCTTTTCTGAGATCGTTGCCTGCGTTCCCGAGCCCAACTTGCCTTGGACAAAGTCACAGACGCAGGAGGAGCCTTGCCGAAACACCTCTGCTGCTGTCGCGCAGTTTCATCTCCGTAGGCCTTGCCCCATTTCACGCCAGCAGGCTGTGGCCAGCCACCCCCAGCTTCTCGCTCCCTTTTTTTTTTTTAATCTGTTTGTATCATTGAAAAAAGGAAAAGAAAAAAAACCCACACAACACAAAAAATCAAACCCCCGACTTCCATATTTTTTAAAAGTTCGGTTTGTGTAAGATGAAATTTGTTTCCAGCATAATTTTAAATTCCGTTGGGATTGTGGGGGGTTTTTGGGGAGGGGAGGGTCGGGGGGCGGAGGAGGAGGAGGCAGAGGAGGATGTTTGCAGCAGACTTTTACAATTCCAGGCCAGAGTGGTGTCAAAAGCTGGCTTTAACATTCATTTAAATGTGAACTGCGGTTTCTAGCAGGCGCTGCCTTTGTGGGTGGCAGGGGCCGGGGTGGAGCAATGGTGGAAGAAGCATTCAGGCATTCTTTCCCTAGGGGACACCACTGCCCCTCTGTGCATTCACGGGCATGTTGGGAGATGCCGCGGGCAGACCAACGAGGCGAACAGTACTGGCACAGCGGCAGTTGCGTGCGAAGGGTGTGCATATGGGGTGGAGGCATGTGCTGCGCAAGGCAGGAGCAAATGTGAAGGACGTGGAAATGTTGCCTGCCTCATATGCAGGCAGTGGGGGTGGGTGGGCGTCTCTTTTTTAAAAAAAATTGAAACAAAACTGTTTGCGTGTGTTTAGTTTATATTTTTTTAATTATTATTTTGTACTTCCTCAGGAGCCGGGGAGGGTGTTGAGGACAAAGGGGGAGAGGTATGTGAAAATAACAGTGGGGGGAGAGTCCCTGCTTTTACTTCAGGGGGTTGGGCCTCGTGTACCACCAGTTTCCCAAAGGACAACCCCAGCTCAAGACGCACAACCTCTCCTCACGAAAAGGTGTCTCCCACCCTCTGAATTCACCCCCCATTACTATTTTATTTTTTTTAAATAAAGACTTTAGGCTTTCCTTAAGAAAACCGATCCATCCTGGGATGTGCATCGCCGCAGTCGTTACCATGCCCTGCAGCCTCTTGCTTGGCACACTTTCTTAATTTTATTTTTTACTTTGGACAGTGTGGAACCATTGGAAGTGGGGGTGGGCCTTGGCATATTTGGTTCTTTTTATTCTTTCTATTTAACACACAGCTCTTTTTATTTTCCCCCCCTAATTTATTTACCCTGCTTACTGTGTCTTTCTTCCTTTCTCTCTCTCTCTCTCCTTTTTTTAATTAAAGTAAAAAAAACAAAACTTTTTATTACTTTTAAAAAAAACAAAAACAAAAAACCTTGAAGAACTTTGGGGGGGATTTTGTACTTTTTTCCTGTGTAAATATTGGACTTTTTTGAGCTTTATCGTGGTTGTTAATTTGAAGTAATAAAGTAGAAAATGATAAAGTGATGGAAGCATCTGCCTTTTTCTTTCTTCTCCTCTTCCCCTTCCAACCTGGCTGTGATAATGTCATGTCGGCAGGAAGTTTCATCTTACATATAGCCCCCCTCCTGCTCTGTTTCCAAGTTCCAGGAAAAAGATTGGCAGGGGAAGAGAATGTACACCATTTGTACACCTAAAAATAAAGCTGATCTGGCCTTCAGGTTCATAATTGATATTGGTCTGATAGCAGAAGAGTCATCTGAAATGTGATGCTCCTGAAGAAATGCTGCCTGCGTTTTGGGCTTGAAGGAAGAATAGTTTGCAGAACTCGAAATCTCCAATTTGGTTCAGGGGCCCTTCGCTCTCTATTCTTTTAGAGTTCCAGACGTTCAAGCCAGTACCACAAATACCAACAAACTCAAAACGACACTTCCAAGCCTGCAGCCGTGAACTCCATTAGAATTTAAATAGCATAATTGTCACAAGTTAAAGAGCAAAAATGTCATTGAGCACTAGTAATTTCGGTTCAGCCCTAGAAAGCGTGTGATTTTTAAGCTAATGCTGCTAGACTCTTCAGCTGAATCTGGATGCACATTTTAAACCAAAACTAGCTAGGCAATTGCACTTTTATTGAGAATATGTCGTTTGTATTGAGATTGAATCATCTCTTGTTGATGCATTTTCGACAACCTTTTGCTTTCAGCTTGGGTTAACGTCATACAAATTAAATTATTTTAAGCAACATTTTTTTTAAAAAAAAGTGACAACAGGTAAGTTTAATTATTTCTTTACACCTTATGATGTCCTAAAGAAATAATTTTCTGTTAATTTATAAGAATGGGGCATGCTTGCTAATATTCTGTTTTTGTGTGTATGTGGAAATAGGGGTTTTTGAATTCTTAGCCATGAAATTTGATGGGGTAGCACTGAGAGCCACCATTCATAGTCTGGAACATAAGAAGCTGCATTTATACCAAGTCGTGACTATTGGTTTATCTAACCACAAATTGCCTCTTGACTGAAAACAGCTTTCCAGTGTCTCAGGGCAAGGTCATCTGATGCTTTTATGTGGAGGTGCCAGAGACTGAACCAGAATCTCATCCCTGCAAAGTCCTGGTCCTTTCTGCAGTTGTGAAAACGATAGTGAGATCAAGAATCTGACAAGTTTTTGCTGAAAAGCAGTACAGAAATAACCAGGCTTCAGTTGCGCACCTTGCTTAGCTCCAGTGCCCATGCTAAAAATATATCTCCTGGCTAGAGAAGAAATCTGGTGGCATGCAACGTTTGGGTTGAGACAGTCTGTGTGAAAGTGATTGGATACAGTCATTTGGGCTGGATTCTCTTTGAACATGTACTGTGGTTAGCAAATCTGTATTCAGATGTGGGACTGTGCATCAGAATTAAAGGTGTCTAATGTTTACCTTATTGAAAAGAGGCATTGGCTTATCAAAAGCATATTAGTGCAAAGAGCTATGAGGCTTTCTTTCCTTCCTGGTTTGTAATCTACAGTACTTGGAGAGATGCTAATCCTAGGATGCTGTGTTTAGTATGGGAGAGGGCTCCCATTACTGGAGGAGCTTGTCCCAGTGGCAGCTGTGGGAGCATTTTGGCTTTGTAGGGCTGCAATTTTTAACCTTGCTGTTTCCATCAGAATAGGTTCGTACAGAACCTATTCAGGAAAGTGTGCCATTACACATGTGCAGAGTGCCATTGTTTTCCTCTCTTTAAAGAAAACCACTCAATTATTTTCTGCACATCTATGCACAGGGAAAAAAGTTTCCACGTAAGAGTGCCCAAGTATGATTTCCAGTTAAGATTGACACCATGCCACATAAGTTTTTGAATTCATGTATTTTCACCTACATATTTCATTGCCAAAAATCTAAACACAATTTTTTTTAAAGTGAGGAAAACCTGCCTCTAGTTGCATGACGTTTTCCTCCCCGCAAAGAAAAATAAATCAGTTTTAACTATTATTTACCCAAAACACTTTTTTCCTCCAAATTATAAAAGAACAAAATATTCCAACCAATAGACAAAAATGATGAGTTCATATGAACCAGGGCATCTCTGAGCACAGCAAAACATATTTGCAATGCATGGCTCAATTCTGAAAATGTGAACTGTTCATTTCTACTCATTTGCAGAGTTCATCACAACCTCTGTTCTATCTGAGATGTGGGGGAATATATTCTTTCTTTGGGGAATGATGTGGAGTCACATCCAGACACCATTTTCCTCAAATGCGAAACAAAAGGGAAAACATAATTATTATAGAAAGAGGCTAACAGTCACTTGCTCTCTTGTAAGGTCATAAAACAAATACTAAACCAGAAAAAGTTCCTCAAAGTAGGGAACACTTGCTGCTTCTTTTCAGGACTTCAGGGAAACGGCTCTGGCCATTCTGGTGGATCTCAGAGGTTCTTGGAGAAAACAAAAGCAGATACAAGTCTGCTCACTCAGGTACTAACGTGGCTGAAACGAAGCAGGTCTCTGTGGTTTTAGTGCTTGTGTGGAAGACAGTGAAAGCCCCTTTAATGTTTCCTTGTGTTCCATAGAAGAATAAAAAAAGGAGACCTTTGTAATTGGGAATGGATATTCAATTTTGAAGGCAGGCTATGCCTTTATAGCTGTGAAATACAGCTTGTGTTCTCTGAAAAATATCCAAATGGCCATTGGGAAAGGATCAAACTCCTTTACACGAGAAGCTTGGGTGTCTTGTACTACTTGATCCTTAAAAAAATGTTCCTATTGTGAAATTTGGGAGAAGGGCATATGTTGAGAGTATGGCATATACTTGGTATCATATCAGTTCTAGGCAGCCCCAGTTGAAAAGGTAATACAAGGTGAAGGGCTGGGAAAGACCCCTGCCTGAAACTCTGACCAGCTTTGCCAGTCAGAGCAAGCAGCACCAAATTAAACAGACTAATCTTAACTCAGTAGAAAACAGTTTTGTTTAGTCATATAAAAGAATTCATTTATTTTAAAAAGATATTTGGACCACTTGGCTGGCAAGCCTATGAAGGCAATGTACAATCAGCAGAGTCAATGAGCAACATAAACATCACCCTTAAAATAGAAAAAAGCATCATTTTAAAATGGCATGACATTTCAGCAAAACAAATCAGACCTCTGATGCTGGGCATGCTATACTTAAAAACCTAGAGAAAAAAGGGATTGGGAGGGTCAGGAATATGGTCACACACATATATATAGCAAGTGGGATTGGCCACAAAACGCTGGTGGAGTGTTCCTGCTCACTCTTCCAGTCAGCCATGTCCCCCCCACCTGATAATCCGTCCTATTTTCTCCCCCACAAACAGCATTCTTGACCATTGAGTGCATTCATTCCTCCATTGGGCTGTTTCTGGGGATTCCCCCAAATTAGGACCTCTGAACTTTGGAGTTAAAGTTAGGGAATGATTTAAATTTAGGTGCCATCTGGACTGGGGATTTCCTAGTGCTTACTAAATCTTAAATGTGGTGGTTGTAGTGTTGATTTATCTGTGTTATATATACATTAACCTGGAATCTGCTCTGGTGTAAGGCAGAGGAGACATTTTTAAAAATGGGTGAAAAGGAAATGTGCTTTTATCATTGTTAAAATATCAAGCAAGAATTCCTGGTGCATACAAGTGCAGCTCAGTGAAGCAGATGGCTTTCTAAGAGAGACCATGGAATGGTTCTCCATAGATATCAAATTCTTAATTTGAGAGAGGCCATTGAGGATGTTTTTGGTATATGGTAGGTGTGCAAGTAGGTCATGTTGAATTTTTCAACTTTCAAATTCAAAAAATGAGGGGTGCTAAAAAGTTGTAACATGACTTGGGAATTCAAAAGATATTTAGGCTAAATTGATATAATTTCGTTGTGCTTGGTAAACAAAATGACTGTAAAATTGAATAGAAATCATTAAAAATTATTACCAAATACTTGCAGTTATATATTAATATTATTTTATTTATTATTGTTATTTAGCACATTACCTGACATTTTCAGAAGGTAAAATTCTTTGGTTCCCCAAAAACAGTTTATGGTGCTGCTTCATCAAATGTAGACTTAACCAAGCTAAATGAAGTCCAGTCACTGAAGAATAGCAGGTTTGAGTTCCTCACACCCCAAAACATATTTTTAAGACCCCCCTTCACTGAAGAAATTTGCAAAAATTAAGTTTCACCCCCTAAAATCACACATACTGTGCAAGGTAAACAATTTGAGCTATGTTTCCTATAGAGTCCTTTCCAATGTCAATGATCATGAAACTGATACGGTATTATGCCCACACCCTTGTGCTCAGCTGACTGTTACACATCATCTCAATTCTATGTTTCCCATTAAACCTGTAATGCAGAGCTTGCTCTTGCAAGATGCTGCTGGAACAACTGATTCAGCAAGGCCCCACATTCCAGCAAGAGTTAGCTGGCTGCGTGACTAAGTATGGCATCAGTTGTGAGATCTGCCAAGACAGCAATTATGAGGGCAGCTTCTTCTGTGGTACAATCTGGTGAGCAGTTTTTCATACCAGGAAGTTATTCTCTTCATCTCACTTTTATAGTATGGCTCTTAAGAGATACCAAGCCCTGGGCAATGGAGGAGATCTTACTGTAATAACTACCAGATGCTTTAAATAATAATTTTGTTTCTGTCTTGTCTCTTCATAAGTTTGGGAAGGGTAATAGTTCTGTTTTTGTTTTGTTTTGTTTTGTTTTTAAAGATCACATGTTTCTTAATAGAAAAGGTCTTCCAGATTGGCTCATTTCACAGAAATAGCTTAGCAGGGTGCCTGCACTTTTTGCTTCATAACTTTCCACGAGGGCTGGATATGTGTTTTTTGTATTAAAGAAAGCTCAAGAGTCTGGGAGCCCAGCCTGGGGGTACCAATGCAGGTCGTTATATGGTGCAGACCCTTGAGTAACAGGAGGAGCACTTGATTGTGTATATGATGCTATTGTATCACAATGTTTTCAACAACTGTCAGGTTTGTTCCATATTGATCTAGCAACTTTGAACTTATTATTTCTGAGGATATTTGGTTTGTATTTTGATTTTTTAAATGCATATATGTATGTGAATATTGTTTTGTTTGCCTTCCTTTGGGAGGAAGGGTAGGTGAAAAATATGAAATAATAATAATAATAATAATAATAATAATAATAATAATAATATATAAAAGTAGTATTAATATATTAAACATATTACACACAAACATATGGCTTGGCAAAAAGCTGCTCTAATTGTTTCAGAAGTCAATGTTTAAAAATTGGGTCCCAAACAGTGGAGAGAGCCTCAAGGAGTCATTATCCAAAGCAATCCCATGTAAAGGGATTAGTGTGAACACTCACAGATCTGCCTTAACAGCTTCTATAATGCAGATGAAGAATGCATATTTGCCTAGCTAAAGAACAAGGAACTGATTTAAGGTAAATAGCACTTCAAAGGAATAGAGAATGTCTCAAGATCAGCTGGATTTGGTCAAATTCCCAGACTTTGAAAACAAAGAGCCTGAGCATCAGGAGAAGCCCGGAAGGGTTATGTGCTGTGTGACCCTTTCTTTTGGCATTAAGTCACTGGTTGGGCACATGTGGGTGGGGAGGAGAGGCGACTAGGGCTGAACCTATCAAGCTGCCAAATACCAGCTGCTGTTGGTAGTGATGAAGGTTGCTGTTACCATTTACCAGCCTTTCATCATTACTGTACTCCTAGGGTAAAGGTAAAGGGACCCCTGACTGTTAGGTCCAGTCGCGGACGACTCTGGGGTTGCGGCGCTCATCTTGCTCTGTAGGCCGAGGGAGCTGGTGTTTGTCCGCAGACAGCTTCCAGGTCATGTGGCCAGCATGACTTAAGTTGCTTCTGGTGAAACCAGAACACTGCACGGAAACTCCGTTTCCCACCAGAGTGGTACCTATTTATCTACTTGCACTTTGACGTGCTTTCGAACTGCTAGGTGGGCAGGACCTGGGACCGAGCAACGGGAGCTCACCCTGTTGCGGGGATTCAAACCGCCGACCTTCTGATCAGCAAGCCCTAGACTCAGTGGTTTAGACCACAGCGCCACCCGCGTCCTGACTCCTAGGGTAGGTTACCACAATTACAACACAAACTGCTGCAAGAGTCATAGTGTGATGGAGCAGGGATGGGGGGGGGGAAGCACCATTATTTCACATCAAAGACAATGGTATCTCCTGGGGTGCTATTTGCCAATCCTCTGCACACAAAAGTTTTTGTCAGAAGCCTACCAAATAACTTAAGCAGAGCATGATAGAAGTTCTGTAAACATGCACTGCCAATTTTCATTAAAAAAAAATTTTGACAGTTCATATTTTAAATCTAACCAACATGTCAAAAAGAATGGATGTGTCTTTTTGAGTCCACCAAATTCTTCATCAGGCTGGATTTGACCAAAGTAAGAAAAAACAGGTTTGGTATCTAGAAGCCACTATGTCTGCATTGGTCTAAAATTCATTTTATTTGTGTCCCTTAGATAAGGACCTGGCTAAGGGTGTTGTCAGGAAGAGCACCTACACGTAGATAACAACCCTTGCAGTAGGCATAGGAAGAACTAAGCTAATCTAGCCAGGGCAGTACGACATTACAATAAAATACATGCCAGTTTGTGTGTGTATTTTTCTTCTCATTGATTTTTGATGATTATTACATTTATGTCCCACTTTCCTCCAAGAATTCAAGGTGGCATACACAGCTCTGCACCTCCCTTTTTATCCTGGCAACCTTTTGAGGTGGGTTTGGCTGAGAGGTAGTGACTGACCCAAACTCACCCAAGGAGTATCATGGTCTCCCAGGTTGCAGTCCAACCAATATGCTACACTGGTAGTCAGCTGAATGTGTGAACTAATTCCTGAATCCTCACTGCCCTGCCCTGCCCCCCCCCCGAAAAGTATCTGGATGGGTGTGTGATTTTGATTACTAAATACTGAACACCATTATGCAAATTGACCATCCCCTGTAATGTCACTGCATGGAGGATTTGGCTGAAAATGCAAAAGATTGCACTATGCAAGCCAGCTCTGTCACTATCTGTCGTATAGTAGGGCAACTCACGTATGCAATGACTTTTTAAAATGGAACGTGCTCCAGAGGTGCCACAAAATAAATGCTGACTGATTCTAGACAGCAGCTTCTATTGAAGTTAAAGGAACCTTTGAAAGTCAGCAGGAGGTGACATCTGAATGCAGACAAGTGGGTGGGTGGGTGGGTACCTTTTAAGTGGCTGTTTAGGTAATCTGAAAGGTGTTTGGGTGGACAACTGTTCTGCTGAAAAAGGAGAGAACATACTAATTTTAAAAATGCATGTTAATATAAATTATGTGTAAAAGGGGAAGAACAGATTATTCCCGTAGAATTTACACAGCAAGATTTAATTGTGTGTTCAGCTAAAATAGATGTTTTAGGTCAGGTTTCCTCAACCTCTGCCCTCCAGATGTTTTGAGACTACAGTTCCCATCATCCCTGACCACTGGTCCTGCTAGCTAGGGATCATGGGAGTTGTAGGCCAAAAACATCTGGAGGGCCGAGGTTGAGGAAGCCTGTTTTAGGTACCATAAAAGGTTAAAAGGTAAAGGGCCCCTGGACAGTTAAGTCCAGTCAAAGGTGACTATGGGGTGCGGCACTCATCTCGCTTTTAGGCTGAGGGAGCTGGTGTTTGTCCACAAACAGCTTTCCGGGTCGTGTGGCCAGCATGACTAAACCACTTCTGGTGCAATGGGACACCGTGATGGAAACCAGAGCACACGGAAACCTTGTTTACCTTCCTGCCACAGTGGTACCTATTTATCTACTTGCACTGGCATGCTTTCAAACTGCTAGGTTGGCAGGAGCTGGGACAGAGCAATGGGAGCTGATCCCATTGTGGGGACCTTCTGATTGGCAAGCCCAGGAGGCTCAGTTGTTTAGACCACAGCACCACCCTGTATATTGTACTGTATATTGGACTCTGCAACATATTTATAGGAAGGCATAGTCTAATATAAATATAGATGCTGGAAGTGTAATGCTGGAACTGCCTCACCGAGGCATGCGATATGGGCATGTCCAGCGGTATTTTCTTTCTGGTCAGAAGTCATTGTATCAATTTTATAATGGCAAAATCATTTATATTTGTGTATGTCCATGTGCTCTTAAATTATATTCCTGTAGTATGGAGATGTTTTGTGAGACTTTGTGGTCGCCAAAAGACTTCTACTCTGAGCAGGAAAGGATAAACACACAGCATCTGTTACACAAGACCTGAACACCATTGCTACATCTGAACACACTTTTTTTTTACAAACACCAACTTTTTCTGGATACCTATTTGGACATTTGGAGGGCATTTATCAAATTATATGTGTAAACAAAGATGGATGTATTGATGGTTATCATGTTGTTAATGTGAGCTGTTAGGTTGTTGTTTTGCTCCACTCTGTACACCTTTTTAATTTTTCTAAGAAATTTGCCATAAAAAAATCAATTTAAAAAGATTTAATTGGATTTATACAGAAAAGATTTAATTGGATTTATACAGAAGGTAAGCCATCTCTTGGAACACCTGACTGCTTATGTGTATGCAGCGCCAGAGCAGTCTCATAGCATGTGGAAAGTAAAATAAATGAATAGTGAGAAGACAATAACTGGAGAAACATAATAGTAAACATAGCAACAGGATGTTGAAAGGGTGTGTGTGTGAGAGATGGAGAAATCCCATCCGCCTCTGCAGCAGACAATCTTAAGCAAATTCCTGCTTTTGATATACTGTGTTGTATTCGGATTCAAGTAACAAACGGTGCCCCCTAGCGTTTTGTTGAAAGAGGAACAGCAAGAAATACTACCTTTATTACTCCAGCAGTCAGTAAATTCTTAACTCCGTTAAGTCAGAAAACAACCTCCCCCAAATATTATTAGACAAACATTTCAAGAGCAAGCATTTTCCTGTCTACTGATGGTCTATTTTTGCTGCCGATGTTTTTTATTCACTGGCAAGTGCCGAATTAAACAAATAAGTGTCCAAAGTTGAGAAAGGGATTATGTATTGAAATATAAGGATAATTTTTAAAAATAAAATAAAATTGAGATTATAGTGAATTAAAATAAATAAGAAAGAAAAAAGAGTAGAAAAAGGGGGAAAGAGAATACATTTTTCTTTTTTTAAAATAAGCAGAGGAAAACATCCATAACAAAATAACCATAAAATATAATTAAGGCTACAAACGATATAGTATGTTGATGTATAAATTTATTGCTTCCCTCAAGTATATGTTAATCCATATATCACTATGGTTTCGACAAATACATTCCAAACAAATTTGCCCATGCATAATCTTCGTCTTCATGAGAAATAAAAATTTGACCACGGAGCAGGGATGGGGAACTTTTGGCCTTCCAGATGCTTTTCGACTCCCATCAGCCCCAGCCAACATGGCCAATGCAGGGATGATGGGAGTTGTAGTCCAGCGACATCTGGAGGGCTACAAGTCGCCCAGTTAACTGCCTATGGCTCGGAATTCCTAAATCCAAATCATTCCGCCCATTCACACGCACACGTGTAATGCTTGTCGATGCCAGCTTAACCCCCACCCCTGGAGCTGATGGTACTTGCCAGTATCATCAGGGAGGGCCCCTGATCTAGAAAAAGACCAGCTGCTATTGCGCATATGGTCAGAACCCGCAAGTCCGGAGCTGGAAGCAAAGTGCGGCGCTGGAACGGCGGAAGGAAAGAAAAGCGACTCTGTCTCTTTAAAGCGGCTGCCGTCGCTGCTGTTCGGGGCGGAGCTCAGAATCTATCTGTGGAAGGCGGGGGGACGGGGACGTCACTGTCCCGGAGGCCACTGGTTACGTCACCGCCTCGCGGCTCCTCCTCCTCCTGCCTCTCTGGCAGGAGCGCGCGCTGGAGAGATAGAGACGGGCAGCCAGCTAGCCCGCGAGCTTCGCGCCTGCGCGGAACTGTTCGCCTGCCCAATCTCTCCCTTCAGCTGCTCTCTGCCCCCCCCCCGCCTCCGTCTGTTTGGGGCCGCAGCAGCAGCAATAAGCCCGAGTCCGGGGCTGAGAAGCGGCCCCGCCACGCCAGGTGTTCGCGACGGAGCGGCTGCGCGGCCACGGAACCCCCGGCCTGGCCATGGTGCTCCTGAGGGCCTCTCGTCCTGCCCGGTCCCCCGAGTGACGGAACTGCCCCTGCCGCCGGAGGAGGAGGAGGAAGAAACGGAGCCGGGAGCACGACAACCCCGCCAGCGCCAGTCGGTGAGAGGAGAGGGCGGCTGCTGCCGGGAACGGCGCCTCAGGGCACAAGTGGCGCGGCGAAGGGAGCCACGGGGCACTTGGGGTGGCGCCTGGCAGGGGTGGCCCTCGAAGCCAGAAAGGGGCGTGAAGGCGTGTGGTGCGGAAAGCGGAACGGCCCTTCGCCCCTTCCCACAGGCCAGGTGGCACCTCAGCGTCTTCAAAAGCTGCGCACAGCGTCTTTTGGGTCCTGGTGGCATGGCCTAGAGATGGTGGCCCCCTGGGATGTGGCTTCCAAGGGGTGGCATCTGCCACGCCGTCCTGTCTGCCACCATAATATATGACATCAGGTCGTTGGGCCTTAGCCAGTGGGTGGGTTGCAGAGTGTGATGGTCAGGGTGTTTTGTTTCTGTAATTTACAGTGGTACCTCGGGTTAAGTACTTAATTCGTTCTGGAGGTCTGTTCTTAACCTGAAATTGTTCTTAACCTGAAGCACCACTTTAGCTAATGGGGACTCCCGCTTCCGCCGCCGCACAATTTCTGTTCTCATCCTGAAGCAAAGTTCTTAACCCGAGGTAATATTTATGGGTTAGCGGAGTCTGTAACCTGAAGTGTATGTAACCCGAGGTACCACTATACATAAGTTTACGGACCATCTTTTTTCTACTTGGACGTAGGCAAGGTGACTCGAGCGCATAACATAGCGGTAGTCCTAGGTGCCGCCGTCGTGCCACAGGGTGCTTAAATAACACAGCCTTGTTGGGTGAGGATGAATGTGGGCGTTGAGCGTTGTGCAGAAATGGGTAAGTGCATGCAGTTGTGGGAGATGTGGCACATTTGATGCCGGTCAGTGTCCTAGTGATGGTGCTGAGATGTTGAACGTGGCAAGTGTGCTGTAGAAGCCCAACTTGTCCTGCCACATCTGGTGCTGAAAATGGGAAGAACTATAGGGAACACAGTAATGCTTTGCTGAATAGCAGAAACACATAGCATAGTTTGTGCTTAGTTTGCGTGTGGTGCATGTCATCTTGAGTGGCATGATGTGGGCCTTACGGTGCTTTGACGCTGAATGTGGCACTAGGTACAGTGCTGTAATATGGTGTGAGCTTAGTAGCTTTAGTGCTAAAGTGTGCCTGCTGAGTAGCATATCAGTTAAAATCCAGCATTTACAATAAGCATTAAAACTAGATGATATTGGGCAAAGGTTTTATGAGTTTACAAAGCAGGTTTGAGGCCCTAAGCTATTTGTGTGGTTGGACATCTTTGTATAATACAAATTACTAGATACTTATTAGATAAATTTCACCTTATGTTCCATCAACTTGTGTTCAGTATTAAATCACTTTCCTTTTTGCTTCTCTTTCAGCATTTCTTATTGCTGAAATTTATGTGCAGATAGTAGTAGGAGACAATTTCAAACAGTCATCTATGTTTAATTGTAATTTACATCACACTCCAAAAGACTGTTATGCATTATTTTTTCCAATGAGAAATTAACTCCAAGAGCCAGGTAACACTTCACTTTTGAAATTTGCTACTTTGGCGAAACATACATCTGGTGTTATCAGTTGTGAATTGTACAAACACATATGCATGACTATATTTTCCTGTAATTCTTGGCATCCAGGAAAGGATTCCTTCTTTGCTATGTGTAAGAATCTGCCTCCTTAAATAAAGTATGCACCATTTATAGATAATGATTCCATGTGTAATTATGACCAAATTCTAAAAGTTGTTTGAATTGGTAGTACAGTATGTATTTTGCACAAGGTTCATAGCTTGTTTTTTTATGAGAGGGCAGAAATAATTATTTTGTATCTTCAAATGTTGGCAATTCCATCTTGAAATGCTATGGGATGTTTTGTAGTTCTGTAGTATTAAAAACATGGCATCGTTACTGTGGAGTTCTCTAGTATACAAAACGCACGAAGGAAGACTGTAATATTTGTAGCCTCCCTGTAAACCAAATAGGTGAAGTGTACTAAACATATATTTTTCTATAATTTTTACATGCAGTGTGTTACATTTTCATGCTTAATGTAGTTGAGCATCTTCAGTTATTTGAAGAGTAATTTCTCTGTGAGAATTGAATGGAATGGAATTGAATGGAAATTAATCCATTCAAAGGAGTGAAATGCTATATATTATTTAGTTATAAATCGTCTGATACCTAAATCCTAGGAGCAATCTTTAATTGTCAGTTGCAGTAACTCCTTGAAAGTAACTGCCTACTATCACATAGGATGTTGAGGAAAAGGTTTGAAGGACAACAATGAGTTATTATATAGAGCCTAAGATGTGAAGGCAGGTGCTTGATTTTCCCTGACCCATCCATGCCTACATATGTTGTTTTTCCTCCTCTGTCACTATAGGACTACATCATCTTTTCAGCACTCCTTGAGCTGTAGCTTGGTAATAGAAGAGTAGATTCCTGCCAAGATAATTAATCCTGCCAAAACCCCTTGGGTGTCTTTAAAGAAACTGATCTATAAGCAGTTGTGGTAGTAAAATGGAATACATAAAGCTTTTAGCTACAATAGCTCTTAAAATATGATATTGAAAATAATATCTAGGAAAGCATTTCCAGTATGAGTTACAAATTGGGGAGGGAGAGGGATCCTTCCAGCGACAGGATGTCACTTTGTCAAGAGTAGTCTGTTTTAATGTGTGATTCTTGACTGCTAGTACTTGTGATCTGGCTCAACTCAGAGGATGTGCTCCTCTCCTCCATTTATTAATTTTTTCCCCCATGAGCGTTCACTGCAGAGTGTTCATAGAGCGTTGGCTTTGTTTTTCAGTGCAAACTGTGACTGGGAAGGCACAGATCACCTTGTGTCCAGGGAGTAGCACATGAACACTTGAGTCTGTAATGCAGCGTGGTGATCATTTTAACAACCCCAGAGGGATGCAATTTACAGGAAGCAAAGAGGGGAGGGGAGAATTAGCAAACACATTTCACCTGCTGCACAGTACGCTCTTTAAAATGTAACAACTGTAATTGGAACGAGCACCCCTTTAGCCTTGTGGTACAGTATAGCAAACTGTTCAGGAATGGTTGTCATATTAGTGAAAGCTACTGCACATGGGATGCGGCAATGGCTTATGCTTTTGCACCATAAGGTGTATGTGAAATGCCCTAAGCTGCTGTATCATGCATCAGTTCCATATGTTCTCTCTCTTGCAAGTGAGTTGTTTCCATGGCTTCTCCAGTTTTTGCTGCATCTGCCTTATCTATCAACAGTGCTCATTGGTCAAACTAGGACTAATGTTGTTACCACCCATCCACACTAGAGCATAAGCCTACAGGCTTTTAGAAGACAATGTAAGCCATTGTGTGATCCCTTTGAGACAGACATTTAATGTTTTATTACAGACATGATTTATCTCTAACTGACCAATGCGATTAACTCCCTTATCTTGTGTAGCCTTTTTGTGTGTAGTAACTTTATATTAAATATTTATTGTAAGGTTTTTAGAGATATCTGTGCTTGTGAAGTATTTATTGGTATATTGAAGTTGTAGAAACTTAAAGATCATTGGATTGTTCATTCTCAAACTATGCACCTCAGGAGCACACATACATAAGACCTCATATACCCATAGCCTAGTGACACAAGCACTATTCAGATTGTTGTTGTTTTGCATACTATTAATACTAGACAATCTACATATGCATAATAGAAAGGATAGATACTGGTCCCAAAGGGCTTAAGGTCTAAAAATAAACAAATGCTTGACAACAGAAGGAGGACTAAAATAATAATAATAATGTTGCTCTTTCAGTTGCAAGTACTTTTGGAGGGGGGTGTATCTTTGCAGAGAGTTAGGACAGAATTAATGTATCTCTACCCATTGGAGAACTAGAGAGCCACACTCCTGTCTCTGTGCTCCAGTTAAACACTGATATGCATGTTCATAACTTAAAATGTGATTGAATGGCATATCATTGATGTGTGATTCCCCACCTCCCATTAATATGTTAAAGGGTTCCGTGTTTGCTGCCACAGCTAACAGAGCAATCCCTGTGCACCTATGTAGTTGAAAGCTGGTGAAGTCACTGGTTCAAATCTCAGCTCAGCCACAGATGCATTAGATGGCTTTCTGGTGGGTTGTCTCAGAAACAAAATGGGCAATACTCTGAATGAATAGGATACAAGTGAAGCTTTATCTACTTTCCTAGTACATTAGTGTATGAAAATAATTTTTCACTCGCAACTTTCTATTGCTATTTCAAATAAATCTCCTTTAAACTCAGCTCTCACCTCTGTCTTTTCAAAATTTCACCGTTCAAGAAATGCTACTTCAGGGCGATATGTGCCTCCCTTTCCCGGAGGAGCTGCATGGCAAGCAGCAGTGAGATCATGGGTATGAGGCACATAGTGTGCATAGACTAATTCTGGTACCGATTCTGGGAAGGTGACCCATCCAAGAACTGCAGTGTTTGATCCTATTTTTCAAAGGAAGAGTGGTATGCTGGAAACAGCCTCCTCCCTTTCCTCTTGTTTCCTGTCTCATTCCAAAAAAAGAGTCTCGCTGTGGTATGCTGACCTATTATAATGTGGGTCAGTCCACACACACGCATACACACACACAAAAGATGGAGAAGAAAACTGCAGAAATTAATAGAGCAGAAAAACTCTCTTGGAGAAAGATAGTTGTTCATAGTAAAAGGGTTTCATTGTTGATCTGCACATCTGATTTAGGGTGGATTATGGGTGTTTGCAAGTGAATTGGTTGACCTGGTATAGGACAATATTTAAGAACAAGGCAAAGGAAGGAATAGACTAAAGGTGCAGCTGCAGGGATGAGAAGAAGGGGCTGTTTTCTGTGAAAGTAAGGTAAGGAGAGTTGCACTTTCCCATTCTAGAATAAACCGAGAAACTTAGAATCTGGAAATAAATGTTGTCTCCAATCTAAATTTTACAGAACTTTTCAATATATATTTAATTAAAATGTTGTAACTGTTTAGAACTTATCATTTACTAAAAAAAGTTATTCATAGTCATTTGTTTTTACCATTTACAGTGGAGAACTTTTTGTTTTGATAAAAAGAAAGACAGCTTGAGTGGCGTTTTCTGTCTTTTGTTTCACTGAGCATACAGCCAGCTGTTTGGATAAAAAATGATGAATAGGCAAAAATCTCATGAGGATTTGGGCTATTCAGTCCCCCACAGTACAACTACAAAGGCTGTGTTTGGATGATGCTTTGTTGTACTGATAGCTTAATTATATCACTAATAAGCAGCCTTCTTCAGTGTGGGTGAACAAAATTCTTATATGCGTACCAGAAGCAAAAGTAAACTGGCATGGAATGAGATCCCAAAATATATGGGGCAGGTAAAGAGTACCTGCTGATGTTCTAGTTCAGGGGCCTTACTCCTCTCTCTTTCCTGAGACTTCACTTTGTTTTTACCTAAAGAGGCAGTAACACATTAACCACCAATGAACGCAAAACTTAAGGTATACAGTAAATTGACAGAATTTTAAGGTAAACTTGGATTCCCTTCACATTGACACAACAGCTCATTATACTGAACATTCTTTTGTTCAGTAACCAAAGTAAGTACAGCCTTGCCATCTGCTTGGTTATTGGACTTCTGTTCCATGTGCCATGATGTCATGACATATGACACAACAGCCCTTGAGGCAGTATATCATTCTACAACATTGTGTCAGATGCAGGACTTATCATTAGTCCCAACTTAAACATGACGCTCCTGTATATTACTTTATATGCTTGACTTTCCTTCTCCTCCGCTTCTCAGAATAAAGAAAGAGATGCAGTGATGATGTTGCTTTTCAGATCCATCTTAAGTCAGGACATGAGCGACATAGAATTATAGAAAGCAACCTGGAATCATAGAATCATAGATTCCCTGCAATGCAAGAATGTTTTTGCCTAACATGGGGCTTGAATGCACATGCGGCTTCTCTTAAGGAGAGCTTCCCTTAGTGCAATTCAGCACTGTACTAAAGGAGAGCTTTGCCCAAGGCACTTCAGCAAGGCATTTTAGCATTTCGGCACTGTACCAAAGTTGAGGAAGAGGTGACACTAGCAGCAGGGGGCTTGTGCAACTACTGCTTTTTGTGTTGTTTTCTTCTTCTTCTTTTTTTAAAAAAGGTAAATGACCCTGTAATGAGCCTGGTATGGACTAGCAGATGGATATAAAGCTGCTATTATTATTATTATTATTATTATTATTATTATTATTAACACAGTTATATTAAGACTCTTTTAAAATTGTAATTTGGCTTTAAATGAAATTCACATTTAATACAAACCAAAAGAAAGTCTACAACTTTGAATCTCTTGAAGCTATGATTGTCAATCAAACATGGAACCTGTGCCATGATTCTTTTTCATTCTGACCTTGGTCTTCAAAAGTGATTTGCTTAGTGCCCTCTCTGTCTACAGAGAGCACTGCTCAGAAAGTGGGAACCAGCACCTTGAATTGCCTCCAGAAGTATATAGATGGAGCAGCTGCTGGAAAATATTGTGTCTATTTCCATTCAGCACTTGATTGATAGAGCAAATGAGGCCTTTGGTCTAATTTGACACTTCAGCATTTCAATTATAAATTTGTCACCTATATGATAACTCTAAATATTGAAGTGTCCAAATTCAGTACACAAGTTCAGGGCACAATCCTACATTTTAAAAGCCAACTCAGTCCACACATGTATTTTTAAAGTGGGGGGGGGGGGTGCAAAACAAATTGTAATGTCTCCTTTGAAGACTGAGAGATCAGAATGAAAGTTGGTACACACATTTAAAACACAATTATGCCATTCATATTCAAACTCAAGATTTGCCCCTGTGCCAGTTTTCAATACTTGCAAAGAATATTCAGTTACTCCAGTCCATTTAGATATGCATGAATTAATGGTGTCAAGATTAACAGTTTCAGAATGGTGAGTAGTAGCAGTGCATTGAATAAAAAAGGCATACCTAGCCACAACAACAACCTTTAGACCTCTAGTCTGTGAGCCTAATTAGGCCCACCAGACCTTCCCATTTGGACCGTGAGGCCCATTTTGGCCAAGCCTCACCCACAGGTAAAGACAGAGCTTTGACAAAAGGTGTTCTGGATGGAGGTGCTTGGAAAGCCCCTTGCACAGCGTTTCCGAAACACTGGCTTTTGCTCAGTACTTCCCAAGTATCTACAACCAGCTGATTGCTGCACACACATTCTGTTGCCCACACAGTTTAATTTCAAACCATGCAGGCAAAAATGAAACGCCTGACACCACTGTGACCTGCAGAGGTGCACAGATGCGGCCTGCTGGCTGGAAACAGTTCCCCACTCTTATGTTAGTAGAGCGACAATTCCTTGAAGAGGTAGACCCTCATCCTTGAATAGGTCACAATCCTGAAATATATGGTGACCTGTTTATTTATTTCATAAAATTTATACACTGCTTGATTGTAAACACACACACAAAACTCAAAGCAGTTTACATAAAAATTGACCTGTTGCTATGTAGAGATTGTTGGTATATCTCTGGTGGAATGAAAGCGTGTGCTTTTTTTTTAATAATTCAAAGCAAAGGGAGGAAAATATTATTTGAAAACATACCACACATTCTAAAATTTTTGGAGATGAATGATATGCTTGGCTGCTTTATTAGTCAGATGCATTATTCACTGGTTGCATGCACTAGGGGGCAGTGTATGTTTCATGTGTTGTTTCTTTGCATTTTGAATGCCTGTCTAGACACCTGCCATTTGAAAATGCATTTTCCCTTACATTTCTTAGGGGTTTTTTTGGTGGGGCCGGGGCTGGGCCTGGCGGGGAGGGGTGTGTGATTTGTCCACTGGTGCAGTTAGGTAATTTTACACTCTAGTTTTCATGTGTAATCTTTTGTTTATTTAAAAATGTGTTAAGCCAGCCATGCTATGTTTGGAGATGTTCCCGCTCATTCTCTTGAGTTGTTCCCTCGACCATTGCCTGAATATTATTTTCTGATGGCACCATTGGGTTTGTTTTGCTTTCTTCTAAAATCTTGGCTTGTACTTAGAATAGGGTATGTAGATGTCAGGGAACTGCCATCGGAAGGAAGGGAGGTGAAAGGGCTCACACAGGTTGGGAGAGACTCAGCAGCTGAAGAGGGAACCAGTAGGGGGAGAGGAGCTGAGCTGAGGGAAAGTGAGCTGGAGGGATGGCTCAGAGACACTTCCAGCGAAAACAGTGGGGAGGTTTCAGGACCTCCTGTAGGGACACCCACTCCTCGCCGGAAACTGACACGCAGAGAGTCCAGAAGACGTGTTTCCGTTAAGGAGCTTTTATGTTGGAAGCGATTCCGAAAGCAACCACTGTCGGAATCTGCTAGTGACTAGAGGAGCCATGTCTGAGGGCTCCGTCACAGACAGAGGTTTGTGGACTTGAACAAACTCTGAGGGGATACGATTTTACGCACAAGCAGCTCATCATCCCATCACAGCATTCCGACAGTCTTTGAAAGCAGCTTGTGCAGGAGAAGGCATCATGAGCAACCCAGCCGGAACCGGAGAAGCAGGAGCTGGAGCGGGTCCAAGCCTGGAAGAAAGGTACCGGGTGTTGGAGGTCCAGCTAGCGCTGCAGACGGCGAGGCTTGAGGAGAGGAGGGCTCAGGATGCAGACAAAAGGGAAAGCCACCCAGCTCGCCAGAAAGGTACCAGGATTGGTGCAGAAGTTTGGGGGGGAGCCCAAAGACTATCATGGCTTTCGGACAGAGATGCAATATGCCATCAATCTGCAGTTTGATGAATTCCCTGACGAGGAATCACGAGTGGCTTTCGTGATTGGGCATCTTGAAAAAGGGGCGAGAGACTGGGTTAGACCCCTGATGGCAGCGAATAGTGACGTCCTAAAGGACACGATGAAGTTCTTTCGCGCCATGGATCTGATGTTTTCCAGCGATATTGAACAGGGAGTGGTGCGCAGACAGTTAATGGCTTGCAAACAGGGAGCCGATCTGTCCGTGAGTACTGGACTGAGTTCACCATGCTGGTTCACAGATTGGGGTGGGACTTATCGGCGGATCCCATTCAAATGCTCTTTGAAGAAGGGCTTTCTTCGGCTGTGAAAGACGAACTTTCCCGGGCGCCCAGGGCGGAGTCTATGGACCAGCTGACCAAATCAGCGCTGACCATAGGAGCGCGCCAGGAGGCGAGAGCATTGGAGAGGCGGGAAGGGAAGGAACGTTGGAAGGAGTTCCGCATTCCAGACATTCCAGAGCCAACTTTCCAGCCGGCAGAGCCGATGGAAATCGGAACAGCGCGCGCGCGCAGTTTCAAAGCCCAGTGAGGGGGAAAGAAGGAGGGAAAAGGCGCCCGGAAATGCTATCTCTGCCAACAGCCAGGTCACTTTGCCAGAGTCTGCCCCCAGAGGAAGGAATGGCAAGGGATGGTAGGAGCTGTGGAGGGAAGAGAGGAAGAAATACCGGAGCAAGTAAAAGCCAACGCCTGGCTGCCACTGTCGGGGCACAGCAGCCAGGCCAAAGAGCAGTGAGAGTGCCCACGCCAGAACCTCCTAAACCCGCCCTAGTGATAGAAGTGGTGCTAGAGCTGCCAAACGGACACCCTCTAAAGATAAAGGCGCTGTTGGACTCAGGCAGCTCCTGCAATTTCATGAGCAAAGAGTTTGCAGCTGAACACCAGATACAGACGATCCCTTTAAGCAACCCCCTGCAGGTGACCACGATCGATGGCAGGGAGCTGTTGGGAGGAGAAGTCAGCTTGCAGACCGTCCCAATGATAATGAAGGTGGCCAGGCACACCGAACTGATAGCGTTTAATGTGGCCACCTTGGGAGGAGCTCCCATTATATTGGGGATGAGCTGGCTAGCGTTACATGATCCGCTGGTGGGCTGGCATCAGAGAGTGGTTTCTTTTGGTTCAGCACATTGCTTAGAACACTGCAAAGAGGGAAGGGTTTGGCAGGGGCCCAAGCCACCCTAGCAGGGACTGAAGTAACGGAGAACGTGAAGGTACCACGACAATACGCAGATCTCCGCGACGTCTTCAGCGAAAGGAAGCTGACCAACTACCCCGCATAGACCCTTTGACTGTCAAATCAATTTACTCCCTGGGGCACAGCTCCCTGTAGGCAAGCTGTACGCCATGTCAGACAGAGAGATGCAGGAGCTAAGAGAGTTCATTGACAAGAACCTGAAGAGAGGGTTCATCAGAGAGTCCAGGGCGGTGGGGGCAGCCCAGTGTTTTTGTGGATAAAAAAACACGAACAAGCCGAGGCTGGTGTGTGACTTCAGGGCCTTAAATGCAGTGTCAGAACCAGTGGCCTTCCCTATGCCCAGGATTGACGACATTTTGACAAGGGTGCGGAAGGGAAAGATTTTCACAAAGCTGGACCTAAGGGGGGCGTACAACCTGATACGAATAAGGAAGGGGATGAATGGAAAACCACCATGTTCACCCCTTTAGGGGCATTTGAATATTTGGTTATGCCCTTCGGCCTCCAAGCAGGCTCCGCATGCTTTCAATCGTTTATGAACCACGTCCTGGGGCCTTTGCTTTACAAGAATTGTGTGGCCTTCTTAGACGACGTGTTGGTGTATTCTGAGAATGAGGAGCAGCATGTGAGAGACGTCAGAGAAGTGTTGAGCAGGCTGCAAGCCAACCAGCTGTGGGTGAAACTGGAGAAGTGTCAGTTTCATACCAAGGAGGTGGAATTCCTGGGGTATCGCCTGTCAGACAAGGGATTGGCCATGGATCCCGGCAAGGTCCAGGCGGTGCTGGAATGGAAAACACCCAAAACAAGGAAGGATGTGCAGAGGTTCCTAGGATTTGGGAACTTCTATCGTAAGTTCATCCGAAACTTTGCCCACCTGACGGCGCCCATTACGGACTGTCTCAGCAGTAAGAAGAAGTTCGTTTGGACTGAGGAGGCGGAGCGAGCATTTGAGGAACTAAAAGGGCCTTCGCCTCGGAACAACAACTCCTGCATGTGGATTTACAAAAACCGATGAGAGTGGTATCTGACGCATCAGACAGAGCGGTAGGGGCGGTGCTTCTGCTGCCAGGGAAGGAGGAGTCAGAGTGGAGACCGTGTGCCTTTTTTCGAGAAAGCTGAACAAATCCGAGAGGAACTACACGGTGTATGACCGAGAACTACTAGCCATTCATGAGGCGTTCCGGAGATGGAGGCACCTGCTAATTGGCGCACAACATAAGGTGCAAGTGTGCACTGACCACAAGAACCTAGAGTATTGGAGGACGGCACGAGTGCTCAACCAACGGCAAGTGAGATGGGCCCAGGAGTTCTCCAAATTTAACTTTGAGATTTGTTACGTGCCAGGCCCAGAGAACATTAGGGCGGACGCTCTCTCACGCAAACCTGAATATTTGGAGGGGGGAGGGAGCACCCGAAGAGAGACATGTGATTCCAGAGGACCGCTGGGTGTGTGGGGCGGCATTGGTGGGACAAAGAGAACTGGTAGAGGAAACAGAGAATGATGAATACGCCCAGAATAAGCTCAGAGGTCTTAGGGGTGAGGGAGAGGAACCAGGGGTTTCGAGGAAAGAAATGGAGCTTTGTATTACAAAGGGGCACTGTATATCCCTGAAGGAGACTTAAGGGGAGGGTACTCAAGCAGTTGCACGACAGCCCTACGGCGGGGCATTTTGGACAACACAAAACCATGTGGTTGGTCACCAGGGAATTTTGGTGGCCCAAGGTGAGGGAAGATGTACGTGAGTATGTAAGAGGGTGCGAGCAATGCCAGCGAGCCAAAGGGGAAAGGCGGGCGCCGGCGGGGCTGTTAGAACCCTTACCAACCCCAGAACGACCTTGGGAGGCAGTGTCGATAGATTTTATGACTGATCTGCCGAAGTCCAAAGGGAAAACAGCCATCATGGTGGTGGTAGACCTACTAACAAAGATGTGCCACTTTGTAGCTTGCTCGCATGCAGTCACGGCGGAAGAGACAGCGAAGTTATTTGTAGAACACATTTTTAGGTTGCACGGGGTGCCATTGAGGGTGGTCTCAGACCGAGGAAAACAATTTACTTCCAGGTTCTGGAGGAAGCTCATGAGCTTACTGCAGGTGGAGGTCAACTTTTCGACTGCCCGGCACCCTGAAACCAACGGGCAGGCGGAAAGAGCAAGCGGTGTCCTCCAGCAATACCTGAGGTGTTATGTCAATGACAGAGAGAATGACTGGGTAGAAAAGTTGGCGCTGGCGGAATTTGCCTACAACAATGCCGAGAATGTGTCCACAGGGATGAGCCCCTTCTTGGCTAATTATGGGTGTCATCCCAGGGCTTTCCCAGGGGAGATGGGGAGAGATGGAGCGTCCCGGCAGCCGAGCATTTTGTAGAAGAAATGGAAGCAATCCATTGTCAGCTCCAACTCAACTTAGAAAGGGCGAAGGAAGAATACAAGAGGCAGGCAGACAAGAACCGAAGGGAAGGTGAAACCATAAGGGTGGGAGATAGGGTGTGGCTGTCAACCCAAGGGTTGCCGTTCAAAGGAGGTTGTAAGAAATTAAGACCCAGGAGGTTGGGTCCCTTTGAGGTCATTCAACAGGTCAACCCAGTGGCTTTCAGGCTCCGGTTACCCAACCACATGAAACTGCACCCAGTATTTCACAGGTCGTTACTGTCACCGTACGAAGGGGACGAGAAGGGATGGCCACTCGGGGACCGGTCATAGAAGAAAGAGAATGCAGCAGCCATGTGGCAGAAATCCTCGACGCCAGGTGGAAGGGAATCAGGTGGAGTATTTGGTAGCGTGGGAAGGAGAACCGGAGTCAGAAAACACTTGGGTAATGGCCGAAGATATCAATGACGAGGTATTGATAGAAACGTTCCATCAAAGGTTCCCAAGGAAACCTCAGCCTGTGGAGAGGTTCCGGAGGGAATACTTTGGGACCACTGATGAGGAGGAGGAGTTGGAAGGATTCCCGGACTCGGAAGGGGAAGGGGAGATGGACTCTGAGGAGGAGGAGTACTTCAAGACCAGGAACCGCAACAGGTGGAGAGACGTGTTCGAGACATCGGAAGATGAAGGAAGTTCATTCCGGGGTTTTGCCTCCTCACCGCCCGTAGAGGAGGGGGCGAGAGGGGTTGAAGGGGGCCCTGGAGGGGAGGTGGATGTCAGGGAACTGCCATCGGAAGGAAGGGAGGTGAAAGGGCTCACACAGGTTGGGAGAGACTCAGCAGCTGAAGAGGGAACCAGTAGGGGGAGAGGAGCTGAGCTGAGGGAAAGTGAGCTGGAGGGATGGCTCAGAGACACTTCCAGCGAAAACAGTGGTGAGGTTTCCGGACCTCCTGTAGGGACACCCACTCCTCGCCGGAAACTGTCACGCAGAGAGTCCAGAAGACGTGTTTCCGTTAAGGAGCTTTTATGTTGGAAGCGATTCCGAAAGCAACCACTGTCGGAATCTGCTAGTGACTAGAGGAGCCATGTCAGAGGGGCTCCGTCACAGACAGAGGTTTGTGGACTTGAACAAACACTGAGGGAATACGATTTTACGCACAAGCAGCTCATCTTCCCATCACAGTAGATTTATAGGTTCTGTAATCTGTTTAAATAATAATAACACATTACTGTATATGAAGCACTGAGAACACTCTATCTCAGTAATCTTTGCCACAATCCTTGCAAATGTTATCATATCCATATTGCAAACAGAGTTGAAACTGAAAGATAGTGGTTGGCCTAATAATCAAGCTAAGTTTCAAAATCACATTAAGGCAAGGATTTTATTACGACAACCTAAACAGCATAAAATAGTGTACATGCTTTTGAGTCCTCCAGAATTTTTCAGAAGAAAGGTTTGACTTCAGAGCTGTGTCTCTTCAGCTGTTTCCTATCCATGTTTCAAAAGTCTTGATTTTTTCAAATAGGATTACTGCCAAGTAAGTAATCCTATTTGAAAAAAATCAGGACTGCCAAGTTAGTAGGCATGGGACGTGGGTGGCGCTGTGGGTTAAACCACAGAGCCTAGAGCTTGCCTATCAGAAGGTTGGCGGTTCGAATCCCGCGACTGGGTGAGCTTCTGTTGCTCAGTCCCTGCTCCTACCAACCTAGCAGTTCAAAAGCACGAAGTGCAAGTAGATAAATAGGTACTGCTCCGGTGGGAAGGTAAAGGGCGTTTCTATGCGCTGCTCTGGTTCGCCAGAAGCGGCTTAGTCATGCTGGCCACATGAACCGGAAGCTGTACACTGGCTCCCATGGCCAGTAAAGCGAGATGAGCGCCGCAACCCCAGAGTCGTCCACGACTAGACCTAATAGTCAGGGGTCCCTTTACCTTTACTAAGTAGGCACAGGATTGCATCCTTTAACTACCACTTTAGCACTAAGAATGGAAAGCCCAGTTCATTCTTTTGGGCTTCTTGATAGAAAGGCTCTATTATAAGAATGTTTTTAATAAAGCGTCTGTTATAAATTGCAGACAAACCCCCTGCTTTGGTATTTATATCTAGCAGCCATGTGAATTGATCATAAAGGGAAGTGTTTGTGTAGACTAGGGTTGGTGTGTTGCTGTTTTTTAAACTATCCTCGTTTATTGTAGGCATTGCTGTGATTTACAATATCTCTTTTTACATTGTAATAGGATTGGATATCCTTCTCTCCTCAGCCTCACAGATACCTGATAATTTCTTTCACCTTTTCATTCAAGCTTAATTGGCTAGGCATACATCTGTGGTAAATCCTTCCTACATGTGTATTTCATAAGCTTAGCAAAAACCTCTTACTTGTGCCCTGTGGTGTGTAGAATGTTGTCAGACGGAAACCAATTTCCTCCAGACTCAGCAGCAAAGGCGTCTCAAACTCCACCCTGTTTTCAGTTTCCTGAGTGTCATCTTTTTCTATAGAACTTCTTTCTTTCTTTCTTTCTTTCTTTCTTTCTTTCTTTCTTTCTTTCTTTCTTTCTTTCTTTCTTCCTCCCTCCCTCCCTCCCTCCCTCCCTCCCTCCCTCCCTCCCTCTGCTTCAAGCACATCAGGGTTTTTTCTCTTTCCAAGTGCAGTCTTCATATTATATTACCATTTCCACAGATCTCCCCTCAAACCCCACTTCTCATGCAAATGCAGACCTTTTGAGTTTGCTTTCGACTGCAATAATCCCTGACCATTGGCCATGTGGCTGAGGTTTATGGGAGTTGGGAGTCCAACCACATCTGGAGGGCACCAAGTCTGGTAACAGTGGTCTATACCAGTGGTTCCCAATTAGCTAATTACTGAGGGCCCCCTATTTTTCAAAAGCCAAGCCACACACCCCCTACTTTTGAAAATTTTGATAACTCTATGGTAGTTACCTCTGCAGAGCAATTTTTTGAACAAAATGTGGGGTAGCCCCTAATAAGCAAAGGATTTTAGGTATATTAAAAAACACACTAGGGCTGAGCAATATCTGGTTTTCAACATCGTGATATATCAGCAGCTAAACATCACGATATTCCGATATATCACAACGTCTGAAATTGGAGATCAGGCGTGGGGATGAGGGAAGGAGCAGCAACAGAGGTCGGGTGGGTAGGGTGCCTGTAGATGAAGGAAGAAGCAGTCATGGAGATTGGATGGGTGCAGGGAGGAGAGGAAGCAGAATCACCTCCACTGCATGGTTTGAGTGGGAGGGGATGGAGATGGGGTGTTCATCAAGCCATTGAGCCAGCGAAGATGCACATCCACTGTGGCTGCTGTTGCTTTCCTGCTGACTGAGAAAAGCTGCTTCGCCTCAGTGCCAGGGGAAGGTAGTGCCACAGTGCCCTGAAGTGAGGGCCATCAGCTGCCCTGCTCTCCATCAGTGTGAGGGGAAGGCAGCACCTTGCAATCTGCTGTCCTGTTTTCCCTCCTGAGGGAAGGCAGCTCAGATCAGCAGCATATTGGCGGTGCCTTGAAATCAGCTGCCCTGCTCTCCCTTGCACAAGAAGCAACATATTGCTGCATATTGCCAGGTCAAAATCGTTATCACAGTGGAATTTCAAAACTGGTTTTGGCCAGTATGTTGAAAAATCACACCGTGCTAAAACAGACCATAAGATTTGTGATATTAGCCGTGCAAAAATGACAAAAATTTAGTGGGAGGGGGAGGCAAGGATTGGGACCGCAGATCCCCTGGGTGTGTTCCGCAGACCCGAATTTGGGAACCACTGGTCTATACACCATCTCCTTGTTCTTTGTGCACTATGGGGGTTTGTCAGTCTCCATTCTTTTCAAAATAGCTTTGTGTTCCCTGCAGAATGTAAAGTATTTTTACCATTGGGTATTTTTATCATATATTCAGACTGGGTGGATATTTCAGCAATGAGAATGATGTATTAAAACAAACTGAAGTAGGAATTGTTATGTAACTAGAATGGTGGCTGGCCCAGCTAGAACAATCAAAAGATCTATGTTGAAAGGGGACTCTCCACGTGCTTACCTTATTTGCTCTTTTCTTGTAAGGCCAGAGGAAAACAAAATCACATGTTGATTCTTTTTATAGTCTACTGGTCTGGTTGTGATAAATGAAAAGACTTCATATAGAAATACTTGGTTCTCCAAAAATTTTCCTGCTGTGTGTATCACTTTTGTAATTCATGCATAGTTGTGCTTCATAATTTCAGTTTAACAACTTAGATAATTTACCTATTGGCTTTTCAGTTCATCCCCCCCATTTCTTAGAGACAAGAGTACTTGCTTATGATCTCATTTCCAGACTACTTGATCTTCTTCACTGCTGACACTTTGTCAGTTTTTGAATTTGTATAACGAGTGTAGCTAATGATAATGAACATTTAATCCATAAATGTTTGGATTTTTTCTGCTCAGCTGTACTTCTGATTCTGTCAGAACAGTCAGAGTCAGACGGGAGGTTTTAAGTCAGTACCAGGCTAGCACATCTATATATTGGTTGGGCACACATATACCATGTAAATCCAATACATTTCAATCAAGTATTGGTGCTTTTTACTACCTTCTGTTCTGTATGAAGTTTTTGCTTCATGGGGTGACTTGAGAGAAGAGATCACTAAATGCACAAACAGCCAGCTTCTTCCTGCGGTCTCAAAACAGTCACCTTAAAATGTTGTGCCCCATGTTTTTGAAAAATCTTATTGCAACTCTTTGTATAATCACTTAAGAAAGGAATAAAATTGAATGTATTAATAGAGTATCAAAAATGCACGATTATTTTAGGCAGTGTTCCAGAATTCTCTGCAATTTAAATTTAGAACTGCTTTTCACATGTCTGACCTTCTTTCTGACTGTTCAGTGACTAAAGAGTAGCTGTGTTTGATACCATAGGAACATGAGCGATTTCTCCCAAATTATTCCTGTTTACCTTTGCTACTGAAGGCCTTTACACTTGACAGAAATGTTTAGCAAAACTCTGGGATACCTGTGAGGTGTTCTGGCTATGATAGGTTGTTTCTGCTATTTTGAAACTTTTCTGTCTCTCTCTCTTTCTATAATTCCTCTTTAGATCTGAAGGACCCACAACTCTGAGGACATGATGATCGTAGTGACTGGAGTCATGTCTGTGCCTGAGCTGGGCTCCCCAGCCAGCACTCCTGCTGCAGCCCCCAACTTATCCTGGATGTCTGAGGTTGGCACTCCCACTGCTGTGGAGCAACCAATATTCCTAATGACTACAGCTGCCCAGGCCATCTCAGGTTTCTTCGTGTGGACTGCTTTGCTTATTACTTGCCATCAGGTAAGCAAAATAAAATACTTATAGCATTTTGAATGGTACTTTGTAAAGGCACCTTTTCTACTGCGGCCTGAGAGAGAGAGCTGTTAAATTTACTGTGCTGACTACAGTTAAGCTTGCTGTAGCCTTACCTGCTCTACTCTCTGCCATCATTAGATCATGTAGAGTAGATGGAGCTTGTTGCCCAAAGTGGTTACTGCTACTTCCCTTTTAAGCTACAGATCACTTTATGCAATATTATGGCCTGTAGCATATATGAGCAATCTCCAACTCCATTTGCACAATGTATACAGGTGCAGCTATGGATTAACACCATTGAACAAGCCCCCATGTAACTTGAAGGAGAGGAGAGTGCGTCTTTACTTTAGTTGTGATACAGATGTTTATCAGGTAGAATATATGTTTGTCAGGTATTTGCTGTGGTGTGATGAGTCTGTTCTCATAGAGTAGTGAGAGTGGAAATGATGTGGCTAAAAACAGCTAGAGTATGGAGGGTGGGGGGAATGCAGGACTTTGCTGTCCCATCCCATTGTGTGTGAGACAAGCAAATCTCAGACCTGTTCAGACAGTGCCAGCATATACATAAGGCTGCAGCTGCCAGGAAGCTGTCTACAAATTAGTCTCTTCAGCTCACAATTAAGTTCATGGTGCCCATGTCTTGCCTAACAATAAATCTAGGCAGTAACTTGTAGGAAAAAGCAGGACAATGTCAAAGCTATAGAAGATCAAGCATCTTTCCTGTCAGACTGCTAATACTATGGGGTGGATTGCTGTGATAGGCCCTGGGGCCTTTATTCCAGAATCCTAAGTAGTAATTAGTCCGTCAACTTCAGAGGTATGCAGACAACACACTTCCCTTATAGGAATGCAGTTGATTGGCTTAGGAATGATGTACATTTAATTAAGTGTGTTTCATTGGGGTGGGGGCGGGAGAAGGCTATGTAATGATGATGTGCCATGATTCATGGGGTTTAATAACCCTTTAGCGTTATCTTCCAATTTCATAGCTCTGCCTGTTCTTAGCACAAGGAATAAACAGCCATTTATCATTTTAAATTTCTGCCCAAAATGTCTGTCATGATGATGAACACGCTGTACAAATGATTTCAGCGAACCTGGTTGCACGGTGAGGAGGCGGCGGCAGAGGCATTTTCCTCTCCTCCTGCCGCCAGCTTTTCTGCTGTAAGACTTGGCTGCTGTATTTCATCAGGTTGGTGGGTGATGGTACAAACCAAATTTAGCATCCTCTTTGTAATGCTGTCTAATAGTGTCCTTGTATGATGAGTAACACATGCAAACCCTACAATTTCATCAACCTGTGTTTAACACCTGTGGGTTAATGAATAGATAAGTGACTATCCATTGGAGAGCTACAGAGCATTATTGAAACTGGCTGTGTGAGATTCAAAAGGGGATTAGCTACTTTATGAATCAGAATAGCAGCTTACCTGACATTTACTTGGGCAGCAACAATGAATCTTGTTAGTTCTTCTTTAGAACATTAATTGGTCATCTGCTGCATGTCTGTTGGAATAGCGCCATCTGATCTTGGTGTGTAAACAGTTGGCCCCCAGAGTGTACAAAGGGAGAGTTCTAGTCTTACAATCTGTGTTGTTATGGAATTTATGGACACGGAACGTAGTCATGAGCACTAGTGTAGATGGATTTAAATGAGAGAAATCCATGGAGGATGACTCTATCAAAATGCTGTTAGAATCGATAGCTAAGTGAACCCTCGCCAAATAACAGGCAACATATCAGATGTTAGGGACAAATAAGAGGGCTGATGCCTTCATGTTTTGCTTGTGAGTTTCCCCAGGACATCTTGCTGACTGGCTTCTTTTGGGAATTAGATGAACCTTTGGTCTGATGTAGCAGGACTCTTTTCTCTTAGTAGTATAACTGTTTCATGCATTACAACTGTAAGGTTGACTCCGTAGATTGCTTGCATGCTTATTTATGTATCTGAAGAATTTTTATGTCTCTCTTCAACTGAAAAAGGCCTCCAGAATGGCTTGCAAAGATCAATTGAGCTCTGTTACGAAGCTGACTAAAAATGCTCAATATCTTTGCACTGAATTATATATGATTGGCTGTGTAAAACTAGATTATAAGACAAAGAGCAGCTAGGGTGTTCTTTTGAAGCCAACTAATCATAATCATACAAAACTTTTCCCTCTGCAAAAGAAAAAAACCCTAGGAAATGCCTCCTTTTTTGAAGAATTTCCTGTGTTTGCACTCCTGGTGCTGCTGCTATCTGGAAACACCCTGTGGGCCAAGAAAAGCACTATTTCAAAATTACTGTTCATAACCAACATTCTAATACACTCTCCATCCAGTCTGTTTCTAGTCAGTAAAGATTTTAACTTGTAGGATAGGCAGGCTACCATATAAAACAAAACATTTTAAAGATGAGATTTGATTCATTTGCAAAACTTATTGGTGTACTCTTCTGTTATTAGAAAGCACGATAGAGTTTGTATTTGAGAGGCGTCTTACATGTTTTTGCAGATTAAAGTTGTGTTTTTGGCTGGTCCTCACTTTGGTTGTCTTATATTTATAGATCCAAAAACTTTATTTTTGTGTGGGATCATGACATTACAGAAGGCTCTGCTACTGTATTGCACTGAAAACATACGAGCCATATATGTCATGTGTATGTGCTTAAATCCGGTTTCTAAAAGTAATATATTGAAGCTGTGAAATGTAGACATCTGGATAATGAATGTGAAAGATAGCATAGGATAGCTTCAGTATTGTAGCCATTTCACGGCTTCAGCACATTACATTTAGAAACCAAATCAGTTTGTGATTAAAATAAGTAAATCTCAAGTGTAAAGTATATCATTCAGATGCCTAGTACTTTTTTAAAAAACTAAAATTATTATTATCACTTGGATGGAAAAAATACTGTGGGACAGTTGCTTTTTATCTTACAGTAAATATAGTACAGAATGTTCATTTCATTACATTTTATAGCAATTTATATATTCATAAGCTACCTTACTTTATAAATGAATTTTATCCCTTGTTCTTGCAGATGTAGGGTAAACATAGACCTTACAGTGCAAAAACCAAGTCAATATATCCTACTAAGCTATAAACTCAGTAAGAAAGCCTTATGAGAGCAAAAAAGTGTTTATATGTTGTGTATGGCATTGCATTCTTAAATTCCCATTATTACTCCTCTTCCTCCTTAGCTTACTTTTGTTCTAATTTGACATTATCCTGTTCACCATCTTTTCCCCCCAGATCTATATGCACCTTCGTTGCTACAGTTGCCCCAATGAGCAACGCTATATTGTCCGGATCCTCTTCATTGTGCCAATTTATGCTGTCGACTCATGGCTCAGCCTTCTTTTCTTCACCAATGACCAGTACTATGTTTACTTTGGCACAGTGCGGGATTGCTATGAAGGTAAGGTGCTGGAAGGCATGGAAACAGGCTAGAGAGAAGGTGGTGCTTTGTATGTGAGCCTGAAGGAAGTACCCGTACACAAGGGTCTTAGTTAAATATGGGGTTGTGTTCTAAATATGGAGAAGTGGCAGGAAGTCTATGGCAATGATGGAATGATAGGCCAAGCTGCTGGCTATAGATATTGCTCACTACAGCAGAAAAGGGATCTGTATATGAACTAATACATAGGGATGGAATAAATGCAATATGTTATTAGAATCTGTGGACATTCTCCCCATCATGTAAGAAGGTCCAGATGATGAAAAATAATATTGGCACAGAATTCAGAAGCCCAGATACAAGAACTCAAGAAACCATGCAAATAGGTACGACTCCTTTGGTTCTGATGATTCACTCAATAGATTATGCCAGTAGTTTTCCATCAAAGAAGAAAAGAGAATGTATGAGTGAGTTCTCTCAGCAGATTACTACTAAATCAACCTGAGCAGTTGCTCTAGGATAGCCTTCACCAACTTGGGACCACCAAAAGTTTTGGACTACTGGCAGAATTCTGCAGCTGTCCAGCTACTGATCCCAGATACCTGAAAGATGCTTTCTAGGAAGCATGTGAAAAAAGACTTTTACATTCCTCTGGTTTTCATAAAAACATGTAAATACAGTTTTGTTTTGTTTTTAAATTAGGGCAGTTATGGCTTATTTAATACAATCTCCTGAAATTGTTCAGAAGGACAAATATGTAAATGATCTCATGACTAGATTTCCTGCTCCAATGCTAGAGAGCATGTGACAAATTTAAACTGACCATGGTGCATTCATTGCAGAGTTTCTTTATCTTTAACTGAAAAACAACCTTCAACAAAATTCTTGTTTAAATAAGTTGAAAATATTCTTTTTCTGGTTATTTATGCCGATGACACCCAACTCTATCTGTTGATGGATGGCCATCCTGACTCGGCCCCAGACACACTGACCAGATGTTTAGGCTGGCTGGATGGTTGCGTGGGAGCCGGTTGAAGCTAAATCCTTGAGACAGAGGTCCTGTGGCTGGGACGGTGATATAGGTTGGGGGGCAACTCCCATCTCTTGCGAAGCAATTAGTGCCAGCACCATCCGTTAAGGTTTCGGTGTAATCTTGGAAACCCTCCCTTTCCATGGGAGGCTGTGGTGCAGCGGCCTGCTTGGGCGGCATTCCATCTCCGCCAAGCTAAGCAGTTGGCTCCCTTACCTCCTCTCGCCCGACCCTAGCCACTGTGATCCACGCGGCAGTCACCTCAGACTGGATTGTGCCTTAACTCGCTCACGACAGGGCTGCCCTTGAACTGACCCAGAAACTCCAGCGGGCCCAGAATGCTGCACGAGACTCCTTACGGGGTCTTCGCTGCGGATCTGATCACCCGTGCTGCATGGCTGCACTGGCTCCCAGTGGGTGGGGATCTCAGGTTTAAGGTGCTGGTTTTAACCTTCCCAAAGCCCCTCTGGCCTAGGACCCTCGTACCTACGGGCCCCGCCTCCTGGTATGACCCACGAAACTTGGTCTTTAAGGCCAAAAACATCTTGAGGTCCCAGGCCACAGAGGAAGTTAGGCTGGCCTCCAGCTCGAGCCAGGGCACCGGCTGTGGCTCGATCTGAGTAGGCATCTGTCACAGAGACCAGGGCCCTCTGGGACCGGCATCTTTCCGCAGGGCCCTGCAGGAACCAGAGCTCTTCCACAGGCCTAGCCGGGCACAGCCTGACTCCTCCTCGGCAGTCTTCGGAGCTCACGGCTATGGTTGCCAGTAGCCTAGATGGTGGGCACTGCTAGAGTGGTACAGAGTGTTGTTGTGTACCTTTATACTGTTTGTGTTAGCCGCCCTAGGCCGGCTTTGACGTGGAGGCGAGAATACAATAATTTGTGTGTGTGTGTGTGGTAGAACCACTGCCCGGATGAAACAAAAAAATTACCCTGCAGCACTTGCTGTACTTTAAAATGTTTTAGTCTGTGGATCTTGTGAGATTTTTTTTTTTGAGCAAGCCATACTAAGAGAGTCTCCTGCTGAGTTTCATAGCCATATGAAAATATGATACTAGTGCAATATTTGCTCATGAACAACTGTGGTTAGGGGATCACTGGGCTTTTCACACCTATGACAATACATTGGGATGTGTTAACAGATGGCAGATGCACACACACACAATCCAGAGGCCATCTTTGTTTGGCCTGGCTTTCCCTTTCCTCTGCCTTTGCTGAGTGTGTATATAAAGGCGTAGCTGCGTAGCAGGAAGCCTGCTGCTCTGTGAAATTCATCTCCTAGCAACAGCTATTATCCCCTTTGCCTCGCCTAGGGAGTTTGCAAACATGACAACATCTGCTCAGAGGGTCAGCCCACATTCTAAAGTTTGCCAGCTTGATGGCCTGTATGGAAATGGGTTTGGGTCCCCCTCCCTGCTTTCGTACTTTCTGTAGTTAAAACTATGTCTAGGAAAATCAGAAAACAGGAGGGGGTGGGAATCTCCTTTCATTTCAAAAGAGATTTTTCCCTTGGGAAAGTCTGCCCTTGGAAAACGTTAAAGAAAATACACAGCTGGAATCTGTGGCATTTAGTGTTTGATTTTTTTTTTTTAGTTGGTAGTCTTATTTGAGAATTTAAATAACATCTTCAACTGGAAATGTTGGCAGTAGAGCACTAGCCAGAGACTTCAGCACAATCTTATGCATGTCTCCTTTGAAGAAAGTGCTATTGCATGTTAAATGGGATTTATTCCAAGATAAATTTGCATAGGTGTGCGTGTGCAACCTAAATTTACTTCCATGAGGAGCTTGAGGAATGTTGGAAACACTTTTGTTCTCTTCCACCTAATTTCATCTTCTCCTAAACAAGGTCCCAGAATAGGCAGCTCCTACTATAATGAGCCTTTCCTGTATCAGAGGGCAGGGCGGAAACCTCTTGAACAGCAGTGTGTTTTGGTTATTCCTCCCACAAAAGCACTGAACTTGTTTTGTAGACATCTGGAGATGCAGGAAGATTGTTGACTGGAGCAAGACTTCACTCTGTGTAATAAGACATGCATTATATAAGTGATTGGTTCCTATAGAATTCTGTGAACGGAATTGGGTACAAGAAGCTGTCTGGTAGTTTTTACTGAATTAATATTTTCTGGAACCTTTTATCCAAATAAACCCTTATGACTGTGGCACTGAGTTTGGGTTGAGGATAGGCTGAGAGAATAGTGACTGGCTGGAGATCACCCAGTGAGCTTAGTTAGTGCTTCTTCTTTAACCATTCTGCCATACCAAGTTTCATTTTGGTGACCTGGAGTGGAATGGTATGCCAGTAACCATTTTTTGGGACATGATATACCCTGTTTAGATTTTATTAACTCTTGTGTTCAACAACATGAGAGCAAGAAGCAGGCCACACTCTTCCCTGGAGTCCACATACACTACATAGACATCTGTAAGGACCACCTCCTTACAGATGTAATTGTATGCATGAAGCCATCCTTGGGATCTGGAACAATTTGGATTCCAGATTCTAGTGAAGCCTTTGTATGTACAACTGTATGTGTGAAAGTGTTTTCCCTGCATATGTGGATGTCAAAAGAAGAGCGTGGGATGTTGGGGGTGGGAGTACTCTGTATGGCCTTGCTGCATGCTTCTGTGTCGTTGAACAGAATGGAACTCTAGACAAAAAGTTAGGTTAGAATTATGATCTTTGACTTTTATCAAAGTCAAAAAGCAGTGCAGAAGGGGAAAAAAGGAATACACTTGACTTGGATCTTGAATACCACCACAGGACAACAGAAGAGCAGTTCACAAAAGGCAAGACTCTTACTCTCACCAAAGCAGAACCTTTGTAACTCGTAGTAACAAAGTAGATGTGGCACTAAATGTTTATTTAGTAACCACGCTGGGTTTTTAAAAAACCAAAATTAATAGCACAGGCTTTAATTTTCGTCTGGACTAGGTAATCTTAATGCCTCAGCGGTATTTGAATTGGAGACCTTCAACGTAAAAAGGATTCCTGTTGTAGTCCTAATGAAGTCATCTCATTTCCACAAGTGCTGTTAAAATTCACAGCTGCATTGAGATTTTGAACCAGGAAGAACTCTGCTCACAGCTGTCCTAGTGTATTCTCATGGGTGAGGTTCAGCCACAGTTCGTGATATTGTAGGCAAGAAGAATCTGGTAATGATCCTCACATGAACAGAGCTTTTGAGTACCAAGCTTATCATTCAGTTTTTAAAAATGTGATTACAGAGCTGGAAACCCATTGGTTCATACTAGGGAGTGTGTGTTTGTCATCGCCTTGGTCAAGCTTAGCAGTTTGGCACCTGGTCAGTATTTGCATGTGAGACCTTCAAAGTAAACAGAAATAGCACAAGCAAGTTGCATGACTGAATTGTCATGGGAACTTCCCCATCTAGTACACCATCAACGTCCCAGAATGACACTAGGGAGCACTGTGAGTCTAGAAATGACATATAAAATGCTCTGAACAACTTCCATAGATAAGCATGGCGGAATGGCTTGCAGGTGGAATGGTAAAAAGAATATTTGTGGTCTGGAGTGGAAGCATTGCAAGTGGATTGCACTATAAGTAATTTATTGCATAATATTCCTGTTATGTATATGAAGCAAATTATCTTGCCTGCATCCTGGCACAGCCCATCATTCCTCTCTCAACTGAGAACCTTTTGATAAATAAAAAATTATCCCCAGTGAATTGGAGCAGATTTTTTTAAATAAAATAAATAAGATAAAGTACTTAAAAAAATAAGTACTTCAAGATAAGATAAGATACTTACAAAAATCGTGGATAGCAGAGAATATCTTAGAAGCAGCATTCTTCCTCTCGTATAGGACAAAAGACCTCTTCTGAGGTGGTTTTGACTGTGACATATTTGTGTACATTCTAAAAACAGTGGGGTCCCCCCTTTTTTGCTGTTGTATTCATATGCAGATTTTAATTGATTCAAATAAACTCAAATAGTCGATCAATAAAAATGTCTTTAATCAAATGACAGATCTGGTAGTACATTGTGGGATTCTTTTTGAATTGCTGAGCTAGAACCACACCCCCCCCCGTGGTTCCTTTTAAACAACATCCTTTGAAACCCTTGGAGTATATTTAGTGATTTTTGCTGGTTTCATCTCTTTTTGCAGCTTTTGTAATCTATAACTTCCTTAGCCTCTGCTATGAGTACCTTGGCGGAGAGAGCTCCATCATGTCTGAGATTAGAGGGAAGTCCATTGAGTGAGTATGCTGTGTGTCCTATCTGTCTGTCTATCTATCTATCTATCTATCTATCTATCTATCTATTTATCATCTATCTATCTATCTATCTATCTTCTTTATCTCTTTGGTGGGAAAGACTTGAGTGGAGGCTGGCATCTATCATAAAACCTGATCTATCAAAAACCTGATCTCGTTTTTTGACAGAATTACAAGCCTGGTAGATGAAGGGAACGCAGTGGATGTAGCCTACCTTGATTTCAGCAAGGCATTTGACAAGGTGCCCCATGATATTCTTGTAAAGAAGCTGGTAAAATGCGGTCTTGACTATGCTACCACTCAGTGGATTTGTAACTGGCTGACTGACCGAACCCAAAGGGTGCTCATCAATGGTTCCTCTTCATCCTGGAGAAGAGTGACTAGTGGGGTGCCACAGGGTTCTGTCTTGGGCCCGGTCTTATTCAACATCTTTATCAACGACTTGGATGATGGACTCAAGGGCATCCTGATCAAATTTGCAGATGACACCAAACTGGGAGGGATGGCTAACACCCCAGAGGACAGGATCACACTTCAAAACGACCTTGACAGATTAGAGAACTGGGCCAAAACAAACAAGATGAATTTTAACAGGGAGAAATGTAAAGTATTGCACTTGGGCAAAAAAATGAGAGGCACAAATACAAGATGGGTGACACCTGGCTTGAGAGCAGTACATGTGAACAGGATCTAGGAGTCTTGGTTGACCACAAACTTGACATGAGCCAACAGTGTGACGCGGCAGCTAAAAAGCCAATGCAATTCTGGGCTGCATCAATAGGAGTATAGCATCTAGATCAAGGGAAGTAATAGTGCCACTGTAGTCTGCTCTGGTCAGACCTCACCTGGAGTACTGTGTCCAGTTCTGGGCACCACAGTTCAAGAAGGACACTGACAAACTGGAACGTGTCCAGAGGAGGGCAACCAAAATGGTCAAAGGCCTGGAAACGATGCCTTATGAGGAACGGCTAAGGGAGCTGGGCATGTTTAGCCTGGAGAAGAGGAGGTTAAGGGGTGATATGATAGCCATGTTCAAATATATAAAAGGATGTCACATAGAGGAGGGAGAAAGGTTGTTTTCTGCTGCTCCAGAGAAGCGGACACGGAGCAATGGATCCAAACTACAAGAAAGAAGATTCCACCTAAACATTAGGAAGAACTTCCTGACAGTAAGAGCTGTTCGACAGTGGAATTTGCTGCCAAGGAGTGTGGTGGAGTCTCCTTCTTTGGAGGTCTTTAAGCAGAGGCTTGACAACCATATGTCAGGAGTGCTCTGATGGTGTTTCCTGCTTGGCAGGGGGTTGGACTCGATGGCCCTTGTGGTCTCTTCCAACTCTATGATTCTATGATTCTATGATCATAGCACTTGTTCTGCCTCTGCCACTGGAAACTCTTCAGTGAGATGAGTATGCCTTAACATTGAATAAGGCCCCTTCATCTAGTTTACCAATTTCCACACCAGTCTGATTGAGACCATTTGGTCACACGTGAATTGCACTTCCAGCCTTATTTTCCTTGTTCTCCTCCAAGCTCCTTTTAGTCATACTGGCAATAGTTTTGTTGTTGCCCTAAGGCATTTCTGTCCTAATTTCAAATTAACCACAATTGTTCTTCACACAACAAGACATTGTGAAATCTGCAGTACTTGGGAAGCAACAGCACCTATTAACATCAGTGGGAGGTGGGTTGAATCTTGCAGCTGTAATTTCACATAAATGCGTGGAGAAAGCAATTTGGGAAGAAAATGTGGGGAACAAATTGTGTGCCTGCTTGTTTGTTTGTTTGTTTGTTTGTTTGCTTCCTTGCTTGTTTGTCAGTGGGTTGTTTAACTCCACTTTCTCTGAAGACTAAAAGAGATATTGTCATACCCTGAGGTGCTCTGTCTGATCCTTTTCTTTTAAAAAGTGTTTAATATTATATATCCATTCTAGACATTAGCATGAGAAAACAGTTAAACTGCTGTCAAACATCATAAATACTTATACACCTTGATAAAATAATCTTAAATGAAATCTATTTATACATTGACCACTAATAATGAAGCATATGTTGTAAATATTTTTCCACATTTATTATGCTATTTTTGTGATATACAAATGACATGAGAAAACTTGGTATACTTATTTGTATAACATTATTCTTGTTTATAAAGCCCAATAATAATAATAAAGTTAAAGATGAAGTCTAATTATTTTCTGATCAGCTGTCTTGCTATCTTGCTTTTAGGTCCAGCTGTATGTATGGAACCTGTTGCTTATGGGGAAAGACGTATTCCATTGGATTTCTGAGATTTTGTAAGCAGGTATGGAAGGACAGAACTTGATTGGAGAGTTAGATGCTGCCACATGATGCTTCTCTCCATAGGATTATTCGGAAGTAGAATCTGCAGGGACTCCCTTAAACTAGTTTTAGGACACTGCTGAAAGTGTGAGTGAGGATGTCAGTTAAGATGAGTATGTGCCCCCTGCCACCCTCCACCCTTTGCTTGTTCTCTTTAATTTATCTATACAGAACACACAAATCACTTCTAGGTCTGTCAGTTCTGCCAACCTTTTGAAAATTGGAGACAGAAGTAAAGAAGAATTTAGTTCCACTTAGCCTTGTAGCCTTGGGGAAGTTTTGTGTGAGCTATGGAACAGGAAACATTGAACTGAAATCTCACTTGCCCTTCTTACGTAACTTGCCACTTCACTTTTCAGCCAAGGCCCAGCTCTGCAGTAAAAGAACCTGTATGAGTTTAAAAATATTTAGAGAGAATTGTTTCAGTAACAACAAGAATGCTAGCATCAAATAAAGTATCAGTAGCTAGCTGCATTATTGACTCTGCTGCAATGTCAATTTAACTGGGAGTGTAGAAAGTATGCATGGTTTGTTCACATTTCGTAACTTTTACTACATTATTAATTTTGGCTATTTCAACCACGTTGCATTGCTCTGTCATGGATATACCTGTTTATCTGACCTTGTGATCTGTAGTGTCTTGTTCTTTATATGGTTTTATATACCTCAGGTATGTACCCATCACTTGTAGTGTAACTGAAGCCCTTTCTGCCTCACGTCCCTGTAAATCGGCACCAGCACATTGTGAGCTATGCGCTGATTGTCTTCTCCCACTACTTCCCCCCTGGCAGATTTATCCCATTTTTATAAAACTTCATTTGAGAGCAAAGGCAGCGTTAACACCTAAAGCACATTGTCACCCAGATGCAATAGAAAAAACTCATCTGTACAAATATTGATAACCTCTTTTTAAAAAAATGGTAAGGGAGATTGTGAGTGAAGACTGGTGTACAATTGTGTTATTGTGACACAAATGGCAAGCTATAGAAGGAAAGTCAGTAAAAGGCATAGGGAGAATATAACCTTAGGGTCAGATTAGAAAAAGCTGGTGAATGTTCCTTCAGTTCATGCTGAGTCTAGAAATAGTTGAGTGTAGAAAAAGAGGTGATGTGGCCAAGGGTTCAAATTTGGCTCGTGTGAGGGAACATTGTGTGATCTAATGCTTTTGGAAGTGGGGGTGTGACTCTGCTACTACTTGGGTTATTTTTAGTCTGTGTATGGTGTTAGGCAACGAGCAACTTTTTTTTTGTTTGCATCAAGACGTGTAAATATCTGACTCAGTTGTCCTGATAATTTGTTTGTACCTCATGATGATCATTAGTTGCAACAGGTTCTTGTATGTGATTAAATGTCACATGCTCCTCATATGAGTCCTCCTACTTGGGTCTTGCAGAGGAAGCAGTCAAGGATGAGCCACAACTCTTCACCAAGGGAACCTCTCCCAGTTTAATTGTAGAGAATAAATTACCTGATATGCTCTGTGTAAACTGTCGGGAGGAAGTGAAAATGGTTCTTGATACATTTTTACTACACAATCCTATTGATAAAGTTTCTCTTTCCCCTCCCCTTCCCTTAATAGTAGTGGTGCAGTAGGACTCACAGAAGACAGATCTTCTCTCAAGACACTACTGTTTCTCGGGTCCATCTTTTCCGCATGGAAATTTGGCATCAGAATGAATGTCCATTACCAAAGAATAGTTCATTCCCACAAGGATAGTCCAGGGCCTCTTCCTTGAATTTTTAGCTAGCTAAATACATACATACATACATACATACATACAGGTAAAGGTACCCCTTCCCACATACATACATACATACATACATACACAATCTAGTCTTGTTTACCCATGGAGATGCAAGGGGGAAATGTGCAGGCAGTGTATTCTCTCTTGCTTAGTAAGAAGTAAAGCTTCTCCTCCCTTCCAGAAGCCTGGCCAGTGAATGCTACCTTTGTGCTACCTGACAACCTCTTGGATATTTGCTATTTTCAATTTCATTTTATTTTTAGTGTGAATTCCTATTTTTATTAAAATTATATTATAGATCAAATAATGTTTTAAATGGAAGCAGTACAAAATATATTAAACAGAGCACGGTCTAGATACATGGTTGTTGACTGCCTGCATTTTAGATTTTGAAGGATTTGTAAATGGTGTCTCTGCCACCGCCATCATATTTCTGGCTACAGGCCTGGGATTGGGAGTGTATGGTGAAAATATGTTAACTTTGGAACTTCATTTAGCATGAGCAATTTCATTGTCGCTGTGTATGTACAGCAGTATGTACTGCAGTATGTACAGCAGTATGTCCTTGAGAGATCCAAGAGCAAGTGTTTTGGAATTTTTTTGTCCATATTTACAACCCAGGAGGCTCTGTCTTCTGAATGCTGTGGAGGTAATAATAAAGAAGTGTATTGGGCTTGCTAATATTTTCTGTGAGCTGCCCTGAGACTTCGGGGTATAGGGCAGTATATAAATTCAATCATCATCATCTGCACAACATAATGTTTCTCTGAAAATTGCAGTTGAAACAACAGGGTTGACTGGATCAGAGAACACTTTCTCCCCTTCTCCCCAATGTTCCACCCCAGTGAAGAAGGAGCTACATTTCCTACTCCTAGCATTCTGTTTGCCTGGGGCAAATGTGACATTCTCAGGCCACTGGACAGGAGCTTAAATGTGTCTGAGATATGATTCAGAAGAGGTCTAGCGCCATACCACATTTTGATGATTTGTTTGTCCTCCCCTAGACTTCTGCCCAGTGACAGAGTAACTGTCTGGGTCACATCACCCACATGCTGTCCCTGTAATGTCTTAACACTTTCTTCACCAGGAAGTGTCTAAAAATAAAAGTTTGTGGGATTGGGCTGCAGGAAAATGATTAAACAACCCCCAGAATGGAGAAGAGGAAGCTTAGAAGCAAGTTTAACGATTAGCTTGACCTTTTCCAGTTCACATCATGGCAGTGACTCATCAACTGGATTGTGCTGGGATTTTTTAATCTCATTGAAGTTTTATGGTCACCACCCAAGAGCATCTTATCACAAGCAATCTTTCCCCCTCTTTCGGCTTTCTCTTTCATATGACTGCAAGGCTGGTTCTTCCTGCTTGAGTGCTTTCTACAAAGCAGGAGATTCCTGCTGAAATCCCAGAATCTTCCACTAGCTTTTCCTCCTCTGAACATGATGCCTAGCTCACAATCTGTCTATGAAAGCAAATGTGCCATTTCCTTTGCCAAAGAGGGAGCTTCAATTATACATTTATTTATTTAGAGATTTCTATTCCATATTTTTAGTGCCTATATACTGTTCAGGGTGGCTTACAAAAGTATAAAATCACAATCATGCAAAACAATGAATATATGCTTAAAATACAGTAGGTTGTATCTAACATACTCAGAGTAGACCCATTGAAATCAGTGGACTTTACTAACTTAAGTACACTGATTTCAATGGATCTACTCTGAGTAGGACTTAATTGGGCACAGCCCAGTAAAAATACATTAAAATGCTACAATAAAAATGTAACAAAGGCACAGACTGCAAAACACACACACACACACACACACACACACACACACACACCAGCGGATACTTAGGGGAAAGTCTCTTGGAATTAAAAAATGCCTTTACTGACCCACCAGAGATAGGGTCACCACATTTCTTGGGCTGTGTGCCACAATATTGCTGCAGCCACTGAGGTGACCCCCGCTCTTGTTACCATTATCCATGGCTTCACCCTGAGTCCCTCTCACTCCCAACCAGGAGCATGTATGTCTTGTCTGGATTGTGCTTTGATATGCTTAGGTGTCCTACAGTTTATTACCACTTTCAGGCCTCAGTTCAGAACACCAACAGCTTCCTTAGTATTATACAAAAAGGAGAAATAAGAGTTGTGTCCAGTCTGCATACAGATGTCCATTCACCCAGCCTTTGGTTGGGTGGCCTCTTGGACAGCTTTTAGACACAGAAGAAACCATGTGTAAACATATTTTTACTCTGAACATGGCTAATCAATGAACAGATTATCATCTCTGTTCAAGAAGCAGAATGACAGTCATAATTCCAAGTTGAAAGTGCTGCTTTTTTTGGTCAGTTAGATGAATGGGACTGACTGGTTAGAGATCAAAGCCTGAAGGTTGTGGTCATTTGTTCTTCTCAATACCCATCTTGCCTTCCTTCTCCTTTTACTCTCTTCCAGGCCACTTTGCAGTTCTGTGTGGTAAAACCCCTCATGGCAATTATTACAGTCATCCTCCAGGCATTTGGCAAGTACCAGGATGGGGACTTCGAGTAAGTAAATAGTTTATTTCTAAATTATAGAGTTTTCTTTGTCACGAAACACTTATCTGACAGTCCTATGAGGGACTAGGAGTCTAACTGAAAAGGAAGGGCTTACCTATCATAAGAACTGGGAGAATGCAGTAATGTCATGGCTGCAAAAAGGTGGGTTGATTTGGCTTCAGAACCTCGAAATCAGAGTCTATAAAGTTCCCAGGGTAAACCTTGAGCTAGTTGCTTTGGGCCACCTTCACAGAATTGCTGTGAGTATAAATTCAAAATATATGGTATGCTGCCACAAAACACTGGAGGGGGAAGTTGGAAACAAAATACAAATAAGGGCCTATTAACATGGCCCCCTGACTTCTGCAGTCACAGGAAAAGCTTTGGTAAAGCATGTGCATGTTGATTCCCACAAATGTGCCGGCTTGCATACATTTTCCCTGTAACTACCATGTTTTCTCAATGTAGAAAAGCTCTGTATGTTGTATGAAATGGAGGTTGCTGTAATTGGTTGTAATGGTAGTATAATCTCCCTGTTGGCATTGGGTCATTGTTTAGTGATGGAGCTGGGAGCAGGGAGAAGTCTTTATAGCACTGCATGAGCTAAGAAACACTGTATGTGAGAAACTGAGCATTCATATTTTCTTCCCTTACAGTGTCACCAATGGATATCTTTATGTGACGATAATTTACAATATTTCTGTCAGCCTGGCCCTCTATGCCCTCTTCCTCTTTTACTTTGCCACACGTGAACTACTCAGTCCCTACAGCCCTGTCCTGAAATTCTTCATGGTCAAGTCTGTCATTTTCCTGTCATTCTGGCAAGGTGAGACAAGCACACATGCCTTTAATCCACAAGTAGATTTAACTGGGAATGCCTGAGAGACAATTAAAACCTAGTCACACGTGACACATTTTTCTTCTATTTGGTTTAGGATTCTTTTCATCAGTGTTGCCTTATCGCTGTAGGTGAAATGCAGATTCTTCCTTGTACGAGAAATGTAAATTATTTATATTGTGTATTCTGAAATACCCATATTTAGCCATTCTCCTTTTGTCTTAAACTATTACACTGTTAGTTAGGCAAGTGTCCTCTGTGTAGACTTATTATTGTAATTTGGATGGGCAATTTGTAACCTGTTTTTCAACAAATATTCTCCAAACAGATTACCGTAAGAAAGAAAAATACAAAAAAATCTGAGTAAAATAATAAAATGTTGCAGCGAAGAAAGATTAAAACAAGGAGGTGGCAACAGAGGGCTTCTTATCTACACTGATCTCTGGGCCTTTTTGCAGTACATTGTTCTGTAGAGTGTTCTGAGGTTCCCTTAAGTCTTACAATTTGATTCTGTTTTGTTCAGGGATGCTGTTGGCCATTCTGGAGAGGTGTGGTGCAATCCCAAAGATCAACTCAGCCAATGTATCTGTGGGTAAGGGGACCGTGGCTGCTGGCTACCAGGATTTCATCATCTGCGTGGAAATGTTCTTTGCAGCCATTGCTCTGCGCCATGCGTTCACATACAAGGTCTATGCAGACAAGCGTCTTGATGCGCAAGGTATGGAGGCAGGGTACTTACTGCTGGGCCTGTGGTGAAGGGAGATTTCCCAGCTGAGCTTGTTCACAGTTTAAATTCCTCAGCTGGGCAACTGAACACAGTTTTCCCATCTGCCAAATTTGCACACTGGTTGTCTCCTGATTTGGCTTTCATTTTCCCTAGCTGTACAGGCTGAAAGATGATCATCTGTTGAATTATGGGAGGCACTCCCTTGAGAGTCCATCCTGTGGCTATACAGGAACTCCCCTGCATTTATTATGAGCTTCCCTGCACGCAAGAATAGAAGTAATTTCCGCATAAAAAGTTTTCCCTTTGGAAATAATGGTTTTAGAACACAGGAGGCTGGCTTATGCCAAGTCAGATTGTTCTTCTACCTAGCTCAGTGCTGTCTACACTGACTGGCAGCAGCTCTCCAGCGTTTGAGTTTGTGGTCTTTCCCAGCCCTATCTAGAGGGATTGAATCTGGGACCTTCTGCACACAAAGTCTCTGTTTATGTTCCTATACATTTCTCCTCCTCTTAATGCTAAAATTTGGGATGGTGAGCCATTTCTTAGATATGGTAAACAAAGTTCACTGTATCAGTTCTGTCTGTCTGGACTAGGGGAAGGGGACTAGGTCCAGAGCATAGTTGAGATGGAATAGACTAGGAAACCCACTTGTAGATATTTGGCAGGGGGGAAGCAAGTAGCAGAGTTTTACAGTCTCCTCTAAAATCTTGTATTTAATAGTAATTGTACTTGGTTTGCTATAGAGATGAATATTGTGGTAATTCCTGGTGGAGAGCCTGAGAATAACATGCCTTTTCAGACTGTTGTTTCCCATATCTTCCTCTCTTGTTTTCCCCCCTCTTTCCTCTTTCCCTTGCTTTGGGCTCTGGTGTCTGGCGCAGCTGTTCCATCATATGGGCCATATGGTAGGTGACATGCTCTCTCTTCATTTGTTTCTCTGTCTCTGTCTCTTTGTTGAGACGCTATTTGCTACTGTGACTCTTTTCACCTCCCTGCATTATCTGTCTTGTGTGCATACCATTAGGTATAACAAATGCACGTATGTGTACTTCAGGAGAAGCATGAATGAAAGGGGAGGTGGCTTTGAAGTTTTTGTCTCAGCTTCTCTGGTTACTAAAGAGCCAAGTTGCTTTTAAAGCAGAAGGGACTTGCCTCTTCAGCAGAGGGAAATTGCTGTGATAGAAACTTTAAAGAAGCCTCCAGCTGCACATGAGGGTCTCAAGTGTGTGTGTGGGGTGGGTGGGTTATTTGACTCATTGTCTTCAATCTGTTGACTAGGCCATTAGTATACTTGTGTTTTGTCCCCCATCCACCCCCACCCTGCTAAAAGAAAAGTTATCCACAATACATATTCCAACCTGTATGTTTTGTAGTAATTTAAAAGTAAAAGTATTGGAGTAAGTAGGTACCAGTTACAATCAGATTGCTTGCTGGGACAGAGTTAGTAACATCTGGAAGCAGCTTCTGCGCTGGTATGTGGTGTATGCAATGGCTCATCTTCTCCATTCCCTACACTAAAGTGTGACTTCCACTTTGATCTGACTTCCATCTTTGCTTCCTATTGCCGGCAGAAACTGAACATCTACTTTGGACATGAGTCCCTATTTCCCTTTCTCTTGCTATCTTTCTCCTACCCTTGTTTCAGACCAAGAGCTGCTCAAGCCACTTAGTATATGTTACCTTTCCTCCTGAGCGGATTTTCTGTCCCTCTAGTTATACCTTTCTGTTGTGTAGCCTTTCCTGATCCTTGAAAGCAGCCCATTGCAGCCTAGGTGATGATCTCTTGCTCCTGCTGCCTCCCCAAAGTTGCCACCATGTTGTGTGTCACTCATTTTGCTTTAGCATGCCTCCAGGCTGGTGTAACCAGTCCGTTAACTGCCAAAAGTTGCACCACAAGGAGCTTTTGCTTACATTAATGGGATATTTGGGGATGGGGGTGGGGAGAGGAAGACTTCTATCCTCAGTCATTCTTAATTTCTCTCTCTCTTTAGGCCGCTGTGCCCCTATGAAGAGCATCTCTAGCAGCCTTAAGGAGACCATGAACCCCCATGACATTGTGCAGGATGCCATCCACAATTTCTCCCCTGCCTACCAGCAGTACACTCAGCAGTCAACCCTAGAACATGGACCACCTTGGCGTAATGGCAGTCACACGATCTCACACTCCCACAGCAGCTCTGGTGCTCGTGACAATGAGAAGACCCTACTCCTGAGCTCAGATGATGAGTTCTAAGCAGATGATGAAGCATGGCCCAGCCTGGAACTTTCCCTTTATTTATTGAACCAGAAACACAGGTCATATCCCTTTTTAAATATGGTGCTCAAGTCAGGAATGGGCACTTCTTGTTGCCAATTGTGAGCATGGACCATTGTGACTAATGCAGGTGGTTTGGACTGTCTTTTCCTAGTTTCTTCTTGAAAGGCTTGACTTGGAGCAGATATCACTTAATAAGGAACACTAAATACACCTGGCATAGAATACAACAAAGATCTGGGACCACATTTTCTGTATGCTGGGTTTCTGCTGTTGTTAATGGGGAAGGCGGATGGAAGAAGAGTCAGACAAGGGAAGCTTGAAAAAATAAGGCTGTATCTTTACCCATTTACCTAAGTTGTCTCAAATATGGCTGGCTGAAAGTAGCAGAAACAATCCCCTCCCCCAAACTGCACTACTAAAATGCACTTCTAGACACCTGTTAGACCTACAGTAATTTGGTATATAGGTTGAACCCTGTCTCTAACTGTTGTCCCAGTATTAACTTTTGAACAATTTTTGGCTTGTGACCAGAATTCCCTTAGGCACAGTATATTCCATAGTAATACAGTCACATTTATGTTCTGCCTCTGCTAATGATCAGCATTGGATGCTTCAGAAGGGATTGGTTTTCTGCTTTAGAGTAGGAGAAGTATGATAGAGGGAAAAGAAGAAAAGCACCTTCTGGATTGGAACAGTGAGCCTAAGTGAAATATGCTTGTTGAGGCGGAAGGTAGCTTTTCTGATGGGTTCCTTGCCCAACACTTGAAGAGAATACAATGCATTTTCTGAAAATAGGATTTGCCCCATCTTTGGAAACATTTTTGCTAGAAGCTAATGCCCACCGTTCAGAGAGTCACACACAATTGTTCAGGACATTGGATAAGGATGTACATTCCAGTCAGGTTGTTGAGTCAAGCTGCACATCCTCATCCATTGTGGGTGGGGGACCACACTGGCTGATTCTCGAGTGGGCGCTTGGGAACCACCTGTTGGGTGATGTCTAGTTGCACTCACTTGAAGAGGCAGAACACATCATTCTCTTCATTCTCTTTTGTAACTTCTCTTGTGGAGGAGTAGTTCTGCAACTCCTAATACTAAAATGTCTTTATCACATCTATCCTCCTCCTTAGGCATTTACATCCTGGTGTGTTTTAAAATTCCAGAACATGTGTTGTAAATTACCAGTTCTTCTTGCTGTCATCAATATTTTACTTTTGTTAATAGTTAATTTTAAGTGCCAGTGGGATAGAGCTTGCCTGGGATGGTGAGCATTCCACCTTCTCTTCCCTTGCTTTTGTACCGGACTGGCTGCAGTTTCGCCAGCAGATGTAAACATATCTGTGATGCGCATTTGTTACCTTGCCATTACATTCCCTTCAGTCCACGTGATTTAAAAAATGCATTGGTTTTCTATTAACCTCTCTAGGCCTGGCCTGTACTTGCACAAGTTCACTAAGTGAGAATCACAAGGCCCCTTTTACAAGCTGAAAAGCCTATCAGTCACTGAATTTACCAGACCCCTTGGTTTGCTTGATGATTTAAAGCTGGAAAGGGCAATAGAATTAATTGCAGTGTGTTGTACTTCTCTGCTGCCGTTGTGGTTAATTGTGCCTGCATTAATACTGCCCGCAAAAAAAGGGGAATAACATTAGACTTCTTCCTTTCCTGACACCTCTCTCGATTCCTCTTCCCCATCCACTACCAGTAAGGCTTGTTCTGGTCTACGCTGCTATATGTGTCTCTCCCACAGCTTGCTGTGGTTAATGGACACCTGCTCTTTTACGGTGATTTTAACCCCTCCTGTGAAGAGTCTTGAAATGAGGATCTCTGGGGTTTGACTCTTTTGTTCCTTTTCTCTGTGCCTTAATATTCTCTCTCACCCATGCATCACATCATAGTTAATGCAGAGCTCAAGGACAGCAGCAGCATCCTTCATCCAAGCCGTGCTTGGTTAGACAAGAGTGTTTGTGTGGGGCTAGGCAGGTTTTCTAAAACTTGTGGTTACTCTTCTTGGAGGAAGAGGGACGGTTGTGCTGCCGCGGTTTGCACTCTCACACTGTATGTTCCAGAAGAAACCGGACAGGAGGTGGGATGCTGGAGCACAACAGCTCCATTCATATCCCCTGCTTGAAATAGCCTGAGGGATTGATGAAGGAAGTAGAAGAGAAGATATTTAAAAGCAACGTGTTTCTGTAAATAAAAAAACCACCCCTCTCTTTGCAGTTAGACGTGTGCAATATATTATTGTGGGTTGGCTTTTAAAATCCTGTTGCTGCTTTAAAAGGAACCCTCAGACCCACATAGCTGTTCTTTGTAACTGGCACTCCAATTACTAAGCCGTAGCAGTGAGTTGTGCCACCGTAGCTGAAGCAAGCCCTCGTTCTGACCCTCTTTTGAGCTAGATGTAGCCAGTTGTTGAGCTGCTGTAAGCCGCCTTTTCAGAACTGAAACAGGAGAGGGCTCTGGTTCCTCCCCTTTCCACTGCAGCACAACCACACTTTCACGGTGATGCAGCTCTTATTGCAAAAAGACTAATGGGCTGCTCTTGTACCAGTTGTGGATTTGGTGTCAGGTCCCTGCACCAGAAAATAGTTGTCCCTTTGTGCCTGCAGTAGGACTTCTTCATCCAGAAGTATGACATACCTCCTCATGAAACAGAATGGATTTCAAAGAGCCCTTTGAAATGACCTTTAACCCTTTTTTTGTTTTGCTGTTTTTTACTTCTAATTTTGGAGAAGGAGATAATAGTTTACTCTTGCCCGTTTTTATGGGACTCGTTTACTTCCCAACTCTCCAACCACTTCCAACACACATTTACACATATTTGTAACGAATCTTCACGGCCAGTTCCCTTTTTGTATGGGTTGGGTGAAGGATGTGGCTGAAGTCTGTGCTGCTGACTTGCCGGTATTTCCGTGTTGGGAAAAATTCTATATTTTTAAAAAATAATTTTTAACATAAGCTATATATAAATACATATTGTGCATAGAAGTTGGTTATTCTTGGAGCTTCTTATGAGTAGCAGTTTCAGGTAGCTATGTACAAGGTCCGGTAATAGCAAAAGGTCTCAGGCTATGTGGCTTTTTTCAAAGTGGAGACATGGAAAGGCATCAGTGCTAAGCTGTTAATAGAGGGAAGGTGTTTTTGCTCTCCCACAAGACTGGAAAGTGATAGGCCCAAAGAACTTGACCCTCAGTGCAGCAGCGATCCTGCATTCCCATCAGGCCAGGGGTAGCCAACATAACCCTCTCCAGATGTTGCTGGACTACAGCTCCAGCCAGCATGGCCAATGGTCAAGGATGATTGAGAGTCCAGCAACATCTTTTGGGGGGACAGTAGCAGTTGGCAGAGTGGGGCTGTGCTACTTACCTGACCTCCTATTTACTGGGAGGGGGAAGGACGAGGCAGGAGTGAGGTCAGCACAGTGCAAACACACCAGTGGAGACAATCTGGTGCTTCTGCCGGTGCATTTGCACCATGCTGATCTTGTTGCTGCCTTATCCCTCCTGCTACCTCCCAATAAACTGCAGCTATTCCAAAGCTGGCAGGTCAGGACAGCCCTACGACACCAACTACTGCTGCTGTAAGCTGCTGTGTTGGGAAGGCCCTTGATTAGGGATTCTTAGAGGCTAGTCATTTAATATGCATTCATATACATCAACCCCACCAGAATACTCTAAGCGCTGCTCCCTTCCTTGCCTTCTCTTTCCTCCCCCAACCTTGTTTTTTTACCAAGTAACATACCCTCTGGAATTTTGTTTTTACTATTTTTCCATGTAGCTTAGTTATTTGTATATAAATGACTGGGGAAATATACGCTGTATGATAAGACAGAGTTACCTAGTTTTGTACCTATTGTGTAATAACTGATGTGAGCTCAGAGACAAGATACTGTCTCTGTTTTGATCTTTGTGATGTTATACTGCTCTGCGGAAAAAAGCAAATACGACAAATAAAAATATAGAGATAATCTAGATTGTACTTAATGTGTCTCTGGTTACTGATTTATGGATATTCTCCGCTTCACTTCTCATAGTCTAGAATTCTCTGCTTTAAAATAAAATACAGTTAATGTATAAGTCTGTATTTTACACATGTTCCAGTTACATATTTTGATGGGTGGAATAAGAATTACATGGAGCATAGAGAGCAAAAACTGGGGACCATAGAATGGGTAGGTGCCCATAGCCATGAATTCAATTTCCATCTCACGCAGCTATTCCCGCAACAGTGTTCTCATTTGTTAGAGGTAAGTATGAAAATGCCCACACAGTGTGGAGCACTGAAGCCTAAATTACTACAATGGAACCAGGACATGGAAACTTTTCAGTACAAACTCAAATTGACATCTCTCTCTCTGGCATAACACTCTGCTCACCCTTTGTCTATTCTCTTGTGGGTGTCATCTTTCAACATCCAAGTCACAAGGAGCATAGGTAACAATCTTTATCTCCTTTCCTATTCTAGGAAATTGTATTTCTCCATTCCACACACTCCCACATTTCTCTTGGGCCTGAGACAGAGGCTGATCTTATCATTCTTTCTAGCGGTGGAAATAATTGCTTAGGAGGTTGCTGTGGCTATGTAATATCAGTGGCAAATAACACTGGCTCAAATGAACATTAGCGAGAGAGATACTGGTTTAGCACAATTGTCTTGGAGAGTAGAATTGTAACTTGGCATGTATCCATTTTGTAGGCTTGAACTACTGCCCATTGTGTACTTTGATATGTCTAATGTCTGAAGTAGTTTTCTTGTTGGAAGTAGTGGGATTCCCCCCCCCCCCCCCAGAAAAGGATGTAGATCAGCCTTTTCCAACCTTGTGTCCTCTGCATGTTGTTGGACTACAACTTGCATCATCCCTGATCATTGGCCATGTAGACTGGGACTAATGGGAGTTGTAGTACAAAACATCTGGAGGCCACCATGTTGGGGAAGCCTGCTGTAAATACTTGGCCTGCATTAAAAGAGTGGCC